GCATTTTAGGAGCGATCCTAAATATGGCCCTCAAAAATAATTCAATACATGTTCTGTTCCATCCTAGGCTAACACACTATTTCCCTTTTTCTGATTTGTCGTCACTAATCTCCCTAAACCTACACTTTAATGCGTTATCTTAGGAACCATTCTAAATACGGCCTTTAAAAAAAAACTCAAATATATGATCTATTCCATCCAAGCCCTACACCTGAAAGTGCTATCCTAGGAACCATTCTAAATGCGGCCTTCAAAAAACCTTCAATATGGTCTTCGATGGTCTATTCCTTGGAGCCTCCGCAGAGCACGAAGTGCAGCTGGCGCCGACCGAGAGCGCGCCGACAACGAACACTTGTTCCAGCTTCCACGCGGCCGTGGCTCTCCCGCAACTTTTGCGTAATCCCGCGCGGTTAGGGGCGGAGCGCCGGGCCAAAGCGCACAACTCCCCGGGGTGCCCATGGGGAGCTTACGCGGTTTCTACTCCGGGCTCCGGGCACATGCTCCGGGCACCGCGACGCCTACGACGACGACGCAGCCGAGCGTTGATTCCATGATTTAACACGGCGCATCTCCGGTTCTACGCTTCCATTCAATCTCCGCAAGACTTCCGCTTGCTCCGTCTTAATGCCCCTCCCCCCTCACCCCACGCCCTCTCCTTTTGGAAGACACCCGGTTGCCCTATCGGGTACGCCGACCGGCTTCGTTTTCGTCGAATATTTCAAAACCGCACGGCAGCGAGTCCTACAGGGCAGGGTTTTCGGCCGTCTGGGGAACCTGAAAAATTTGATTAGTTTTCAGAAACATTCTGTCTACTCAGAGGAAAAGTCAGGGGACGGATTGGGAAAGACAGAGAATTGACAGGTAAAGTCAAGGATTTAACAGAATAAGTCAGGGAAAATACAGGAAAAGTCAAGGATTTCGCAGGGAAAGTCAGGGAATTCACAGGAAAAGTCAAGAATTTTACAGTATAAGTCAGGGACTTGATAGGAAAGGTAATGAACTTCGTAGGGAAAATTAGGAATTTTCCAAGCAGAATTATCACAAGTCAGTGTAATGAAAAAGAAAAGAAATTTTGAGCAGAAGATTTGTTCGGAGACAAGGGAAAGCTAGAGAATTAAACATTTCCTTGTGCGCTCTGCAACTTCTACACAATTTTTTCTCGAGGGTCATCGATTTTGTTTTTTCCAAAGCTGTCGCCAATTCTGCTCGAACAATGGGCGCGATACTAATTTTGGCAAATTTTCAACATCAGCGTTTGGGCCTCACGTCGTCCCCCCCCCCCCCCCCCNCACAGACGAAACAAGAGAGAACAACCACGCTGACAACGTCCGCGCGATCATAATCATTCCTCCATTCACCACCACCACCGTCGCGGTTTCGCCGAACGGTACCCAAGCGTCGCCGCCGCCGGACCCCCCACGCCCCCCTCCGGAGCCACCAAGTTCATTCATCTTTTCTCGCCATTCATGTCTTACGCGTGCCCCCTTCCTTCTGCCCCCCACCGCCGCGCGGTCACCAGCGCCAAGGCTGCCCGCCGCCGGCCGATCAGGCAAGTACAACATAGTAAACGCTAGGCGCGCACGTGAGGCGAGCCAGTGCTGACCGAACCGAAGAAACGCGGATATTCGGTGGCTTTACTCGGGAGTTACGCGGTTTTTGGAACCCCGCGGATACTGGTAACCAGCCTTGCTCTGCTGAACGAAAACCGCGGATATTCATAGGCTTTATGCGGGAGTTACGCGGTTTTTGGAACTCTACGGATACTGGTAACCAGCTCTGCTCTGCTGAACAAAAACCGCGGATATTCGGTGGTTTTACGCGGGAGTTACGCGGTTTTAAGAACTCCGCGGCTACTGGTAACCAGCCTTGCTCTGCTAAACGAAAACCGCGGATATTCGTAGACTTTACGAGGGAGTTACGCGGTTTTCGGAACTCCACGGCTACCGGTAACCAGTCCTGCTCTGCTAGGCGAAAACCGCGGATATTCGGTTGATTTATTCCTAACTTATACGTGGTTCCTCTTTAGCTGGGAGGACGTGCTTCCAGCACAATGCAAAAATCGCGGATATTCGTAAGATTTGTGTTAGAGTTAAAGTGGTTTCAGAGCTGTACGGCTACTGGTAATCAACTCTTCTCCCCTGATGATAACCGCGGATATTCGGCTGATTTTATCGGAATCAAGCTGTCTTCTTTGGCTGGGGACGTGCTTCATGTGCGATGAAAAAACCGCGGATATTCGCAAGATTAACAGTGGAGTTAAAAGGTTCTTGGAGCTTCGCGGCTTTTTTTAACAATTTCTGCCGTGCTGAGCAAATCCGCGGATATAGGAGTCAGGCGATTTTCCCGTATCAGCGCAAAGTTCAGAAAACGTAATTCCAATGCGGTGCAAAAACCGCGGATATTCATAGGCCTAAGCGGTGCTTAGAGCTCTGCGGAGGCGATTTTCCCTCAGCGCAATGCTCAGGGAACGTGATTCCAATGCGGTACAAAAACCGCGGATATTCAGAGGCCTGAAAGCGGTGTTTAGAGCTCTGCGGCTCCCGGCAACTATCTCTGTCAAGCGAAAACCGCGGATATTCGTAAGATTTCTGTCAGTGATAAGCGGTTCTCTCGTCGCTCGGCAGAGCTTCGGGGACTTGCTCTCAGGACGGTGCAAAAACCGCGGATATTTCCGAGGTTTCCATTGGATTTGAGCGGCTTGAGCTTCCGCGACAACGCTTGGACTCGTGCTTGTTTACTGTTACTTGGAACACGCGCCGGTCGCTGAATACTGATGTGTGCCGGACATGAGCTTGTCCGTGTCCGCAGAAAGACTGCTGCATGCGGAAAATCGATCCCAGATGCTCGACTCAAGCAGCCGGGGCTCACCCATACAGCACAGCAGTCAAGTTCGCGGGTCTGGGTCTCATCGATATGGCGCTGCGGGAACAATCGAAGATTGTCTCAATTTTGGAATTAAAATACTCCTGGTTAAAATCCTGATATCTCGTCGTTCGCCAGTCAAAAAAAAAAAAAATATCTACGTTTCAATATTACGAAATTCGCACCTACCCATTGTATTTTTACTCAAATACCTACGTCGTCATCTCTCAGTCATAGAAACATATACATTTTTCATTAATTGTGAAATCCCCTCCTACAAACTGTATTTTTACTTAACAGCTGTTTGTCACTTCCAACTGAGAATTTCACTGATTTTCCTCTCGTTACGCGCAAAAATTAGAAAGAAGCTGAGGCAGAAGTAGCAGAAAATTAAATCGATGTAGGCAAATTTGCATCATTTTTGGGGAAAATTACGTTCCTCCGTCTTGGAAACGAAGATTTGGGGCTCGCGTTTCTCTAAATTTTTTCGGTTCTCTGAGCATTCTCTCTGACCGTTTTGTATCGATAGTCTTTTATAATCCGCAGTAGTTTCGCAGGGGCAGTTCAAGTTCTGCCAAATTTTGTACCGGAAAATCCTGAAATGAAAATCCCAGAGCTGATGACTTCCGCACGATGCCTCTTATTTTAATTTAAACCCGTCCGTGTTTTAATCTTGTGCTAAATGTGCCCGGGTGCCCCTGAAAAACTCGACCAATTGTCTCGCTAATCCAATTCTTCCCAGGAGCTCCCCATACATTATGCTGCCGTGCTAAGGAAGAACGCCGTATGAACATTCGAGAGTTGCCAAATTTCCCTTGATAAAACATGTATTTCTGACTGCATGTCTGCATATTTTGCCTTGAAATTTTCAGATATTTTAGATTAAATCGCGTACAAAATTGTCTGAAAATTTCGAAAAATCATATTCACAATTTTCCCACTAAATTCGGTTTTTGTCGGAGGAAACTTGGCAACGTCTGAAGGCTCATACGACGTTTTTCCTTAGCACGGCAGTATGGTGAGAATACATTTTCGGCCTACCGAAATTCCGTGACCCGTCAGCGGGCGGGGGGGGGGGGGGTGTTCGGGTACCTCTCCGCCCCCGCGTGGACTCCCAGGACGGCCCCCGCCGCCGTTTCACTCAATTAAGGAATGAATGGGAGCGGGGGCCGTGGCATTGTCTCAGTTGATTACCGTGTCTTATTTCCGAGCGACATTCCCGGTTTTGCGGATGCCCGGTCACCGAGACGCTTATAACCGTGGCGCATTGAGAATTCGGACGTATTTCTGCCAAACGGAACCATGTATACAAAGACATGAGCCTTGAGGCCCATAATACTAAATGAATAACAGGGCTCATGTATAATGCACATAGTTCCGTTTGGCAGAGACACGTTCATTTGAGATATTGATGATCGCACGGACGCGGAGAAATCCATGAATGAACGAGGGAATGAATGAATGAGATGCTCCGGGAAGAGTTCGAATATGAAGTGGTTCCCAAGGGAACCTCGTCGAGATGTCAGCGCGCGTATCCAAATTTAGCAGAAACGTTTGACGAATTCAATAGTTTTTAAAGGAAGGGCATAAACAAAGGCCGTTTTTGGACCCACCCTCGCAGATTTTCCGCAACTCCACGACTTTTTGCTCGTTGAAGGTCCATAGTTTACGGAGTGCATGAAGATTTAGTCATTTTTGGTCTATTTTTGGGTACCATACTGGCCGAAACATGGGTTCGACACATGGATTAGAGGCTGATTTTGGCGAAAAAATACGGATTTCTTGGCATTCGACCGCAAGTCCGCAAAACTCGCAGTTTTCGTCAAAATCAGCCTCCGAACTCATGTTTAGGCTTGTAAAAAGCAAAAAACTGCAGGGTTGAGGAAACTCAGGGTTGGCCAAAAAACGACTCTCAATTATTGTTACCCTCTTCCTTTACCCCGACGTCCGCTCGAAGGATAGACATATAGGCAGATTCAGGGGCAGACCCAATGGGCCTGTCCCCTGTCCGCCAGGATAAATTCGTATTTTCGTCCATGCCCAGACATCCAGTTGGTTGGTGTACAATCTTCTTTTTTTTTAAAGTTTTTTCTATAAAACCTTGTGGCTGATTTCTTGTTGTTTTTGCGATGTTTCAGCTCAGCGGTCGCGTGGCGGGGCGGGGCTGAACAATCTGCCGCCGCTGCTGTTCCACCAGGTGCACGGAGAGAACATCCAGATCTCCCGCAACGGCGCCACGGCCCAGCGCGTCGAGAGCTTCTGCCGTGGAGTCACCTTCAGCGACCGGCCCGTTCTTATCCAGGAAAAAGTAAGCGCCCTTTCTTCCTCACCTCTCTTTCAGAATAACTTTATTGGGAGAATTCAAACACATCTAATACATCAAAGGCTGGCAACAGTCCCCTCCCATCGAGGGTCGACGCCATTTTTCTGGATCCTCAAGGTGCCCATAAACCCAGTGGCTAGATTCTCCCTGTGAAGGTCAATGAAAGTACTCTACTTCACTTCGTTCCAGAGGTGGATTCAGCAATTTAGCAACACTGGATTTCCTCCATTTAAACCTGTGTTAAATAATCGATTATTATCAGAGAACCCTGCTTCTCCAACAATCGATTCATGTCCATAGGTTTAAATGGAGGAAAACAATGCTTCCAATTTGCTGGATCCGCCAGTGCTTCACTGCCCCTAAGGCGTTTTTAGTTCTTATGGTGGATGAACTAAGAAATCATCCGGGGTGTCATTTCAGATAGATCTCACAGTCGGACAAAGTTTCGTGTATCCTCTTAAGCCTACCAGAATCGAACAGCTTAACGAGAGAGTAGCTCAGCTACATTATGTGTCGCCTAATTCCTTTTAATGTTTTATTTTTTCGTCAGAAAACCAGCAGTTATTTTCGCTGAAATTTTCTCAGTGTATAAGTCTAAAAAAAAATTGAAAGCACTAGGTTTTAAAGTCGTCTACCTGGGAGGACACACTATGCAAAGTGGAATGTAGTTAGACTGGATCTAGTTATACTTATCAGTGAAATTCATCAATTAAATTATGGACTTTGTCAGAAATGCCTGTCACGTATGCTCTCCACAAAAATGTCTCAGGAGCCAGGCTCATCATACTTTTTTTCCGATCCTTCTTCCACCTCTAAAAGAATATTTCTGAATAATGTTCCGCTAAATTTGCCGAGAATAATCTCCTAAGTAAGGGGGAAAAGGAAAAGGGGGGAAAAATATAATATGATTTTCATTTAGTACGAACGATTTTTAAGCAAGTGATTTTAACAATGTCTATCAATTTTTTTTCAGGTTTGCATCAAGTTCGTTTCCGTCTCAAAGAATTGGAGTGGTGTTATCCGGTTCGGTTTTACGAGTAATGACCCTAATAATATTCGCCATGGTTTACCAAAGTATGCTTGCCCAGGTGAGTTATCTATCTTCAGACTACACATTCATGTTATCAAATCATACAAGCAGTTGTAAAAAATGTAGGCATATCTGTAAAATATTCAGGTTTCAAGTATCCCTTTGGAACACACATATTATGATGCAATTAAATTGAGATATTAAAAATCTAGGTTTTATAAAGAAGTTCATTTGCCATAAATAGGCAAATCGAATCCCTTGAAACGTTCAATAATTTTAATAGTTATTATGATAGCTTGACAAAGAATGTCTTTGTCAAAACTATGTCTTGATCACTCAATCCTGATTCTTCGACGCATCCTAATTTTTCATGATAAATATTTTCATTACTTCTGTTTTTGTATCGTATGTTTTTATTTTCTCTTACCCTCAATTGAACATGTGAATGATTGAATTTCTGTGTTTGCTTTCAGATCTAACAAATAAACCTGGGTACTGGGCCAAAGCCTTAGCTGAAAGGTTTGCCGAGGAAAATACGGTTTTGTTTTACTATGTGACGAACGTAGGCGATGTTCATTATGGAATCAACGGAGAAGAAAAAGGCATATTCTTCACCGGTGTGGAGACACGGAATCCCCTTTGGGCGATGATAGATGTTTACGGCAATTCCACTGCTATTGAATTGCTCCCAGACTCTAGACATCAATTAAACAATGCTATTAGGTAAATTCTCACAAAATTATACTTTTTTTTGGTTGTATAATCCAAAAAACTACTTGTTGAGCAATATCAATTTCAGGGCTCTAAAACTTTGAAATAGAACATCTCTGGCAGCATTCAGCAAAGAGACTGAAAAAGTACAATGGACAGCTATAACAAATTGTGATACGAAAGCTGAAATCTCCTCTTTGATATATCAGTTCAACTTATCAACAGAAATTATTATTCAGGTTTCAAGTCCTAAAATTGGTAATCATTATTTTCCTCATAATGCCAAACTTGCCTAAAGTAAAAAAACTTGTTTAGCTATAATTTTAGCACTTAATGGAAGTTTTAGCGTTGCAAGTATTTTTTTTTAAATGAACAGATTTTAAACTCTTGCCCTGCACAATCCGTAAGGTTCATGAGTTGTGCAAAAACAAAATGATATAGTATTGAAGTGACTGTTGAATTTTATATGTAGTATTCTAAGGCAGGGAGTAGGTAAAGCTAACTCTTTCGATATTCTTTTTCAGGAACCCAATACATGACAGCATTCCAAGTGTGCAGCGACCTTTGCCTAGCACTGACAGTCTCGTGACCTCCCTATCTGTACTCAACATTAACAACTCAAACCACAATATCTACAATGAGAGCTCTGCGCATGCAAATCACGCAGCCCAGTCCACGACCGCCACCATTAACGGTCCACTCCGATATCAAGACACCACTAATCAGTTCCATCCATTTCCTTTTCATAAGTGAGTTTTCCTTTTTGTTTCCATCTATATCTTGTATCATAGTTCTCCAAATAGTAATCTTAAAAAGAATGTAAATAGACGTTAAAAATTCCAAAACAGACCATAACAAAATATAGAATAAATAATGAAATAAAATTACCATCACATACAAAAATTTTGAATTAAAGATGCAATTTCCTAATTTTGTCTGTTTCCCCAGAATTTTGATGATTTTTCTATTTTAATTGATTTTTACCTGTTTTTGGATTTCATAGTTTCTAGCTCTCCCATTTATATCAACATTTCATCCATTAAAAGTAAATGTTTATTGTTTTATTTTCAGAACCAAAGGTAGAAATGTACATCTTAGTCCAGACTCATTAGTTGCAACCCGCTGTGATACTGAATTTTGTCAGGGTTATGTTTTTACTGCAAGGCCTTTGCGGCTAGGAGAAAAAATTGTCATTCAGGTATGTACCATTGCTCTTATTCTTTCAGTAAATTTCACCCATCATCCACTGATTTAAGTGAATTTTTTTCTGTCTCTCTGTTGAAGGGACTAAGCAATATGTAAAATCATGCGCATTTCGCAACTGTAAATAGTATGTAAGTGAAAAGGTTGCACGGGTTTTTAAAAAACGCTTTAGTTCCCGCACCTTCTGTTATTAATATTCGAACATATGTTTTGACAGACTACTGCCCATCATTCTTAGGGATCAATGGTATGTAATGGTATCTCTTATGAGATGACTTTTCATTGCATGTACTGCAATTAAAGGTCTTGCTTTATAAATGTGGGAAATAATTAAATGCTGAACCATTTATGAGCTGTTTTAATCATTTTCATCTCTCTACTTGAATCTAATTTCAAATATTTTTTTCTTGCAGATTTTAGGAACAGACTCCATATTCCTCGGTGCACTAGCTCTAGGACTGACATCTTGTGATCCATCTACGCTTAGCTCTGCTGACCTCCCAGATGACTCTGACCTCTTGCTGGATCGACCAGAATACTGGGTTGTCAGCAAAGATGTAGCCGGAGCGCCGAAAGCTGGCGATGAATTAACGCTCTGTATTAGTTTCAATGGTAAGTTTCAAATTAGTGCTAAGAATTTCATCTGTTTCTAGCAAAGGCATTTCTTAAAGCAGGATCAGTCTGCTGGATGGAATCAAATTTTGAAAACATATTTAAAAAAGAAATTCCCTAAGTATATTGAGAAAAAATCTCCAAAGTTTTAGTGTCCAACGTATGGAAATCTCCGAAGTAGCTGAATGTGGAGGACGATAAAAACTCGAGTGTTTGCATGTTCTTGGCAGAGTGTGGCCGAAGAACTGACTTATCTAATCAAGCTTATTAATACTCAAATTCATGCCAAGTGCTAATCTGAATAATGCCCCTATCTCATTGTCGCTCCGTTTTTCTGAGATCCCAAAGAGACACCCACTCCACCCGCTCTTGTACTTCGTACCTTTCGCACTTGAAGGTACTCGCTAACTCGTATTTCACTCGAGAAGATTTAGCATCGATTAATCAAAAAGAATGATACAGCACAATTTCTCTCAGTGATTTACTAAAATTGTCCATATTTGCAACATCTCAACAGCAATTTTCTGGATCATTTCTATTTGCTTTTGTTACTGTTAGACTCAGGACATTTTATTCAAATATCGAGTGTCGAGCCTCCGGTTTTAACTCGTGATCAATTTAAGGGTCTTGTTTATTTCAAATTTTCACTGAAGTACCAGCCTGTGAAGTGGTTGTAGGTGAACATATGAAAAATTGTATAATGTGAAAGTCCCAAAAGAGGAACCATAAAGAATTCAAAGCATTAAAATGGAAGTCTTTAAAATTTATTTTTAATGGCGTCATGTTCATTTTATCTCTACTGACATAGTTTTTCTCCAAAGCTTTTTCTCTTTTTTATTTAAAATAGAATGATATCAAAAACACGTACACATTGACAATAGAGTTTTTTTTTTAAAAATAAAACCAACCAAGGTTTCATCAAACGCCATATCCGCTTTTTTATTTTCATTCTTCCTGCACAGTCCGATTTCATGTCTGTAGATTCTTATGTTTAAGTTACTTTTTATTATTAATACTAATGGATTTTTGTTTTTTGTTTTTCAGGTGAAGTCCAAATGAGCAAAAATGGAAGTCCGCCAGCGACATTGATGCATGTCGACCAGACACTTCGTCTATGGGCCTTCCTTGATGTCTATGGCTCAACTCAGAAAATTAGATTGTTCGGCACAGAAAGTCCAGGTAATCATCTATAAAAAAGTCTTACATTTTTAGTATTTGGAAAGGGAGATCCTCTACTTTTTGTTAGAAACTTAATTTTTTGATTATATTCTATCCTTTCGTTCAATCTGAAATCAGCAAGTCTGATTGTGAGTCGCACACATGTGCTTATTTTTACTTGTTTTTCAAATACCTGTCACTGCTGTTGTTTGAAAAATAGGCAGTTACTATGTTGAAGGATAAATTCAAGTTTTCCTAGGATTTTCAGTGGTAGTTCCACCCTCAATACAGTAGGAGTGCAGAAATTTCCCGATCATACGATCATGATATTGTGGGCGACCGCATGATAAAAAAGAAAAGACTGAAAATTAGGAAGACCAGCTCGCCAAAGCGTTTTAATTTCGTCAAAAATTACAGTGAAATTTGCACGTTTTTGGCAAAATTGTGGCAAGAAGGTCATAAGTTAGAAAGTTTTTGGGGGAAAAAGATTTTTTAAATAGAATGGCCAAAAAGTGCCCAATATGTTTAAAAATAAGGGTGATTAGTGCAGAAAAAGATCACCTCGGGCATCGTTCAAATTATGCAAGGTTTTACTTTTCCTTGAAGAAGAACCTTAAAGTTTGTATCACAAAGGATCTTAATATACAGAAAATATTTTAAATCTGAGAATCGCCTGATGCCACTTACCTTCTTCTGTAATTCTCAAACCCTAGCCCATTTTTTGTAGTTCTCTAAATTGCACTTTACCTTATAATTAATGAAATCAATGATGAATTTTCTAATGTACCATTTTTTATCAATCATGTTTGCTAATAAAATCGTTTCCTTTGTGCAGTTTCACTTGCCTGTTCTCCGCCAGCAATGAGGAGTAGTCTAGTCGATAGCCAGCTGCGTGTTAGTTTTCCAGAGCAGAATCACCAAAACCAACTTAATCAACACAATGGAGGTCACCGCGTCCACCAAAACCCTCCACCCCCTCCATCTACCTCTGCGCCTCCGCGCTTGCGACTTCCAGACAAAGCCTCAGGAGTTCAAGTTGGTGCCAATGGGACCGTGATTGTAGTGAACCTGTCTCCCGCTCAGTCAAACTATTTCAACCAGGAGCAAGCAACGCCTTTTGTCACTGCCCAGCAGTCGCGTATCTTAATGCCTTCGGTGTCTCATCCCTCAAATCCTTCCGGCACCATGATGTCCAATTGTAGTCACACGTATATTGAGGTGAGTTTTGGTTTTATTTTATTTTTCACTCTCTTTCCCTTTTAATGATGTACCTCTGTAGCTCAGAGCTTTGAATTGTAACTACAATTAGTGAGAAAATCAAGTTATTTGCATTACTACTGCTTTATTCCTACTCTTTCTTCGCCCTGTAGTGACCATATTTGGATGAAATGGAACCTGAATGCAGCAAGTCACTTTTTGGGGGAGAAAAAGAATTGGGATTAATTTTGAATTTCACCAGTCTTAAATTTTCTCCTGTCGGAAACTCAAAGTCGAGGAAAAGCATTTTGAACGTAAAAATAGTGGCCAAACTTTGTCCTTAACACTAAGTTGTATGGTAGAATAAAACTTCAAACTTTTTTTTCTTGGTTTAAACTTAAATTCCATTCGTGTAATTGAAATATATTTTCATTTTTTGGGTAAAACTTGTTTCAAAGTATACTCAGTGTGCAATTTGAAGGTCAGAGCTCATTTTTGCTGCAATCTTTGAGATCTAAGTTTATCTGTGCCGAATTATTTACAACTTAAGATGTATTTTTCTTAAAGCTAAGAAAATTTCACATTTAAACTTCTTTATTCTTTTTACCTTTATGTAAGGAGTGCTTACTTGTATGAACTTCAATGTTTTCTAACCCTGTTGATTTTTTTTTGTTCTTTTAATTTTTTCAATTTATGCTAATTCTGCTCTATTTTCTTTTCAACAGCCTGTAAATATGCTAGAAGGAACGCTAGCAGGTGGTCCATCAATGCAGGAGTGGGTTCAGAACGCTGCGCACAGCAATACGCTAACGGGCAATGAATGCTCCATCTGTTACGAACGCTCCATAGACTCTGTTCTGTACATGTGTGGGCACATGTGCATGTGTTACGAGTGTGCTGTCCAACAATGGCGCGGCAAAGGTGGCGGCCAGTGCCCCATGTGCCGGGCCCCAATCAGGGATGTCATCCGGACCTACAAATCCTGAACCCAAATGTCAGCTTTGTAAACTCCCAAAAATTGTCAGACTGAGTAATTTTTTGTCAATTTGTTGAATTTGTTGTCTCTTTGTTGTCAGGGGTAGGATGATAGGAATTTTTTTTTACTTTTTTTTTATTGAACTCTGTGTAATGATCTACTTATTTTAATGCTAATGGGACTCTAGCAACTGTTCTGGAATGATTTTTTGTCATGCACCCTTTAGTTCAAGAGCATTTAATGGATTATAAATTATTAAGATATGTCGAGTTTCCTGGCAATTGATTTGAAGGAATACCAAAACCAGTGCTATCATTCTGCACAATAATTTTGCTTGTAATGTTTTAACATGACTGTATGGCTTTACTTGTTACTATCCTAAAAATTGAAGTTCCTAAGAAATATTTTTGAGTAGCTGTAGACACTTAATCTTTTTCAGAGTGTTTCATCTGGCATTGAATTTTGTTTAAGTGTCAACTCTTACCGTAAATTTACTCTTTACTGACAGGTTTTTTGCATTCTCAAGGAGTGAATGTATTTTGTAAAAACTGGTCATTAGAATAAAGAAAAGAAGTGAATTTTTTTTCATCGCTGTGACCATTTTCTCGGTAATTTTGAGAAATTGAATTATCAGCGATCAGATTATCTTTCCACTGCTGGTAGCCTTTGCATGAAAAATATCAGTCTTGATCCTGCCATTCCAGCGAGATCCTTACAGAACATTTGTATTAAAACTCCTCGTCACTTTTGTAAGCTCTGAGTTATAAAATAGTCAAGAATCTCTCATGAAGATAATCTTTCTTTACAACTTAAACATTTTTTAATACATATTATCCTCTTTTATTTCCGTACCTTAGTTAGCACGACTTGCTGATTCATTATGAGAATTATGTTGTTAACATTGAATATTTGTGTTGGAGGTAATATGATTTCTCAACAGAATAGTGCGATCCATATTCTTATGCTATTTGCAGCCTCTGACATTAGGCTGTCTTTTGTGTTAATACTGATAGCATCGCTGATCCAGTTATAAATCAGTTCAGTCCAGCAATGGTGTAATTTAATCATATAAAGTATACCTGTAAGCTTTATCAGCTCAGTTGAGCCTAAGTCAATTATTTCGAAAGCATCCAATCTCCTTTTTCTGGAAAGCTCTTTTTGATTATCACTGTCGAACTTAATTCGTCTCCACTTTTTCATTTAAAATTATCTTCAGGCTCTCAAAAGTGTCCTTCCAGAGCATTCAAAAAACTTAACTTTTCATCCAAAAACAGATCCAGGCAACCAATTGTGTGCTAAATTAATATGAAAGGAAGGAGAAATGGAAAATTATATAACTTAAACACACTAAATAAATTGATGTAAACACCTTTTCGTTTTGAAAAGTTAGAATTTCAGTCTTGAAGAAGGGACGGCAGGGTCCTAAAATTTGTAGACGTTTATTTTAATTTATTTCGTGAGTTGAAGTTCTCCAGTTTTCTGTCTCTCTCTTCTCTTTTAAACGTTTCGCATCAAGGTAAAATGAGCATTTTAGAAAAATGAGATTGTTTCTTTTAGAAATGAGAGATTTATTATCTTCGTTGATTATCCTATCCCTGAATGATGCTCTTAATTTATTTTTAATGTACAGTTTAAAGTTCTTTACGATGGATCTTAGTCAATTTATTCAGTTTCCTTCCCGAGCTGTTCTTGTATCATTCTAATTCCCATCAAAATTACTTCTGATTTTTAAGAATGTGTGCAACCTTTAAAATGTTGTATCTTTGTGGCCAAATTTGACCCTTATAACAGTAGGTTTCTAGCAATCGTGTTCCTATTTTGACTCAGGTTGTACAGACTTTTTCAGTTTTTTCTTTCTTTTTTTAAATGATATTTGATACTTTTGGAAAATACATCTTTAAAAGTGAAAATCCTGACATTGAGAGACCGAGCTACCAAGATCCATCATTTGAAGAGTATTTTTGAAGAAAACTTCAGCAATAAGAAACATCTTAGTATCTCTGTTCATCGTTTTGAAGCAGTTTTGATGGAAATGAAGATTCTCAAGGCAGCTTTTTACTATTGAGGCATTTATGTTTTTCCCTTTTTTATGTTTGTAATTATCCATTTTGATGTATATTTGTAAAACCCAAGCGAAAGCAAGATATTGTTTATTTATGTTTTATGTTTCTGTCGGTTAATTTTGTTTACTTGTTCTGATATTCTAAGTCTTAGATTATAAAGAAATTTTTACAATGTGTACCACGTACCAAAAAAAACAAAGAAAAATTAAGAGAAGAAATAAAAGTCATTACATTAATACTGAAACAGTGTTATTTTCATTTCCACGTACCACTCATACCTAAGAATTTATGTCTTAAATTTGCAGTCAAGATTCTCTCATGATGGCATTTTTGAGCATCATTCCTAGCAATCAGTTTTATGCACGTAGAATGCCGGCTCTTGAAATAAATAGATGGTTCTTATCTTTTCACTTACAAGGATTGTTATTTTGGCACATGAAAATTAAAGATATCTAATAATGACCTATTTTTTCACAAGCCAGTAGCACTGCTTTCAAAATCCCAGAGATTTTCTCCAAGATTATACAACACATTTTTGGACATTTGCTCTAATAGTGACCCACAGTCCTTAAAGGGATTAAACACTACAAAGTGACGTAAAAAGCTAGGAATCCATCCGAACCACCTAAACATTTGGAATGAAACAAAAAATCTGGAAAAATCTCTCATTGATTGCAAATCATATCTCATGGTCATTTAGATCTTGTCAAAGATATTACTGTGATTGGTGCATTGTGAAGTTAACAAAAGATCAGGAACAATGGCTTCATTAGTTCGAAGGGCGTTTTTTTGAGCTACAACAAATAATTATTACAAAATTTCGTAATATTTGTGCATTGAAAGACAGTTACTTGAATCTATTGAAAACCTCTACTCATTTTTAGGTGTCACTTTTAACCACTGTAGTTTTTCTCCTCAAATCATTTGTGGGAAGTGTCTTTCGATCAGATAACGCTAGCTTTTTTGTACAATAAGGTCAACTCAGTGCCAGAAAAAGTGATCATATCAATAATCAACGTGCCAAATTGATTCTCTGCGCTCAAAAACCGTTTAAGTACAACTTTGAAATTTATTTTACAGCAAATTCTTATTTTTTTTTATCAATGTAGAGGAGCATTCCCTCGGATAGGTACTGTTTTCAAAATTTAAGAATTCATTGATTTTCGTCAAAAGCATGAGAATTTGAATGCTCCATTTCGATTACTTACTATACTTACGTGCAATACCGCCTAAGGGCCGTCCATAAATTTCGTCGCCCATTTTTTTCAATTTTTCGACCCCTCCCTCCCTCGACGTATCTAATCGTCATCCAATGCTAGACCCTCTCTAAAAATTACGCCATCTGTACCAACCCCCCTCCCCCCTCCTTCGGGGAAACGCAGAAAATCGACAAAAATCAGTAGATCAAACAAGCAAGCATTTTCAGCCTTTTTGCCTTTAGAAAAGCTTACGTCATCCTTGGCTTGACCCTTCCCTCCCCTCCCGTCATCCACCGCCCCCCCCTCTCCCTACTTGGATGACGTAATTTATGGACGGTCCCTTTCTGCTAACGGACGATTTTGCAGAACGAAGAGAAAACTTCGCCACTTTTGTAATTTTAGGCAATGTTAGATTTTCAATTTTTGTAAACATTACAGTCTTTGCAGCACTCCCCTTACTGACTTTGAAAAAAAACTAAAATCGTCAACTTGCGCACTTAATAGTATTATTATTAAGTTAATACTGTACGTAGAATGTCGCTAAGTCGCTATATCATTTTTGCTGAAATTGTCAGTTAAGCGGTTTCGTTTGTAGCCCTCAATCTATGTTTATCTTGAAACAATTATTTTCGCTCTACTTGGCTACCTAGAACTGCCGCGCAAGGCAAGAACGCCGTAAATCCATCAAGATTTTCCCGCATTTTTTGGAATAATAAAAACTGTTTTACCCATGCACCTCAAATTTTCAGGTTAAGTTCTTGATATTATTTGCGAAACAATTCTGTAAAAACATTGTTCCAATGCACACAAGTTTTTCTGCTATGATAATTACATTCTTTCCAAAAAATTTAAAATGACGTTTACGGCGTTTTTGCGTTCACGGCAGAAAACTTAAACCTGCTCATCGGAGTGTTGTGTATGTTGCCTATCTACTAGTTGAAGGGGTTTGAGCTCCTCTCATTGAACTTTTTGCAATGAACTAGAAAAAAGGAACCATTCTTAATTGCTTTTGGCGGGTAAGATTTATCGAAAGCTAAAGTCGAGAAATGCATATTTCATTTGCATTTTAAATCTTAGATTATACTCTCTTTAAAAAAATGTAAAAAAACTTAATGAGCGGAGGAAAACTGTTGGTTCATCAATTTTAAAAAATCAAGATCTGAGCGGAAATTTGCATCGTCATAATGCTGTCGTGTTGAGGAAGAACGCCGTATGAACATTCGAGAGTTGCCAAATTTCCTTTAATACAATCTTTATTCTTGAGGAAAGTTGTGAATATTTTCCCTTGAAATTATCATAGGAACTTTAGATCAAAATACGAACAAAATTTTCTGAAAAATTGGAAAAAAAAATGTTCATAAGTTTACAAGGGAATCCGTGTTTAGTCAAAGAAAATGTGGCAACTGCTGAAAGTTCACACGGCGTTTTCCGTTGGCACGACGGAATGGGAGGTACCTACACATTTTTCTAAATTCGATCTCGGCCATCAATATCTTAGATGTGTATGCATTGAATTAAAGAAAAAAGAAGAAAAAAAAAACCTACCCAATAAAATATACATCAATTCAACTAAGATTGTGGGAAGCTCCATCAATTCGTAATTTTTAACCATAGATGGTTGTGGTTTGATTCATAAAGTCTCGTTCCATTTGTTTTTTCAGTCCTTTAAAAGTGTCCTGATAGGTACCAACGTACGACACCATGAACATTATTAATAAGTTGTCTTTACTGACAACTATGTTCCGAATGCTCGGTGTAGGAAGGCTTAGTAATGTTGCTGATAACGGTGATTTAGGTATGATCGTGTGTTTTTATTCTTTACACGGGTTTCTGTCACCAATTTCCAAAATTACTTTTTTTTTTTTTTTTTTTTTTTTTTTTTTTTTTTTTACCAAAAGGGTGTGAGTAGGTGAAGGGAGTTAAATGGGTCATTGACAGAGGTCGGAATGTTAGCTTTAATATTTAAACTACCCTGTGAGCTGAAAAGGAAAAATCTCCTTGGTTTTTAAATCAACCAAGTATTGAAAAAGTCATTACGAAGTACGTGGATTTGTTGAAAAATACGGGTTTATTTTAAACACCCAGTGAGGTCACAATAGCGATCCATCTTTGCAACATTGAAGCAAATTTTCTCCGTGATCCCATGTTGAAAAAAAAGTGTGAAACATTTTTTCAACTTAGCTCACTATATACTTTTACGTGAAGCAATAATATTTAGGTATACTTATGGCACTGACCCATATTGTACCTATTGCTTATTTGCTGTGGCAGACTTTATGTATTTATCTAAGGAAGTATGTTTTGTGAGTAAATGGATCACGTTTAGCAGAAAGTAACGTAGCCACATCAGCTATTGTCAAAAATTGAGCATTTTATTTTCCTTACGGAAGAATGTTTGTTCGGATTCTCTTGAAAATTTTAAGGAATTTTATTCGCACTGTACAGAAAATTCACTGAAATTTGCACAAAAATCCATAGAACTGTCTTCTTGTAAAAAACTAATTTGCCCGATGAAATTTGGCTACAGCTGATGTGGTCTGATGTGTTCCTTTCTGCGTAACGCGGTCCAAAATACGCTCAAGATTTCCTTTAAAGATTTTCAACAGTGTGTACAGCCTTTGTTTATCTTATCCCTGAATTTTCAAGTTAATTAGCAATTTTCGAAATGGATTTATACCTTTTTAACATCAACAGGAAACCAATTTTATTCACTGGTATAAGACTAAATAATCCAATATAATAACCAATTCAATGACTATCCAGTGAAATAATAGCTGTATAAATCCTACACAAATGCGAAAATGTTCAGTTTTTTATCACGTCCTTTAAAAATTCATTGCATAAGATCAACGTAGTATCATAATTGCATGATCCTCATTTGAGTTGAGAGTAACCGAAGTTATTTTTACTTTTACTTTTACGTTTTACTTTGAATCAATGATTGAATCAAATGATTTTTGTAGCGTCTCACGTAGGAGAATACGAGGAGAACCACCATGATAAGAGTATCACTTATCGCTCAGATAGACAGGATGATTCCGAGTTAATATTGAAGCTCTTTAACAATCCTTATAATAAACTCAGTCGGGTAAGTCATACCTTGTGTGATATGTAACTTAGATGAATCGTATAACCCATCGTATAATCATATTCATTTTGTGATGTACGATTTCATCTTTTTGGGAGTAAATAATTGTGTCACGTGTTTCGCCCCATCCAACTTTTCTACTCTGCATTAAAGTCTCTGAGTCAGCCGAAGAGAGTTCACGTTCTCCTTCATTTCATGGATATGCAATTTTACATACTTGAAAGCTGAAATAATTGTATCACGCGTTTCGCCCCATCCAAATTTCCTACTCCTGCGTTAAAGTCTCCGAGTCAGCCGAAAAGAGTTCACGTTCTCCTTCATTTCGTGGATATGCAATTTTACCTATTTGGAGGTCGAAATAGTTGTATCACGTGTTTCGCCCCATCCAACTTTTCTACTCGTGCGTTAAAGTCTCTGTCTCGAGAAGATTACACCTTTCCCTTCATTTCGTGGATATGTAATTTTACGAAATAGTTGTATCATGTTTCGGTCGTCTGTCCGTAAATATTCTGCACCCCTGATTCGAAGCCTCATTAAGCCTCCGTTTATCACGACGTAGAGTAGACCACATGGGGCCTCCCTGAAGAGAGGAGCTTATCAGGGAACGACCATGATTATGTCCCTAAATAATTCTAGTTCCCGTTCTCCAATTTTTCAGTATTCAATACTCTTTTTGTTTTGTTATTATTCCGTTGGAGCAGGAAGACTTCGACTTCGCAACAGCTGATTCTCACAGACCTTTTGAGATGCCGGACTTTGAGCTTTCGGAGATACAAACGCTTGATCGCAGGACACATTTCTCCGCTTTTGACCCACTGCACCGGGAACTTGCCGCCAAACTAATCAAAATATTCATGCGTATGAGAAACTCTTTCTTGGTGATTTTCTGTCCCAGCTAATTATAAATCTTTTCATGAGAACAATAAATGTTAAAAATATTGCCCGAATATACTGTGGGCAAAGGTCGTTAGAATTGTGTGTTCCCGGCACTTTTCTACTTCTTCAACTCCTTCCTTTCAATGAAGTATACATCGATTTCGTAGAGAAGCTTTCATGACAAGCAATGAAAGCGTGACCGCATTTTTGAGGACAACCAGGCAACCATGGGTACAGACTGGGGCGGTAAATTCGATATTAAGAATTGAGAGAGAGAGGAAAATAAGCTTTATGTGGATCAAACTTACACAAACGGGGCACACTTTTTTTAGTTATCTTATTTTTTTCTAATTCAAGGCACATATATCATTTCATTTTTAGATCAAATTTAGAAACATCGGGAGAGATATTTTAAAAAGTTTACGTGCGTTAAGTAACGAATATACTTCGCATTCTAGGTCAACGAGATTTGAAAGAGCTGGTATCAATGTCTGGATATTTGCGTGATGAAGTTCATCCTGATTTGTTTAACTACGCACTGTCGATCACTTTAATGCACAGAAAAGACACAAGCAATCTGCAAGTACCCCTTTTGGCGACGGTTATGCCTCATAAGTTTATTGACGCCAAAATACTTAGAAAAGTAAAGGAGGCAATAAAAAATGGCACGTATGATTCTAACGTAAGTTTGCAGTTTTATTGACTCAATTTTTTTCAATTTTATTTTCAATTGCGATTGATTGATGGCAAAATAAATGCTACGGTATCGGAATGGTGTGCACGCTGCCTACCTGCTAATTGAAGGCGCTCAATTGAACTTTGTTGAAATAAAATTGAAATAAGTTGCAATATTTTTCTTTCAATCATTCTTTCAATCAATTAGCTGCAAGTTTCGTCTGGGCGTTTAAGCTCGGCGATCATTACCAAATAATGTGAAAATGATTTAATTTCACAAATCAAAAAGTTTAATTTTCTTTAATATCTCTGTTACAAAATGCTATTTGTATTTGGGTCAAGGAAGAATTTGGTGGGATGCAACTTTTTTACACACAGCCAATGACAATAGAGAGGAGGCTTAAGGTAAAAACGAATAAAACAAACAGGAAACGAGACAAATAATCTTAAAGAAAAAGAAAATCGAGATGTGTAAGTTGGCCAATAGTTAATTATTATTTGTCGAACTAGAGCAACGTTCCACGCTGAGGGCGCGTTTTTTCTCTCTTCTTTTCACCCTTGTTCCACTTTTGTCTTCCTTCCCTTCTCCTCTTTTCCCACATTTTCTCTGTTCCCATTATTTATTTCTTCCTATCTATCACCCTCTATCCCTTTGTTCCTTCCTTTTTTCTCCCTAGTTTTCCCTTTTACCTCTTTTACTCCCTCTATGTCATTTTTTCTCTAGGACAGGGAAGTTTACTCCGTGATTTTTTTTTTCTTTTTCTCAAAACGACGTATTCTTCGTTAATAATTCTTTAATTCTTTCTTTCCATAATTGCATTAATAATGTTTATGAAGATGCAAGCGTTAAATTTTTTTCAATTTCCAGAATCCTATTTTTATGACGCCACAGCAAACGACTTCAAAAGACGAAAATCTCCTTCACTATTTCCGTGAGGACATTGGCGTAAGTACGCACCACTGGCAATGGCATTTGCTCCACCCCTATCGTCTACAAGTTCATAACTTCGGGGAGATCATACCCCCTAAAAATCGACGAGGGGAGTTATTCTACTTCATGCATCAACAAGTCCTGGCCCGGTGAGTCGTACTATGTTACAAGCAGACATTATAGTTTCTTTAACATTTATTCCTTAAAAAACATATTCCATAAAAACGAGCCGAGTGATTCTTTTGACCCACGTGGGCTTCGATTTTTTGTGAGCGGAAACTTTGAACTGATGTGAATAGAAAACGCTTTTTTTTTATCATCAAATCAATCTAAAAGCAATGCGCAGTTCACCATATCGTAACCCTCCGGCCGAAATATCAGAAGCGACATGCGACTTTTCAAAATTTCCGCCGTCATTTTATTGTTTCACAGAGAAGTTGTTGGTTCAATCTGTACGAAAATTTCACCGAATTTTATCGGCAGCAGAAAAAAAATTTGAGGAAATTTTCGGACAGCTTTGTTGAACAATTTCCCTGTGAACAAATGAAATGGCGGCGGAAATTTTTTAAAGGTAGCATGGCGTTTGTGATACTTCGGCCGTAAGGTGACGATTTTCTACGTGCAAATTCGATAAATAAACATGTATACTAATTTCTATCTCGAATCATTCCTACTGATTTGATCGATGTGATCGTTTGACAAAGGTTGGAAAAGGCACGATATAACCGAGTTAATTAAGCCAGAAAATTATATCTTTCTCCTTTTATCATGAAAAAACACCGTAGCCACCGTATGGAAACACTTTCGTGCTTCAGGCGTTAGGTTTACTAAGTTAGGTACTACTAGGTACTCCTATGATTTTCTATACATACATTCTCATTTTTAGGTACCACTTTGAACGATACAGTAATGGTTTAAAGAGAACAGCAGACTTAAGGTTTGAGGAGCATAAGCCTATACCGGAACCTTACTATGCAAAAATTGAAAGATTGCCCTCAATTCCATACGCAAGCAGAGAAAAAAATACGATTTTAAGGGTAAGTGATGTTTTATTGAACACATTATTTGGTCATTAGAAAGTGTCCTTAGCTATCAACGTCTCCATGTCTTACATTTTTACCACTGATAATTTGAGAAAATCAAGTGTCCATTACTCGACATGATCTCTTAAGCAAACCAGCCTGGTATTTTTTCTCTCTTTTCTAATTTGCATGAAATGTGAATTGTGAAACACCCTCGCCTCGTGGCATTGGGGACGGGATGTTATTTCATCCTGGTGAAACCCATGCACGTGCAACAAATCATTTTTTAGTGTCGGAACAGTTCTAAGTGTACGAATTCATTGCTCTCTCCCTCCCCCCATCTCCTCATTGCCCCCCATCTCTCCTCCCCCTTTCTCCTCCAGTTACGTCATCTCTCCTCGTGTGATCACGTTCAGCAATTTTTTTTTTTTTTTTTTTTAATGTCTTAGCTATCTAAGTGTACGAATTCATTTGTACTTCTCTGGCTCTCTCCTCTCTCTCTCTCTCCCTCTCTCCACCCCGCCCCTTATTTCTACATTTCTCCTCTCCACCTCCCTCTTTATCTATCTGTGTTGAGGAAGAGATTATTTAAAGAGATAACCTAATTTGGTGTCTGGGGTCAGTTTTGTTCGATGTTTTTTGTATTTTTTTTTTTTCTGTCAGAGCACTGAATAAAGTTTTAACATTAAAATCTCGTCAATCCATAGTTATTTTAATCAAATTAGCAAGCATTTAATTCTATTTGTTTTTCAGACGTTTAAATATCCACCCAACGAAACCGTGACAGTTAAAGACATACAACTGTGGGGTCAGCGAATTCTAGATTCAATCAGACAGGGCACGGTATTATATGTAAGTTATTCCTGCGAGGTGGTACCTTGTCCCCCATCATATTATTTTAGAAAAATAATTCAAATACTAAATAAAGTCTATTATTTTATAAGAATAAGCAAAGAAAAATGAAACGAAATTTCACGAATAAAAAACGGTCAGTTTTAGTCCACTAAAATACAATTTGTATTTAAATCTGATTAATATTCTTACCGATGTACACTCTATAACTGTATATCACGGTAAAAAATAAAATGTAAAACAATAATTTCAATCACATGTTACCACTCATTAAAAAATGTGGTATGTCGATCCATAGCTTCTACTCAATAAGTTAATATTAAGTTAGAAACAAAAAGTTTGAATTAGTAGACATTAACTACAGGTTTAAAAAACCATATCTATAGTAGGGTCAAGATATCAGATATAATAAAAAATACAAATTTAAAAAAAAAAAAATACAAAATTTGACAGAAAGATTGTTTTGGCTCATGCTGAGATAAAAAATTCATCATTAATTTCAAAACTTTTTGATTTTATCTTTGATCAGCTGAATAAACACTCAATTTTATCAATGAAATATTCATCTTCTGTTGAGTAATCTGACTTCTTATTTCTGAGCAATGTACCTTCAAAAGAATGTCCACTTAATTTTCTCTCCCTATTTACAGGAAAACGGTACAATAATAACGCCAAAAAACGAGGAGTATATTGATATTCTTGGTAATATGGTCGAGGCATGTACAGCAAGTCCCAATTTGGGTTACTATGGATCCCTTCACAACAAAGGTCACGCTGGGATAGGGCAGTGCCATGGTCCGGTAATCAGACATCGATGGCTGAAGTAGCAAAATGCGGGTTTCCACTGCAACGTCTCAAAATTTCCGATGGTTTTTTTTTTTTGGTTTTGTTTAATTTAGCCATAACCAAAATGACTTTTTGAAGTTTGCCGTGAAGAAACTTACAAGGAAAGAAAAATATGTCGTTTCAATATTTCCGATTGTGTTTTATTTTTTTAAATTCGATAACCAAAATGTCACTTTGATGTTTTCTGTGATATACTCACAAGGAAAGAAAAAAATTTGCAAGAATTAAAAAAAAACTTAAATTTTGGTCGTTTTCTTGTAAAAATTAAAACAATACCAACAATTTGCAACGTCGCAATCGGAGATTCGCATTTTTCTTTCAACTTCAGTCATCGATATATGCGTAATCTCTATGAAACAGGGACATTTTTTTCTCTTAATTTGGGGATCACTCGGAATTTTTTCGAACTTATAGACTCTCATTGGCGGATCCAGCAAATTGGCAACACTGTTTTTCCCATTTAAACCTATAGAAATGTATAGATTCTTGGATTGGCCAGGTGCTCCGACAAGAATCGAATATTTAACATAGGTCGAAATGGAGGAAACTCGGTGTTGCCAATTTGCTGGATCCGCTTTTGCAGACTCTCTTTTCGCCGACCTCGGTTGATTTAGTGGGTAGCGCAACAACTATCCATTAATCAAGGGGTCCCGGGTTTAGATCCCGGCCGGGGTGAAAAGATTTGAGGGTCTCAGGTCTTGTCACTTTGAAGGGGCATGCGAGGATGTTTATTTTCTCTCATTCACATGTCCTTCTTCATTTCTCTTCAATTTCGTCTGATGGGTCTTAGTCTGCGAGAGAAGACTCTTTAACTGACTTAAGAAACGATTCTTTTTCCGATATACCTTTTTGTAGATCCTGGAGATCCTGTTATACGCAATCTCGACAGATGGTCATGCCTAAAACTTAAAGAAATGCGAATAAAATAAAAGTAAAGGACTAACAATTTTTGAGAGCGTTCCTTGCAATCGTAGACGAACCGAACAGAGTTTCATTTTCCGTTTCCGATGATGAAAAAATCATGATAATTTAAAAATGTTGATAGCGTCGTGGTAACTCTTGTGCGCGCTCGTGGTTAAAACAACGATCCTGAGCTTGCCTGAATTTCGGTCCAGTAGGCAACTAAATCAACTGCTGGATGGTGCGTTAAGTGTCGGAGGGAATTGAAGGCGCTTCGAGCCGAGTGGGGCTTTCGCACCGACGGAACTTTTGGATTTCGGTTTGAATTTTTGCTATGTTCCAAGACAACATCATTTTCGAGACGGAGAGCCCCATTAAAACCTTAAAACCTTTAAATTTGATTAGTTTTGTCATTTTTTCACCCTGCTCAAAATTCTCTGTTCCGCCGAAAAGAGTGGAGGTTCATTTTAAAACGGAAAAAAACCCTCTGCGGGGTTTTTCTTCAAACACGACTTTCTTTTTTGGCGACTCTTACGAACATTTTTTTTTGGTATAACTATATTATCAATAACTTTCCCCAAAAATGTCAATCTGGATACGATTTAGGGTTTCATTTTTTTGGAGATTGTAAGGTTTTTTTGAATGGATTTTGGGGATTCATGATTTCATCAATGTAAGGAATTTAAGAGTTTTCGTCCCTTTCAGAAAGGCGTTGGCGTTATGTACGAAAACTCATGTTCAATGCGAGATCCTGTTTTCTACCGATGGCACGGATTTGTGAATTGGATCTTCAACAGACACAAAGAGAGACTACCTCCTTATACTGTCGAACAGGTGCTCAATATTTAATATATTTTGAAGCCTTCAAAAAAATTTATGAAAATCCGCTCGCAGTTTTGCTATCTTATGATCTTTGGAGATAAGAAGTTGAGACCTCCCGAAACGGTAATACCTAGAAGTTACCGCAACTGATTTTTTTTTTTTTTTTTTTTTTTTTTTTTTTTTTTTTTTTTTTTTTTTTCTAAACCGATTTGTTTAACTCTTGATACGATGCGTACAAAGCCTCTGAAAAATCAAAATAAGACAAGGTATGTGATTCTGATTCCAGTGTTATCTGGCGAGCTTTATGAATGATCTCATAAATATGATTGGAGTTATTGAAATCAAGATCGTTCCGGATCAGTTTGCGGTAGATTTAAAGAACAGAAAGTACTTCTTCAGAGCTTATAATACCGACTTTTCTCCTTTCTTTTCCCTTGGTGGCACGTTTTTGTAAAGTTAACACTGTCCGATTTTTTACCAGAATTTTATTTTGATCCAATAGCTAGGATTTGATGGCGTCAAGATCGAAAGTGTCACGGTTCACACTCAGGACGAATCCGTCGAGGAAAATGAATTCTTAACTCACTGGGAGCAAAGTTTTATAGATGTATCTAATGGATTGAACATACCATTATCTAATGGAACAGAAAAATATAGTCGGTCATCTCCAGTCTTAATTTCCTACCGACATATGCAGCATCGGCCGTTTACGTATACAATAATTGTGAGTAGCGAGTAAAAACATAATCGATAAAACTCATTTCTGCATGTATCCTCATCACAGGAAGGGCACCAAGTGCAATAGATGGGACAGTCAGAGGTTCATTGGCCGATCCAGAAGGGGGGTATTTTTCATTCTCCTGCAATGATCTTGAAGGATAAGATAGAAAGTATGTGAAACTGGAAAGTTTCCAACAAGAATGCTGTGTAACATTTTAAAACGTACCATTGCATTTCGTGTCGTCAAAACTTCACAATTAGAATAATTTTATTATATTCACTGCACCACTATGTACGTGTTTCATTACTCGCAATTAAGTGTTTTTTCTTTTTCTTCTGTTATCATCAAATAAAAGTCTTGGAGGGCAAGGCACATAAGTGCAGTTTTTGCTATTTCGAGAAATACGTGTTTGAAGTTTCGAAATGACATGGATCCTTATGACAAAAAAAAAGTTCAAACTGACTCTTTGATGCTTGAAAATTGGAATTAGTGAACGAATTTTCACAGAATATGCATACAAAGACTAGTTTTCCGTGAAATTATCAATTTCTCAATTTTTTTCAAAAACCACACTTATGCGCCTTGTCCTTCAAGCTCCTCAAATAATACATCGATTTTCTATTTATGGCAGGTGAATTCAGATCGTGAAGTAACAGGGACTGTGCGAATTTTTTTGGCTCCTGCTTATGATCCGGATCTTGGTGAAAATTTTCATTTCTATAACCAGCGAAACGTTTTCGTTGAGTTGGATAAATTCGTAGTCCAATGTACGTATGAATAATTTTGTTAGATTTGTTGTACTTGGTAGCATGGTATTTAGTCACTGGAGCACAATATTTTCTGAGAATCCTCTCTTTAAAAATATAACAGATAAAAGTTAGATAATATATATATACCTTTCTGCTCTGGGGCACTGACATTCCCTTTCAGTTTATTGCTATCGCAAATTCGGCAAAACGTTAGTTTTGTCTGTTTTTTACCACATAATATTTCAAAAAATTATTTTCTACCAAGCTATCACCCTAAAATTCCCAAAATAGCGTCAAAAATATTTAAAATTCCCTAAATTTTTTAGGAGATAACCCCCCAATTTATGAGCTGCCTATTCATAGGGGAAGCCAGGAAGCCTACCTTTGTAGCGTAATCTGTTTCGCGCCCTCTCTATGAGCCAGGCCATCTCTTTAAGGTGATTCGTCAAGCGCAAGTGACGTGGTCTAACTGACATGCGATAAATCGCATCGATTAGGGAGAGAATCTCGGCAGAGTTTGAATTTTTAGCAAAGAAAAGGACGATAGCCCCTGCGCATGAGCCTGAAGAATCATTCTAAACCCAAAAATTTGCAAAATTCAGAGAAATGAGAGCAGAAAAGTGTTGGGAAAAAACCTCGCATTCGATTCAGCTACCGATTTCTGTATCAAATGCGAGGTTTTTTTTCCAAACACTATTCTGCTTTAATTTCTCTGAATTTTGCCGATTTTTGGGCTTAGAATGATTCTTTAGGCTCTTGCGCAGGGGCTATCGTCCTTTGTTCGGCTAAAAATTCAAAATCTGCCGAGATTTTTGACCTAATCGATGCGATATATCGCACGCCAGTTCCACCACGTCACTTGAGCTTGACGAATCGCCTTAAATCCTTACTTCCGCAAACTGCTTTTAGGACGAAATGTATATTCTACGTCATGTGATCATTTCTTATTTTCAGTGAAAGCGTCTACGAATGATATTTTGCGTCACTCTGCGGAATCAACGCTCACGGTAACCACCGACTTCCGACAGCCTCTTGGAAAAACATTAAATGCTCCAAAATTTAATAAACTCCGAGGTTGTGGATGGCCTGAGTACCTCCTAATACCGAAGGGCACACCGGAGGGTCTAGCTTCTAAGCTTTTTGTGATGATATCAGACTGGGAAAATGGAGATAAGGTCAGTATGATACTTGGGTTATATCGTATTACCATCACAGAGAAGCAGGTATCTGCAGCCATCTTTAGGGTTGAGAAAAGTCTATTCAGCCGGTATCTAGTTAAAGGAATGTATATCGTTGGTGCAAGTCGGCAATCACATATCTCGTTTGCGGTGTCTGAAAATCTCCGTCTCTATGCTATTTTTTTGAGGGAGAACAAATTGACATCATTCCTTGAAGTTTTTGCAGAATTTTCTTCGCACAGAGAAGAAAAATCATGGCAATTTTTAAGAATTGCCGTTGAGTATTTTTCCGTTTAAAAAATAAAGTATGACAGGAAGTCTGCGACGTCGCAAACCGAGTTATGTAATTGCCGACTTACACCGTCGATATGTATTAGATCTCTTTTGAAGCTCTTTAAAAGGAGTCCGGGGAACACTTGGATCGCATCCAGCAAAAAGGAACCAGCGTGATTACAGTGTTTTCAAAATCGAGCAAATTCTTATTTCTTGTAAAAATTCCGGATATCAACGTACTTTTGTTTACCTATGGAAAAACTGGAGCAGAAAGTCAAGGATGATGACACGCAGTCCTACAGCATCCCTATAGTCTTGTAGGCGCTGATGAGTTTCACGCCAACTGACCGACTGCGCTGCGCTGCGTTTGGCGCAATGCGAGAAGTATTCACGCAGTCTTGTAGGCGCTAATATAGGCTCTACGCCGACCGTGCTATGAGGCGCAATGCGTGAAGTATTCCGTTGGTCTTGCAGGCGTTAATAACCGTAGAGGCGTACCGTAACCGGCGTTAAACGCACGTTTAGAGGCCTAGATACACTCGGCGATTATTCGCCGCGAGTGAAAGACGGAAGCTAATGGAGAGCCTGGATTTCGATCCATTGACGTCGATATATCGAAATCAAGGCTCTCCATTGGTTTCCGTTTTTCACTCGCGGCGATTAATTGCCGTGTGTATCTAGGCCTTCACGCTGACGGCACTGCGTTCGGCACAATTGGACTGCATTTTGCAATTTGGACCTATAAATTCTGGCTCGTCTGAGAAAACACTTATGTGCGTAGGAAAACTAATGGCACATACGTTGTTTTTAAACCGGGCTAGAATTTCTAGGTCCAAATTGAAAAATGCAGTCCAATTATTCAAATTTACTGTCCACAACGCTCTTTCCCCATGCCCACGACTCGTGAGTGCCATATCGACGGCATACGTCCGCAATTACATATCTCGTTTGCGGTGTCTAAAAATCTCCGTCTCTACGTTATTTTTGTGAAGAAAAACAAAGTGACATCATTCCTTGAAGTTTTTGCAGAATTTTTCTCGCACAGAGAAGAAAAATCACGGCAGGTTCAAAGAATTGCCGTTGAGTAGTTTTCTGCTTAATAAATAAAGTATGACAGGAAGTCTGCGACGTCGCAAACCGAGATACATGGATGCGGACTTACACCCTCGATATATGTACAGTATTAAAATTTACAAAATTATTTCCCTTTAAAACTAACAATTGTTTGTTGGGATGCAAAAACGTTTTGCTATTTTGTGCGATTTTTTAGATAATTATAAAGAAGCAACATTTTAACAACAAAAGATTTTTTGGTTTTCGGCTACTCATAATGCGAAAACAAAAGTTGAGCTTTTAGCCGACTTTGCAAAAACCATGCGTGTCCACCATGTTAAGGTAAAATTGTAAATATATTAATATCCTCTTGCACATTGTTTTTTTTTATTAAAGCAAGGCCTGAGTCGCAATTATTGCATATTATTTTTGTAAAGTCTGCTAAAAGCTCAACTTTTGTTTTAACAACACTGTGATTGCGCTGGTTCCTTTTTGCTAAATTTGAGCCACTTTATTGTTTTAGAGATATTGTAAGAGCATCTCTTTTGTGGTATTAGGGATGACATGGGAAAACCTTACTAGTATGCGCCAATATCGGAGCGAATTTACAACAGTGCTGAAGACTTTTGTCTGTGTAGGTCAGTGGGAGCGTACCGACTGCTGAGCTTCAAGCTGAGAACCCTCTGTGCGGTGTAACAGAAGGGCTGTACCCTTACAAAAGGCCGATGGGTTTCCCCTTCGATCGCCGCGCAAGGGATGATGTTGAGACTTTGGACGATTTTATACACCGAGGCACTGGCAAGCGCCGTGAACGCTTCTCAAATATGTATGTTGTGGACACGAAAATTAGATTCGACGGATCTCGCTGATGCTGGGAATGACAGCCACGTCTTGTCAGCGACTTTCAAAAGTGCGACTGGCGCGAGGAAATCTATAATTTTAAAATTAATTTTAATATTGACTCATTTATTTGAGCCAGCAAATTTCATTTTTTCGTTAATTTTATCATGTATACTTTTTTGTAGTCTTAAACTGTAAATATATCGTCAATTTTTGCAATCGGTCATTGCGACCCTTTTATTGTACCGAACGGTTCTTAGTGTATTTTTTCGAAGAAAATACACTATTGCATTTTCCCATGATGTTGGACCCAGACCCAGAGCAATGCAGAGACGGTAAGGCGACTAGAAAGTAATAGGAGGGGTCGGACAAAATTTGGGAACTTTCAAAGCTCATAACTCCGTGCATACAAAACTTTGAGGTTTAAAACGTGTTTCCACGGGTTTCCTCGTGGCATTTTCTTCCGAAAGCAGCCCTTAGGCCGTGTCCACATGCACGAGCGCGGTTCGCGGAACTTAGTTCGAGGAACTTGTTTCCGGAACAAGTTTTAGCTGAGCTAAAAACTTATTCCTCCTAACCCCGAAGCTTCCCCCGTAATCCGAGCTTCTACATATTTTTCTTTTGATTTGATTTGTTTGTTTTTGTTTTTTACGTCCTTTACATGTTTTGAAATTTATTTTTGTTACTTTGGCGGCCGTAATAATCTATTATTTTGCAATTATTGTATAGTTTTATTGAAGTTCCGGTTCCAGTTCGGGCGAACTCGTGCGGACAGCATGCCTCATTTTAAGGTACAAGTTCCGGGAACTTAGAAGTTCGTCGAATGAGTTCCTCGAACCCCGCTCGTGTGGACAGGGCCTTTGAAGTTAAATTGTGTCGAAATAAAAATAAAAATTTGCAGTTTTAGTCAAAAATATCATGTTCGACCTCTCTAATTGACTCGATCCATTGTACGCCCGGCGACTTCAGGTACACTGAAAAAAAAAACAAAAAAACATTGGATCTGGAGTCCAGACTCTTGAAAACATTGACAAGAAAAAATACTCTTGATTCAATCAGATTTATGCTTAAATCAAAAGGAAATCCGCTCAAATTAAGAGGCTTGGTTCTTGATTTAAGCAAAGATCCGATTGAATCAAGAGTATTTTTTCTTGTCGATGTTTTTAAGAGTCTGGACTCTAGATCCAATGTGTTTTTTTTNTTTTTTTTTTTTTTTTTTTTTTTTTTTTTTTTTTTTTTTTTTCCAGTGTACCCGAAGAAAAATGACTCGCGTGTAATATAAATTATTAAAGAACCTAGTGCATTATGAAACGTGGCAGCACTGGCACAGGATGAAAAATTTTCAAGATGACCGATTCGACGAAATTTGAGTCCCCGACCGCCGCGCCGTCCTACTCACGTGCCATAACCCTGAGATACACAATTTTCCGAGGTGAAAAACCTTGGCGAAAATTTTAATGTCGGCGTTCGTCTCTGTCCGTGTAATCATGTCGTAAGACGCGCAGTGCAACGTTGGTCATATTCCAGTGGCGTGGCGTGAATTGCGATAAATCGATTGTGGTGCCATTTGAACCTATGAAAAAAGATCGATTATCAGGGTGTTCGCAGCGAACCCCTTAGTAATCGATTCTTTACCATAGCTTCAAATGGCGAGATATCGATAATCGATTATTCACGCCACGCCACTGTCATATTCCACTGACAATGAATCGTAAAGATTATAACCGGGATACTGTTCTGTCGTGCTAAAGAAGGACGCCGTATGAGCATTCGAGAGTCGCCAAATTTCCTTGTATGGATGTTTATTTTTGAGAAAAATTATGAATATTTTTCCTCGAAATTTTCAGACACTTTAGATCGAATTACAAACAAAATTATCTGAGGAATTGACAGAAAAATATTCAAAAATTGTCCTGAAAATTAGTGATGTGCCAGAGGAAATTTGGCAACGCCTGAAGGCTCATACGGCGTTCTTTCTTAGCACGGCAGTATTGTTGGCCAATATTGCGCCATTTTGGCTTTCCCTAATTTGGATTTTGGCTCATCAAATTCCACACGACTTTGAAAACTTTCAATTGCCATGCTTAACGTAATTTCGAAAGAGCGTTCCGATGTCGCGCTAAGTCACCAACCTTGGTCGGAACGACAAAGATGGCTTCGCTATCGCTATCACCTCTCATTTTCGACAGTTTCCATTGTATGCCAAAGCATCACTACATACGCAACTGTCCAGTGCGAATTTCTTTCAGAAATAGCATGATTCCCCTTTCCCGTTTAACAATACAATTTCATTTCTAAATTGGCTTAAGAGATGTTCTAGAGTGATAACCTGAGTGATATTTGAGTTTTTTTCGAGTCCGAATATGCAATGTTACATGCAATGCTGAAAAAATTGATATTGGAACGGTAAAAAAACTTAATTTTTGGAAAGTTCCGAATCATACTTCGCACCACTGTAAAGAATGATGGATCCGGCGGGTGAGGCTGAAACCATCACGTGGAATTGTTGGCTTCGGACGGTAAGTGTTCATTAATTTTAAATTTAAATTTTATTTAAACCCAATTAAAATTTAAATTTAATTAATTTTAAATATTGAAACGTTGTTTAAATGGGTCAATCTCAGCGTTGGTTATTGAATCGGATCCCTACGGATTTTTTAAAAAAAGTTGCCTGGCTTATAACATGAAAAAAAATTAATTTCAATAACTAATTTATAATCGAACCAAAATTATCTCCGCTCGTGGTTACTAATTTTTGTTTTTTCGTAAAACTATTTTGGTTCCTGGAACAATAATGCAGCACTATTACCTACCAGGCCTGAGGTAATAATTATAATTTAAGTAAAATTATTGAGCGGACTAACTTAAATTTTGGTTAGACATAAGAGCAAATATGAGGATCGCAAGAGTTACGGACGAATTTTCTACGTGCAGAGGAAATGCGGATGTACAAGCGAAGGTTGAAGAGATTAAAGTTTACCAATCTTTTACCACCGATTAAAATTGATTTTGCATAGTTTAGGTACCGTTGAGAAAGCGCTACAATGCGATGGCTTTTTTTAATGTGTGTGTGCGTTATTCATGGCAAGCAACGCGGAGCTTATTTGTATCGCAATTGGACGTAATTCTGCCAAACGGAACTATGTGCATTAAGACATGAGCCCTGAGACCCATAAGCAAATGTGTATAACAGGGCTCACGTCATAATGCGCATAGTTCCGTTTGATAGAAATACGTCCAATTGATATGCTTAAAAATCGAATTTCTCTGTGAAATAATAAATTAAAATGTACAGTTCTTTCCTTGGTGAAAATTCGTTGTGATTTAGTTAACCCTTGTTAGACCCCCCATGTGATGAGAATCTAATCTTATGAACTACATGTATTTCATGAACACTTTCTACGTAAATCGATTTTTTCAGTTTTTTTTTTTTTTTTGGAGGGGAGAGGGGGGCGGCGTCTCTTATATTGTGACCCATTTATGAATACGTAGGAATTTCGACAAAGTTCATTGATATGACATACATTACTGTTTGAATTTTTTTCATTTTTCCCCCTCTTATAGATCATTGCCGGAAGTACGACGCTGTTACTATATTCCTTTGTGGGAATGAACGAAGGAACAGCGAATCTCCTTCTGTCGCAGATGAAGGGTGCCACCTCTCTGATCCATCTATCTCAAGACCAAGAAACGTGGGTAGGTTAGTAAGTACCTTTACGACATTGATTCCGCTGTATGAAAAACCTGATCATATCTGGCAAAATATCTTCCGTCCTGCGTTAAGATATATCGACGGTGAAACTACCAAACCAAGTATCTCGGTTTGCGACGTCGCAGACTTCCTGTCATACTTTATTTTTTAAATGAAAAACTACTTAACGTCTACTCTTGAAAATTTTTGTGATTTTTCCTCTTTGTGCGGAGAAAATTCCGTGAAAATTTCAAAGAATGATATTAACTTGGTCGACTTCAAAAAAATAAAATGCGAGCGTAGATTTTTAAACACCGCAAACGAGATACGTGGTTTGGTAGTTTCACCGTCGATATGTAGAAACTCATACATGAGCCTGCTCCCCTTAGACATTTAAAATATGAACCAGTTTTTCCATATTAGTGAAATTTCCCGTTTAAACATGACACGAAAAAGGCGAACACGAAAAAGAAAAAAAATAGTTGATATAACAATTGTGTAGTCAAAAAAAGTGCCCAGCATGTCTCAATGTAGATTTTACAATACAAAACGGCAAATTTAACCACCCCCGTGCGTAAAAATGTTTTAAATATGATACAGTTTTTCCATATTAGTGAAATTTCCCGTTTAAACATGACAAATTTTGATTTTTCTTTAGGCAGCATTGCAGAGATATACTGGGCTGATTTTTATGAATATTATGGTTGTTATTATTAAGATAATTACCAGCAAGATAAGCCAGTACTCTATAAAGTTTTGAAAATAGGCTGTGGAAGTTCCTCTTTAAGAAGGGAATCGGAGGCATTTTTCTTCAGCGTGTGAGCAATGAGCGCACTTAGAGGTGCTTAACTAGAAGGTATGGCTGATGAGAATGATCGACTGAAGTGAGAACAAATACGCTACTGCAAGAGCATTGGTGTCATCACGGATTGAAGGCGATTCTAACTTGCGTTTCATACCTCACTCAGCGCACAACGACGAAGCTTCCGCTCGGTCCCACCAGTCCGCGCTGTAGCGGTCGAGATTATTTTTGAGTCAATTTTCCATCACTGTCACGCAGGAAAATAGACTATTCAGAAATTAAAATCCTCCCCAAATGCAGACGTTTCCTCTCAAGAATTTAATATTTTTAAGCTTATAGCGGCCGGACAGCTAATGTCAGACCAGTGCACGATTCGCTGGATTGTGGTGGAATCACGTTGGTGAGGCGAATGCACCCGATCAGGTCATAAAGTTGCAAATTGGAGATCTGATCAGTCCAGCGCTCAGACACCATTCATGGTCATCCGCCCTCGTCAATCAGTTGACAGTTAAAGTTTTGAAACAAAAAAACAGATATAACGCCGATAAGGCAGCCGAAAGGCAACCCCCGGGAACAGCTCAATACTGACGCCCAAAGTTAAAACAATGAGTCACTGGCGTAAGTCATACTCGAAACCTCACCATACGGGTGCCAGGGTAGCATCCGCATGGTTATTCATTACCCTAGCTGATGGACTGAAAATACGATCTCCCAAAAAAGGAACCTTTTAGCTCCCAGCTCCCTCCCTCCCCTTAGGAGGAGCCGTATGGCAAAATCCAACACGACGGGCTTAACCGGTCAAAGTCCATGGTTCACCAGGGTGGCCCTTTGGCAATGTCGCAATTTTCTTGGTCTCGCCCTTACCCCCTGAAACTGATACTTCTGATTAAAAAAGACCCTATGCTTAGTTTCAGCGTGCCGGTATTTTGGTATTTTTTTATGCATTTTATATTGAAAAATAAATTTCTTCCTTATTTTCGGCAAAATTGATTTTCTGGGAGTTCGGTATGTGTTGAGAAAAAACTTACGTCAATTTGGCTTCAGCATCGAAAAAAAGGTGGAACGAGCCCCAGTAGACACTTTTTTTCGTTTTATTTTTGAAAAAGGTGAATGATAAGTATTACGTCTCATATCATTACAGAAGTTAGCGTCTAAAAATGAAGCTCAACATGTGACAGGTATTACAGGTGTGTTTTTTTCTTTTTTATTGCGCTAAGACCGTTTCTTTCCAGGAAATATAGTTTTTCCCCAAAATACTACAAAACCCAGCTGACTTTGTCCTCTGCAATGGACATTCATTTAGGTTCTCTAAAATTACGTTAATAGTTTAGTAAACGAAGGTATATAGGGCCAGTTTTCGGCCAAAAATGAACGTACGGCTGGATTTAGGCCCAATCGATTCTACATATGAAAAGGTGTTTTTAATCAAAAGTCCCCATAAATCCCTTCGGGGGATTCCGCACAGTGGTCCGATGAAGTTGGAAATGGGACATATTTTCAAAAATTCACTGCGGAACGAGAAATAACCTTGGAGAGCTCAACTTTTTTCTTGAAACTGTAGGTATTAAATAAACTGTAGTTTTGAATATCAAAGTAATTTAAATGTGAGTAACGTTGAATGAAATTGAAAATTGAGAATAATTGGCCGGCCCTTTTTTGTATCTACGTCCATATGAAGGCCTGGATTGAAAAATACCCGTTAGTAAACGTTTTCTTTATTTTTCAAAGTTTATTTTTTAACTGATCACTAACAGGTGTGTGAAAAAACGGCCAAAAATGCCTCAAGACAACCTCGAATTTTGAACACTTTTTTTTTAATGTTCCTCTTTAATCGAGCTTTCTAATGGTATTTAGGTTTCTGGATTGTATATACCTCAGGGAGGCACTGGTTTTAGACTGGTTTTTGTTCAGATACCGTCGATTCCACGATCGTGGTAAAATAAAAACAAAATTATTGTATCCGTCAAAAACTGCTAAAACCGCGCAAGTGCCCCTTAAAGCAAAGTAAACCCAGAAAACAACACGCCATTAGAAAGCTCTATTTAAGAGGAACATTTTTAAAAAAAATCATTGAAATCGGTTGAGATGCACATGCGGAGATATGAATTTTTAGAGGTTTCCACTTTAAAAAATGGCAACGTCGCAACCCGGCGCTTTTAAGCAAAACGGCGACCGGTCTTGGGCGTCTCGAAAGATACTGTATCGCCCCAAGTGTTCAAAATTCGAGGTTGTCTTGAGGCATTTTTGGCCGTTTTTTCACACACCTGTTAGTGATCAGTTAAAAAATAAACTTTGAAAAATAAAGAAAACGTTTACTAACGGGTATTTTTCAATCCAGGCCTTCATATGGACGTAGATACAAAAAAGGGCCGGCCAATTATTCTCAATTTTCAATTTCATTCAACGTTACTCACATTTAAATTACTTTGATATTCAAAACTACAGTTTATTTAATACCTACAGTTTCAAGAAAAAAGTTGAGCTCTCCAAGGTTATTTCTCGTTCCGCAGTGAATTTTTGAAAATATGTCCCATTTCCAACTTCATCGGACCACTGTGCGGAATCCCCCGAAGGGATTTATGGGGACTTTTGATTAAAAACACCTTTTCATATGTAGAATCGATTGGGCCTAAATCCAGCCGTACGTTCATTTTTGGCCGAAAACTGGCCCTATATACCTTCGTTTACTAAACTATTAACGTAATTTTAGAGAACCTAAATGAATGTCCATTGCAGAGGACAAAGTCAGCTGGGTTTTGTAGTATTTTGGGGAAAAACTATATTTCCTGGAAAGAAACGGTCTTAGCGCAATAAAAAAGAAAAAAACACACCTGTAATACCTGTCACATGTTGAGCTTCATTTTTAGACGCTAACTTCTGTAATGATATGAGACGTAATACTTATCATTCACCTTTTTCAAAAATAAAACGAAAAAAAGTGTCTACTGGGGCTCGTTCCACCTTTTTTTCGATGCTGAAGCCAAATTGACGTAAGTTTTTTCTCAACACATACCGAACTCCCAGAAAATCAATTTTGCCGAAAATAAGGAAGAAATTTATTTTTCAATATAAAATGCATAAAAAAATACCAAAATACCGGCACGCTGAAACTAAGCATAGGGTCTTTTTTAATCAGAAGTATCAGTTTCAGGGGGTAAGGGCGAGACCAAGAAAATTGCGACATTGCCAAAGGGCCACCCTGGTGAACCATGGACTTTGACCGGTTAAGCCCGTCGTGTTGGATTTTGCCATACGGCTCCTCCTAAGGGGAGGGAGGGAGCTGGGAGCTAAAAGGTTCCTTTTTTGGGAGATCGTATTTTCAGTCCATCAGCTAGGGTAATGAATAACCATGCGGATGCTACCCTGGCACCCGTATGGTGAGGTTTCGAGTATGACTTACGCCAGTGACTCATTGTTTTAACTTTGGGCGTCAGTATTGAGCTGTTCCCGGGGGTTGCCTTTCGGCTGCCTTATCGGCGTTATATCTGTTTTTTTGTTTCAAAACTTTAACTGTCAACTGATTGACGAGGGCGGATGACCATGAATGGTGTCTGAGCGCTGGACTGATCAGATCTCCAATTTGCAACTTTATGACCTGATCGGGTGCATTCGCCTCACCAACGTGATTCCACCACAATCCAGCGAATCGTGCACTGGTCTGACATTAGCTGTCCGGCCGCTATAAGCTTAAAAATATTAAATTCTTGAGAGGAAACGTCTGCATTTGGGGAGGATTTTAATTTCTGAATAGTCTATTTTCCTGCGTGACAGTGATGGAAAATTGACTCAAAAATAATCTCGACCGCTACAGCGCGGACTGGTGGGACCGAGCGGAAGCTTCGTCGTTGTGCGCTGAGTGAGGTATGAAACGCAAGTTAGAATCGCCTTCAATCCGTGATGACACCAATGCTCTTGCAGTAGCGTATTTGTTCTCACTTCAGTCGATCATTCTCATCAGCCATACCTTCTAGTTAAGCACCTCTAAGTGCGCTCATTGCTCACACGCTGAAGAAAAATGCCTCCGATTCCCTTCTTAAAGAGGAACTTCCACAGCCTATTTTCAAAACTTTATAGAGTACTGGCTTATCTTGCTGGTAATTATCTTAATAATAACAACCATAATATTCATAAAAATCAGCCCAGTATATCTCTGCAATGCTGCCTAAAGAAAAATCAAAATTTGTCATGTTTAAACGGGAAATTTCACTAATATGGAAAAACTGTATCATATTTAAAACATTTTTACGCACGGGGGTGGTTAAATTTGCCGTTTTTTTCCAGTGGATATACCTATTATTCGCCTTTTTCAAAAATAAAACGAAAAAAAGTGTCTACTGTGGCTCGTTCCACCTTTTTTTCGATGCTGAAGCCAAATCGACGTAAGTTTTTTCGCAACACATACCGAACTCCCAGAAAATCAATTTTGCCGAAAATAAGGAAGAAATTTATTTTTCAATATAAAATGCATAAAAAAATACCAAAATACCGGCACGCTGAAACCAAGCATAGGGTCTTTTTTAATCAGAAGTATCAGTTTCAGGGGGCAAGGGCGAGACCAAGAAAATTGCGACATTGCCAAAGGGCCACCCTGGCGAACCATGGGCTTTGGCCGGTCAAGCCCGTCGTGTTGGACTTTGCGATACGGCTCCTCCTAAGGAGAGGGAGGGAGCTGGGAGCTTAAGGTTTTTTTTTGGGAGATCGTATTTTCAGTCCATCAGCTAGGGTAATGAGTAACCATGCGGATGCTACCCTGGCACCCGTATAGTGAGGTTTCGAGTATGACTTACGCCAGTGACTCATTATTCATTGTCTTGTAAATCTTCATACTTCATTCTGTTTTGAGTTTGGGCGTTCAGTACTAGACTGTTCCCGGGGTTGCCTTACGGCTGCCATTCGGCTGCCTTATTGGCGTTAAATGTGTTTCTTCAGTTCGTGTTCATTTCTTAAATTTTTCCGTCAACTGATAGACGGGGGTGGATGTCCATGAATGGTGTCTGAGCGCTGGACTGATCAGATCTCCAACTTGTATATTTAGGACCTGATCGGGTGCATTCGCCTCACCAACGTGATTCCACCACAATCCGGCGAATCGTGCAGTGGTTTGACATTAGCTGTCCGGCCGGTATAAGCTTAAAAATATTAAATTCTTGAGAGGAACCGTCTGCATTTGGGGAGGATTTTAATTCCTGAATAGTTTATCTTCCTGCGTGACAGTGATGGAAAATTGACTCAAAAATAATCTCGACCGTTACAGCGCGGACTGGTGGGACCGAGCGGAAGCTTCGTCGTTGTGCGCTGAGTGAGGTATGAAACGCAAATTAGAATCGCCTTCAATCCGTGATAATACCAATGCTCTTGCAGGAGCGTACTTGTCCTCACTTCAGTCAGTTCAGTCGATCATTCCATCAGCCATACCTTTTAGTCAAGCACCTCTTCGTGCGCTCATTGCTCACACGCTGCAAAAACATGCCTCCGATACCCTTTCGTGATCATGTGTTCCTATCGAAATCCATACAATTCAGGAATGAATCATATTGGGTCGCGTGGACACGTAGTACATTAAATCGGTACGCAGCAAAATGATCGATTGACCGAGATCTTTTCACTGGAATGGGGTTTTTTCTTCTTTTTTTAGGCCGGATAAGAAATTAGGGAGTGCTCTGTGGCCTTTGCGCGATCCAACCCCCAGAAAATAAGGTTGCGCGCCCTTAAAGAGGAACTCCCACAGCCTATTTTCAAAACTTTGTAGAGCACTGGCTTATCTTGATGGTAATTCTTAATAATAACCATAATAATCATAAAAAATCAGTCCAGTATATCTTTGCAATGCTACCTAAAGAAAAATCAAAATTTGTCATGTTTAAACGGGAAATTTCACAAATATGGAAGAACTGTGTTATTTTTAAAACATTTTTACCCACGGAGATGGTTAAATTTGCCCTTTTAAACTGTAAAATCTACACTGAAACATGCCGGGCACTTTTTTTAACTGCATAATTGTCAAATCAACTATTTTTTTTTCTTTTTCGTGTTTGTCTTTTAAGAGACTGCTCATTGTTAGTCAATGCCAATGTCTGTCGATTGTCTCACTGAGATGTAAGGCGCAGCGAGAATGTCTCAGATACCAAATTTTTAACTACCTGCCTATATCTATTTCTAATTCTTCTGGTAGGGATATATATTTCAAGCAAGCGAGGAAAAATTTCTGAAAAATTTGGCAAAATTTTTCCCGATTATAGGTTTAAATCAGTGATGCTACAGCACAGAACGAGCTCGTGATCCAGACTGCCAAACCGGTTTAAGCATCTGATTATGTAATGAGGTTTTTTTAGAAGAGTCTTTTGAGTTTTTATTCAGAGGCTGATACTCCAATCCACACGATTCAATCCATCTGTGTTGCTTTTCCCATATAGCTATGTTAACGAACATAATGCCGCACAGTGGATTAAGTCAATGGGAGAGGTCGGACAAAATTTGGAAACTTTAAAAGCTCATAACTCCGTATACGCAAAATTATGAGGTTTTAAAAGTGATTCCATTGGTTTCCTCGTGAAATTTTCTGCTAGGAGTACCTAATACAATTTCAAATGTGACTAAATAAAAATCAAAAGCAGCCATAGTCAAAAATTGCATATCCGACCTTTCTGATTGATTCAATCCACTGTGCGCCATTGTCTATGTTACAGCAAGTCTGGGTATTTTATCGGCCCCGATTGCGGCAATCCTAATCGGTCCATTCATCGATGCGTTTGGACGTAAGCGAGGAGTTCTCCTCTTCTACCTCAACATGGGTCTTGGATGGGCGGTTATCGCTAGCGCCAGAGAGGTCACCCAAATCTACATAGGTCGAATAATTTGTGCTTTCGGCGAAGGCAAGTAAGGAATCAACTTGCATTCTTTTCACGTTCAAGCGATTTGATTTTTTGTTGACAAGCTACCCCTCCCCCCTCCCCTCCGATTGTTTTTTAGTCCAACTCCCCGAAGCGCTTTGCGCCTCAGGCGTTATGCGTTACATTTATGGTTGTATATTAGGGTGGTTTCACGATAACTGGAATAGTTTTGTCGCCGTAACAGACAACACATTTTTCGATCATATTTTTAGTACTAATGATAAATACTCGATTTTTTTTCACATAAATCTTCTACGGGTTACGTATTATAGCGCTTTCTAACGATCTATTGCTCTACTTTTCAATTTTTAATGTATAAATGGCCGAAAACGTGCTATCTGTTACGCTGTCTTTTTACCCCATTATTTTTTGGATATTACTGTTGTTTAACCCTATCAAACTACCAAAGATAGCAGAACTAACAATAACAAATAAAAATCTAGACATACAAAATAGGTAATATAGTAAGTAAATAATATAGTAAATAAGTAATATAATTTTATTATATTACTTATTTTGTATATCAAGATTTTTATTTGTTATTGTTAGCTCGGCTATCTTTGGCAGTTTAATGGGATTAAACAATAGGAATATTCAAAAAATAATGGGGTATAGTTCTATAGTTAATATTTGTTGATTTATTTATAGTATGAGAATTAGATTAAGTTTTTTGGGCGTCGCAGAGCGCGAGGTGGCGCTATAAAAGCGACTTTATGTATGTATAAAGTCGGAGAAACGTACTTTTCGACTTAAGTCATCAGCAAGTGGAAAAACGGGGTGTGCTCGTGGTGAGTTGGACAAGAAACAATAATAAAATGAATATAATTCCTTCGGCGAAAATGGAAAAACGGGATTTTAGATTAAATCAAAAGGAACTGAGCGCTTACTCGTGAGCCGTGAACACGTGACAAGAGCGTTATGGACAGCGGGCTGATTATTGAAATTGATAGACAAAGCAATAGACAAAGAAGACAAAAAAGATTTGGAGGGATCCGATTGGTAGAAGCGGGTGGTTGCAATGGACAAAGGAGGTAGGTAATAGACTAACTAACGGCAACCCACGAGAGACCCGACAGTTATTCTATCATTTTCCCCCTTAGTCTATGAGAACCACCCATTTCAACCAATAGGATTGCATTATAGCCCCTATATCTTCTTTGTCTATAGCTTTGTCTATCAATTTCAGTAATCGGACCGCAGGGCTCATGAGTTTCAGCGCCCCGACGACAAACGTCGAGCCCGTTCGTTGCTGCTGACGTCACTGGCGCTCTAAAATTCCCATTCAGTCTTACGGCCCTCGGCTAAGGAGCACACCCCATCTTTCCACTTGCACATAGTTTTATTCAGCATAAATACGTCCAATAGGTAGTAAATACTCCACACTGAAAAAAAATTCTCGGCGTTTTTACCAAGGTCCGTTGGTATCTTTACCATCTCACTTTTTTTTTTTTTTTTTTTTTTTTTTTTTTTTTTTTTTTTTTTTTTTTTTTTTTNTTTTTTTTTTTTTTTTTTTTTTTTTTTTTTTTTTAACCAATTATTGATAATTTTACCAAGACAGACCGGTAAGCTTACCTAAAACCCGGCATTTTTACTGTTTTTTTTCAGGTAAGAATACCACTTTTATTGGCTGTCAATTCCCGGTAACTTTGCCATTTTATCTCGGTAATTCTACCGCAGTCGATAAAAAAATATCGGCGTTTTTACCGGGGTCCAGTAAAATTACCGAGAAAGTCAATAATATTTCCGAAATTTCTCGGTAAAATTACCAATTCCATTAATGGTAATTTTACCAAGAAAAAACTGGGATCAAATAGAACCCTGGATTCTTGGTAATTTTACCCTTTTCTTAGTAAATACACCGAGATTTTATTTTCAGTGCTCTACAAAGCATGCTGTCTGATGCGGCCTTCCAATTTTTCAGGTTTCCAGGCATGCGCAGTAGTCTACCTCACGGAAATCTGCACGAAAGAACAACGTAGCGTCGTGCTTGCGTGTTTGATAGCCCTATTTTCCGGAGGAGTCCTCTTCGTCTCCGTCGTCAACACGTGCTTACCATGGCCGATGGCCTGCTCGGCGTTCAGTCTGGCCTCCTTCGCGCTCGCAGGAGCAGAGTGCTTCGTGCCGGAGTCTCCAGCGTGGCTCTTCAGTCAAGGAGAGGAGGCGGCAGCCGTGCGGAATCTCCAGAAGCTCGGCAGGAGCAAGGCCGGGGTCCTTCTGGAGATCGACGCTTTGAAGGAACGTGAGAGTTGCACCGAGGTGCTTTCCTGGCGGACCTTCCTCCGGCCCACCGTTTGGAAACCTTTTCTGATTCTCGCTGTTTTCCACCTCTTGCAGTTTTCCACCGGGTTTTACGATATGATTTACTATCAGGTCTGTGATGCGTAGAATCATCTGATTTGGGATTCAAATATTGAAATTTATTGCCATTAAATTGAAATCAGGGCCGGATTAAGGGGGTGGCCACATGGGCCGCGGCCCATGGCGGCAAATTTTGCAATTTTTTTTAATGTATCTATGAAGAAAAATCGGATTCAGAAGACAAAATTACGAGCGAGAAAAGGTGATAAAATCTCTTATTTCCTGAGAGTGTATCTCTAATTTTGTCGTCCTTCTGTGATACAATAGACAGCACCTTTAATTAGTCGAGTTAAGATTAAGAGAGAAACCGAACACGGAACTTGGCCTGGAACGGCGCGGCGCAGAGAGCAATGATGACGAGAACGTGAAATGAAAAGGAGAAACCCTCGGCGCGGCGGTCGGCATGTAACACGTATGAGCGCCTACAAGACTGCATGAATACTTCACCTATTGCGCGAAAGACAGTGCGGTCGCTGCGGGCAGCGTGAAACGCATAGCGCCTACAAGACCGCGTGAATACTTCACGCATTACGTCAAATACAGTGCGTGTAGCAGCGGTCGGCCCGAAACGCATAGCGCATGTAAGACTGTAGGAATACTTCCTGCATTGCGCCAAACACAGTGCGGTCAGCGAGGCGCGGCGGCGGAAGTTAAAATTATTAAACCACATTTATGTTTGTTCTTTCATAGTTTCTTGGTTCTTTCTTATAAATGGAGGGCCTTGTCCACACAGAGATAGGTTTACGGAACTTAACTTCCGCGCTTAGTTCCGTGAACTTTTGCTAGTAGTGTTGACAGGGCTTTCGCAAAAAATGTGACCAACACGAGTAAACGCGTCTTATGCGACTTGATGGTTTTTATTGATGATCCAAAACGAATGAGAAGGGGGCGGCAAAATACAGGCGGCCCATGGGCGGCAAGTAAGTAAATCCGGCCCTGATTGAAATTAGTTGCATTTTTTCCATCGCAAATTGCCTACCTTTCTCGCACGTGAAACTCATTTTATCGTTCAAAATCGGCAATTATTGATCAAACACTGGACACAAAGTCTCTTGGACCCGGAGTTCAGACTCTTAACTCTCTTCTTTGGCAAGAAAGAATACTCTTGATTTTTGCTTGAAACAAAGAAAATCCGCTTAAATTTAGAGGCATAGCTCTCGATGCAAAGAAAAATCCGATTGAATCCCGAGTATTTTTTTTTTGTCAATTTTTTTAAGCCTGGACTCTAGATCCAAGAGTCTTTTTTCCAGTGATGAAGTGAAAATATTGTAATATCATGACGGAAAAATTGCAATGTGACCGCATTAAATTGCAACTTTATTTCAATATTTCCATTGCATTGTGCTTTATGTAAGTACGGCATGTCTGTATCAACCTTAAGACTTGTCGTTTTTTTTGCTCTCTAGGTGGATTACCTAGAGCGCCTAGGCACCAAGTACGACCCGATAGCACTCTCCGTAGCCTTTTCCACCGTCAGATTCCTCTCCAACGCCACCATCGGCATCTATTTCCGGTCGCTGGACCGGAAGTTCTCCACCACGGTTTCCGGTCTCTGCATGACGGTGCCCCTGTTGGGCGCAGGTATTTACGAGTTCAAGTACCGGGACACACCGCCACTCGAGAAGCCCTTCCAATGGCTCCTGCTTTTTTGTATCTTCGCCCAACTTGTGGCGGGAAATCTGGCCGTGACCTGTCTTCCTTGGTCCATGGGGGCGGAGCTGTATCCCTTGAATGTCCGGGGCATCATGAGTGGAGCGACCTTGTGTGTGGCGTACAGTATCTTTTTTACCTATGTCAAGCTTTACCACGTCGCTATGGGAGCTTTGAAGATGTACGGGCTTCTTTTTGTGTTTGCCGCGAGTTCTTTTCTCGCGGCTCTGTTCGGGATTTTTATTTTGCCCGAAACGCGCGGTAAAAGCCTGGAGGAGATAGAGAGGGGTTTTGAGACGGAAGCTCGAAAGGTAGATCAGCAACATGTAGTTGATACACGTATGTGAGTAGGAACAGACATGGCACTTCGATACATTCCTGGTAACATTATTTTTTCAAGGGAAAAATCGCAATATTTTGAAATTGAGTTGCGATTTTTCCCCTCCTGTTGAGAATTCGTCAATGTTAGAGTGAAGTTGAGAATTGAATAGAAAATCACAAGTAACGGCGAAGAGCCTCAACACTCGTAAATAACTGAAAACGGAACAAGATAAAACTGGTGCGTTGCGGGGTGTTTGCATTCCCAACTCCAATGTGAAAAGCCTGTTATCTCACAAAACGAAGGCGCTGCGGATCTCATAGCGGCAAAGCCCGAAAATGTTGCTCCCCATCAGAGAATGCAACTATTCGTGCTTCATAAATCCACGTTGCATAAATTCAGTAATGAAGGCGCTCTGTGTATTCTCGATGCACTATGCTGTTTCAACGAGCGGATCTTGCTGTTCGAGGCTGTCCAATATATACAATCAGAATGGTGTAAGTACATGTATTGCCGTTATACAATTTTCAAGAACACTTTTACTTGAATAAATTTTTAAAACGTTCTCAATTCACAAGTGAATCAAATTTGTGACCTTGACGATGATATACAATACTTTTAAGGAAAATGTTCTCTAAAATATTATTGGCTATATTTTTTGGGTTTGCAGAGTGAAAATGAAGGAACGAAAGCCGAAGGAACATAAATACATTGCAAGATTGCGGATTTTTTTTTTTTTCTCATCACTGGATGCATGTTTCAAAGGAGATGTTTTAAGGAACTTTTGTTAAATTCGCCCGAAAAATCAGAAGAAATTTAAAGAAAATTGGAACAATTTTTGAGCAAACGAATAAATTGTGAGATGAAGTTTTGCAACATTGAAATGCAATAAGCTCTTTAGGTTCTCGCCCCTTCAAATGCGAACAGCTTTCTGTACCATTCAACAGTTGCTAATACTACGGTATGATAGAACCCAAATGTGTTAAAGCATTAATATTTTTTTTATTTTATTTGTATAAAAAATCGATAAACAGTCTTAAAGTATCTAAAATTAAAACTTTGATTTTTTTTAAAAAAATGAAATTTGCTTATTGAATTAAAACCTTATGATTATCCTTTCACTTTAAATATTTTTATATCTTTCTCCTCCTATTTCACACAAATAAATGCCTGCACTGGTGGCACTTACTGGTGCTGATAACAGAATATTTTGTCGGCAGGGTTTTCAAGCTTTCTTTGTTATTCTGGAAGAATGTCTCTGTTTTGAGAACAGCCGTGAGCGCAGAACATTCTCCACTTAGGTATAGCGGAAAACTTCTTTAAAAATGACAAAAAAAAAAAAAAAAAAAAAAAAAAAAAAAAAAAAAAAAAAAAACATAAAACTAGAAGCCCTGCAGATTGAGCGTTCTGTTATCAGCACCCATTAATTTTCTTTATGCAAAAATTTTAATAATACTCGTTGTGGATGTTGATTGATTTTTTTGTGAAAAATTCACTGTTGAATTTCGATCAAAGATACGGTTGAGCTCCTTTGGCAACCGACATGACGTAATCATGAAATATCGTCTCCTGAATTATTTGAACATGCTCGTAGCCTTGGAAATTCCGAATAGTAACATTTTCACTACGGAATTTCTCGCAATACCGCTGGCTGTTGAGCGGTATTCTCCCATCACCATGTCCAGGTACCATTTCATACTCTTGCGTATCACTTATATCGGATGATGTGACTCGAAACCTGAAATATTAAAACATTTGATCTGAAGTGATGATATTGATACTGTCCATTTCTCAATGGTAAACGCATTTCGACATACTTTCTCACCGCTGCCGCGGCCGATCATATCGTTGATTGGCTGACGAAGGGGCGTAACTAGCGATGTATCGATTGTTATGCCATTTAAACCCATGGTAAAGAATCGATTATTAAGGTGTTCGCTGTTTGTCGATCCTTTACCATAGGTTTAAATGGTGTAACAATCGATATATCGCAAAGCACGCCACGCCACTGGTAACTACACATTGAGCTGAGCCCGGGAAAGCATTGAGTTAGATGGACGACAGGGCTCATCTCGAAATGCAGTTACGCGGCTAGGGATGGCGATTTTTTCGAATAAACCGACTTCGGGAAATCGATTTGATTTACGGTAAAAAATCGATTCGATTTTAAAATCGGATGGAAAAAATCGATTTCAGAAAAAATCAATTTTTTCGAAATCGATTTTGAAACACTTTGAAATCCAAGTTTGGCGCCAAAAAACATCATTACCACTAAAACTGAACTTGAAATGAAACCCGGGTATCGCAGAGCCTAGGTTTTATGTGATACATCAACGTTGAAAATTTCATTTTTTTTTCAATAATTCGATTTCGGCTCGAAAAATCGATTGGTTCAATTGATTTTTCGGCGCAAAAAATCGATTAAAAATTGCCATCCCTACGAGGGCGACGATATGAACCCTCGCAAACATGGCGGGTCGATTATTGAGTTGCTATCGAATGACCTTGATCGATACAGCCCGCTCTTAGTAATGCGAGAATAAGCCCAGTGCCTTCATCTAATTCAGTATGCAATACGCATGTCACCTGACCACGAATAGTTGCACCTAGGCGTTTACCACCAATCTCTAGTGGGTTGATTGTTGAAAATTGTTATCTAAGGACCTTGATTGATACTATAATCTCAGCAACACTAATTTTCGATCAAGTTCGTTCGATAATAACGAATCAACAACTGTTCCACTCACGGATTACATTTTGGAATAAAGTGCATTTTCATTCGTTGAAGCACTTAGGTATCAGCACAGGGAAACTGTCAACACTTTCTCATATTTTCTCATACATTTTAGATTTTTCATTTTAACTCTTTAGTCTCACTCAATCCAGTCCATTCTTCAACTTTCAGTTTTATCCTTCAACAATCTTCAGTAATGTCCCATAAAATTAATGACTAGACTTGCAACTGATACCTACATAGCGACGGTGAAACTACCAAACCACGTATCTCGTTTGCGGTGTTTAAAAATCTACGCTCGCATTTTATTTTTTTGAAGTCGACCAAATCAATATCATTCCTTGAAATTTTCACAGAATCTTCTCCGCACAAAGAGGAAAAATCACAGAAATTTTCAAGACTAGACGTTAAGTAGTTTTTCATTTAAAAAATAAAGTATAACAGGAAGTCTGCGACGTCGCAAACCGAGATACGTGGTTTGGTAGTTTCACCGTCGATAGATTATAGCCAACCAATCACGCGTAGGCTTGTTGTCTCACCACCGGTGACGTCAACAAGACTATATAAGCGTGGGTTGCCTAAAAATCGAGGTCTTATTTTCCATCTTTTGACCTGTGACTTACGTCCCTCGCTTTACGGTCCTTTTACCATCTTGACCCGTACATGTACGTAGTGCCCTTTTTCGCCCTTTTGACACATTTTTAGTGACTATTTTTCAAATCATGTAATTTCTGTAATTCTCTCCTTTCGATCAATACAACTCTAAATTTCCATCTCCGAAATTTCATTATTTAATTTTTCCGCGTAGTTTGTTGTTCCTACACAAAGAGCAACTGGTGCCGAACGGATATTCCAACCTTCTCTTTTGACAGAAACGAGTGGCACACATTGTTATTTCCAAAATGAGTCGAGTCCTGAAATGATTGTTCTACAGATCAAACTTGATTCAGTGAAAACTATTTCGATAGAAAAGTGCACTTCGACGAACCATGACAAAATGTTTGATACCAAAAGATGGCTCAAAAAAATTCTGGCATGATTAGAAAAGAGTTGAATTAAAAGAATGACTTACGACGTAGGTGTTTTAATCTCAGACGAGTTTGTCCATACGCAATAAAATCGGACTCCTAGTTTATCCAGAGCAAAAGGAAAGAAAGGACGAACATCTTCTCTTATAAGATACCCATCCTCGAACTTTACATCTCTGTAAGTGATACAGGGAAAATACAAAATATAACATTCAACTTTGCATCTTACTGATAACTATTGGGAAGATGTTTAAATACAAATCTATCAAAAATAAAAGAAATAAAGGGAACGAGCTATCGTTATTTTTTCATGAGACGATTTAAATTTTAACCTCTCTGTTATATATTTTTCTCCGAAAATCTCCCAAAAATCTCCGTGATTCTGTTTTGAAGAAGGAGATAGCATAGGTTGTAAATCCACTGGTTGTTTTTTTATCTCTATTGTTGGACCGATTACAGATTGCAGTGTAACTTTGTGACCTAAATATATGATTAAAGCTTGAGACTTTGTCAAGTTTATTAGAAAATTTGCAATTCATTTACATTCCTAAAACAGCACAGGTTGCAATAAATTGTGCAGGCATCGTATAGTTATTGCTCTCTGTTGGAGTGCTGCGTGGGTTGCCCTTCAATTTACTTCATTTTAAAAACATTTACATTTTTAAAACGTGGTAAATATTTGTAAAATCTTTTCCAAGCAATGGCATCGATATGAATCTCAATGAGCCATAGTTGTGATGAAAGAAACTAAACAAAAATTAATAAAAGAGGATAAAAAACAAGGAGGCACGCAATTTTTTATTTTTAACCTATTTGTACATCGACCTTCTTGAGTCAAATACGTCCAATTTTGAGCGTTTGGTTGCGCTTACACCACGCTGCAGCACAGTAAAAGCCCAAAACATAAAATAATAAATTTGAATGCTTTGGAAATCATTAAATTTTGTACGGAACCACTATTATATTTACAAAAAACACATTATATTTTCCAGTGGCACATATTTCTTTCTCATCAATTTGCACTTCAGCTGACTCCGGGAGTTTAAATAATAGAGCCTAACACAGAGCGGAGCGGCGTGTTAGCAGCGCAGAACGCGCACTGTCGCCTACAAACCTAACGGGTTACTTCACGCATTGCGCAACGCGTGAAGTGTCCTGTTAGGTTTGTAGGCGCCTATGCGCGTGTCACGGCGGTTTCCTGCCGCGCCGCAACGCTTTAAGCAACTATTTCGCGTCAGAGGCGTTGCACAGTATCCTACAAGATTGAAGGCGCACGAAATAACTAGTTAGAGAAGACTTTCAATTTTGACTGCATCTGTTACTGGAAAATGTTTAATTTGGTATTGGAGTGTTTCCTAGGCTCCCGCTTTGGTTTTCATCTTATCATATCCGTACAGTGTAGAGTCTGTTCTTTTTCATGACTTGATTCATGAATGAAATGTTTTTAAGAATGAGGGTAGTAGTAGTATGCATTTATTTTTGAGGTGGTTCCTGTCATTTAAATGAGAAGAAAAAAATGTGGACATAACATGTCCACAATTTGGACTATTTTGGACTTATTCATGGTTGGACATTAAATCATGTGGACTTAATAAAGACGACTTAACATTAAGTGGACATAAATTGCGGTGGACATTTATTTAATGGACGAAAGGTAGGTGGACATAAAGCCCTGGAAGCGACGATGTATATTAATACTTACTTAAAAAATTGCTGGTAATCTTTGGCCGTATACGATTTATTCTGAGAGACCCATTCAACCAATACCGCATCCTTGAATTCTTCTTCTTCAGGCAGTAAAAATGCCAAGGACTGAAAAGTTCGCTGCACGCTTAACGTGACTTTTTTATCAATAGTTGGAATACGAAGATTAAGGCCTGATTCGAAAAAGGGAATAAAGAGTGTTTCAAAAGTGACAATGTTTTTTTTTTAAAAGAGTGTTGAAATGGCGATTGATTAGATGAGGCTCCTTGCATGGACAGACTTATTTGTAGCCAGTAGATTACTGAAATTGATAGACAATGCGATAGACAAAGAGGGCAGAGGGAAAATTGAGCAATCCCATTGGTTAAAACTGGTGATCGTCATAGACTAAGGGGGAAAATGATGGACTAAAAATAGGGTCTCTCGTGGTTGCCATATTTCCCTCGATTAGATATGCATATTTTCACGTAAACTCGTGTATATTTTCTTTTCAATTTTTCCACGAAGAGGTCCAATTGGAATTTAAACTTCGTAAAATATCGGAAAATTTCAGGAAAAACATATTTAAAAATTCCCCTCATATTGGAAAATGCCCCTCATTTTCATGTTCAGTTTGTCTTATAATTCTTCCCCCTCTCAGATTTCTACTCTCTACCGTCATTTAGTTCACTTTACCAACAATGTAGGTTCCAACAGCTTCAATCATTCCCAACCAAGGCGTCCCAACCGTTAGGAATGCGTGGATGTGTTTGTCCTTCCATTCTTGAGTTTTGTTCGAGAGGAAGTGCGCGGTGACCAAACCGCCCATACTATGACCCACAATCATTACCTTCCGGTTTGTTTGCTCAGACACTGCTTCCACCAGCTTCGTAAATCTCTTGTAGTAATTGAAGTCATCTTGTCGAGCTGGAGAAAATGAGGGAAAAATCAAATCTCGAATTGGTATACATGATATGTTTCCGAGCCGCCTGACCTGAACTTGATCTGAATCATCACTGATTGAAACAACTGGGAATAAATATTTTTCATCATGAATCGGTTTTTCTGCTAAAACTTCGAAAAAAAGGATGCTGATTTAACATTCTGGATGTAAAAAAGTGTGCAACAACTCACTAAACGCTAAATTAACCGCTACGGCAGTTACTTTAGCAATATCAAGATGTAAAACTAACTGCTGTGGTAGTTAATTCAGCGTTCTGTGAGTTGTCACACACTTTTTTACATCCAATAGAATGTTAAATCAGCATCCTTTTTTTTCGGTGACGATACATTTGGATTTTCTCCTCTGACTCCATCTCTATTGGACCTTATTTGACGATTCGAAACTAGACTTTCTGGTCCAGTTTAGAAACAACGTATTTACCATTAGTTTCCCTATGCACATAAGTGTTTTTACCGCTGAGCCAGGTATTGTAGTTTCGAATCGCAAAATTTAGTCCAGCTGTGATTGTATAAGTAGATACTGGTGTGCTAATAAAGCTGTCTTTTCGTATGGAGCCGGGTTGGATCCGTGTTTTCTAATGCAATTTAATTAACGTCGGAGTAGCGTTGGGAGGTATCCTCTCTATTTGAAGGCGAATCTTAGGTAAATCTTCTCTTGAACCGTTAAAGTCGGAAAATGCGTGTCTCCGATTGTCTCTTGCAAGTATTCGGTCATGATTTATTCTCTTTCTTTTTTAAAGAAAAAACTACCAACATAATTTTTTTAAATTTTTCTGCGCAATTTCTTCAACTAATCTAGAATATCCACGAAAACTTTAAATGAGATATCTTTTATAAAAATTAAGTCAAATCAGGATTTTAATTTTTCCCCCGATTTCAGCCATTGATGATATTTTAAGCATTCAGGTTTACACGCTATTGCACTGAAAAAAAAAAAAAAGTTACGGGCTATGTGGACATACCGTCCGTTCCGGGCTCAGGGGCCGAGAGTTCCGGGTACTGGAGCCGTAGCTTCGATCGCTCTGGGTGCTACGCCCGAAACTTTCGGCCTCTGAGCCCGTAATGCGGATGGTATGTCTATAAAGCCGTAAGTACTGCGTATTCACGGCCGGAGTTTTTTTTCAGTGTGGGCTACGCATTTTGCAATAAGGAACCGTTATTCCGAGCTCACTTTAGAATCTACATGATGTATGTGCCATTAGTTTCCCCACGAAGAAATAAAAGTGCTCTTGCAGCGAGTACTTATCGAAAAATTAAGAAGAAGAAGAAGAAGAAGAAGAAGAAGAAGAAGAAGAAGAAGAAGAAGAAGAAGAAGAAGAAGAAGAAGAAGAAGAAGAAGAAGAAGAAGAAGAAGAAGAAGAAGAAGAAGAAATACTTACGAGGAGCGTATCGCCAATCGTAGCTATGGGCCTTGAGGTTTCTGGAGGAGGAGTACCCACTCTTCTTGAGAGCCTCTATCATCTGGTGGAAATATCTACTAGAAGGAAGTTGATGAGAAATAAGGCCGGGTGTCAAAAATTCACTCGCTTTTAAACTTCCGAGCCGTCCTTTAACTCGTGTTTTGACGCCTACCTGATTCTTACATTTGCGAGCTGATCTGTCGTATAACAGTTGAAATCTGAAAGCCTTTAAAGTAAAAAGAAGATCATTTAAACGCGAACGAATTAAAAAGAAGCTCTGGAGGGAAAGTTAGGGACCGTCCATAAAATACACATTGCTCTAGGGAGGGAGGGGGGGGGTCGGAGAAAGCGTTAAGCCATTTTTTTTAACGTGTCAAAGGATACAAATCAACACCACGGAGCATTACAAGGGGGGGGGGGGGGTCGAAAAATCCAAAATTGCAAAAACTTAAAGGAATGATGTCGCTTTGTTCTCCATTAAAAAAATGACACCGCAAAGGAGGTACATGGTAGCGGACTTTCGCCGTTGACATCTCCGATTATTTCAGTACCATCAAAATTTGAAGGATCGGCGGTGAGGAAGCGTAACAAAAAATGAAGGTTTTTTTGTTGGAACTTCCGTCAGCGTAAATTTTATGGTCTTACATTCTTCCCAAAAGCCCGTCCCCCTTTTCCACTGATTTATGTGCATGATTCTGAAGAAAAAAAAAAGAAAAAAAAACCTATTACAGCTGAAAGATTATTCAAAGAACTTTATGTGTAAAATTCCAAAAGCGCAAACCTCTAAAGCGTGTATGCGGATTAGCGCTTTTGATGAGGTGGTGAAAACACTAAACAGGGAGTCGTTCGCGCAAATGATTGCTCTTGAAACTTTAGGAGGAGAGATGATAAAAACTTATCCTTTGTTAGAAATCTGATAGCAGTCTATGAAATGACTTAACCGCATTCGTCGTTCTTAGGTCAGGAAGTTTAGGGCCGTAGCCCATAATTTAGACGGGCAATGTTGAAATACATATAAACGGACAATTGACAATGTTAGATAAATATCAGGAGTAACCTACTTCATCGGGAGGACGCTGGAATTAAGTTGAGTTGCAAGAGAAACAATAAGTAAAGCACCCTCAGTTAGTATCGCATGCATGATCAGTGAGCGAACTCCATCAAAGCGCCTGGATGCAACTATTCGAGCTCCACGGATGTCCGGGTTGCATAGCCGCGGATTTGAAGGAGTTTTGATTCCCCAGGCACCCTTCACCGTACTCGGGGCGAGGTGCGGCAACAGCGAGTTGTGTTACGAAAATCCAAAACTAAAGAACTCTTTCAATCCTTCTTTCATACTAAAAAGACATCCACTAAACACGAATAGTTGCATAAATGCGTAGAATACTTACGTATATTCTGTACTTCAGTTTTTATAAAGCGATGTACTGAGCATGATTTGTAGAGCAACTATTCGTCCCCAAAAAAACTTTGTAATTTGTAGTAGGTATGAACGAAAAATGGAAGGCGCTCTTTCATTTCGGATTTTCGCAGTACAGCAGTACAGCACAGCTCGCCGGTGGATGAAGCAGTGAGCTTAGAGAGCCAAAACGCCTTCACGTTCGTGCGTATGCAGCACACACATCCCTGGAGCCCGAATAGTTGCATGCAGGCTTTATAACGATATTCGTCCAGTGTTTGTCGCATGCGATACTAACTAAGGGCGCTTTGTTTGTTTCTCTCACTCATCACCTTATTTTTTGTGCCAATGGAGTAAACTATTGTCGATTTTTATCGCGACATCGTTATTTTTCCGAAAAATACATGGATTGTTCTAATGTATTACAATTATTCCTCTTATTTCAACATGATTTTGTGAAAAATTTTACCCAACATTTAAGATGGTGAGGGGTCCAAAAAGCCACACCAGGATCCAACCACATCTGTTCCCAATCATTTTCCTTTTTATCGCAGAATTTTGGGCGGTTATCAGTGTCCCACTTGCCCTCGATTTGACTGGCACCCATCCCGTTCACTGCAATGAAAAGGGGAAAATACAAAATCAAAATAATTAATTAGAAATAATTAATTAAGTGCTAATTTAATTGCACTCGGAAGACGTCGCAATTTTTCTACTTAGCTTTGAAAGGAAGAAAAAATTACTTGCTAAAACAAAACGTTGAAATTTCCACTAATGACTCAGCTTTTGCAAATGAGTCACGATTGGACCGCGTTAGTATTTAGCCTGCGTTTTACCTGCGTTTCGCAGACAGGAAGCAAGCCGTAGCAGCTATTGCCATAATTAATTGGGCAATTTAATTTTTTACGAGAGAATTTTCGTGCGGACTCTTTTGAAAATTTAAATGAATTTGCCACGTACTGTGCAGAAAATTCAGTGAAATTTGCACAAAAATCCGCACAGCCGTTTTCGTGTAAGAAAGTAAACTGCCCAATTAAATTTGGCAATAGCTGATGGGACTTGGTTTCTTTCTGCTTTAGGTGCGCGGTTATATTTTTTTTTAAATATTAAAAATGGTAAAAAAAAATGGTTTAAAATAAAGTTCATATCGATGGCCAGAGTGCGGAACCTCGTATTTCCGTTTGCGACGTTGCAGACTTCCTGTCATACTTCATTTTTTCATTTTCTGGGGAATAAACTATAGTCAACGTAATTTCTTGAAAATTTCCTTGAATTTCCTTCTCTTTAAGCTGAATATTCCGTAGTTCAAACTCACAATTTGCCTTGTTTCTCTTCGAAAAAATAAAATAGGAGTGAAAATTTGGAAACACCGCAATGGAGGCAAGTGGTCTCGCTCTCTGTGCCATCGATATTTCAAGATCATTTACCGAGTATAATAGGTGCCAATTTGTCCGACTCGTAGTCATAATTTTCCACAACTGAGACGATAAAAAAAATTAAAAATGCAAAAGACGAACAACTTAAAACCAAACAATTTCCATAACAGAGGATCATTTTAAATCTTTGAACAATTAGAACACAGCGACTCGATCATAGAGGAGGAAAACTGCGGAAAAACTGATGTAGGTATAGTCTAGGTACATTTCGATGAGGATAATCACTCGGTGTGCACCCGGGTTATGAGTTTCCCCACAAAAAGTGGCATAGTATAGACCGTTTCAAATAAATAGAGAATCATTATCAAGCCCGCATTACAGGATCAAAGTAAGTAAGAGTTTGAATTACAGCGATCTGTCGAAATTCGGTCAATCCCGTCGTTAGAATTTCAATTTTACCTGATTTTACTGCCGCGATGAGGAAAAACGCCGTATGAACCCACAGCGTTGCCACATTTCCTTTGATATAATACGAATTTCCTAGTAAACTTACGAATATGTTTCTGCAAATTTTTCAAATAATTTTGTTCGCGATTTAACCTAAAGCTCTTGAAAATACCAAGGAGAAATATTCATAACTTTCCTCAACAATTAACCTTGTATAGAAGGAAATTTGGCAACTCTCAAAGGCTCATACGACGTTTTTCCTTAGCACGGCAGTGCACCTATCGTTACGCTTTAAGTGCTTGATTCTCTGAGACAGTTTCTGCTAACCTCGTTCGATGGATCTGTGGAATATCGCTCCCCCGGAAAATGTTGAAAAAACAGTACCAATTTTGAGCTGTTTCCAGCGAAATGTTGATCCAATTACGATTTCAAAGATCGAGGATATTAACGCACTTAATCAGTGATATTTCTCACATTTCTAGGGGGGGGAGGGGGCCCTTCAAAGTGTGAAACCACGCAGATCCGTTTGCGATGTTGCAGATTTTGTTGCATACTATATTTCTTTCTCTGGAAACTTGGTCAACATAATTTTTTTTAAAACTTCCTTTATTTTTCTTCTCTTCTAGAAGAAAGTGCACAAATGCGAGCTATGTAGTTGGCTTGTTAGGTGTTCCTCTTCAGAAAAATAAAATGGAAGCGGAGGTTTTGCAACATCGCAATGGAGATACGCAGTTTCGCACTTTGACTATGGATATGCAGCATTGGAAGCTCTTTGGTTGAGGGATGTAAGTAGGTAAGTCCACGTATAAGTGCAGTTACATTGTTTGCTCTCTCATGCTATTGGTAATTTCAAACAATAATCAAACAAACATGGAGAGATAAAATGGAAAAGTGCCCGAAATGCAGGAAAGGTGAATTGTTGATGTTTGTAATATAAAAAACAAAAAACCTATTATTTTTCTTGATATTGCTCAAAGCATCAGAGTTTCCAAAACATTTTGAACTCTTCATCCCTCCCCCCCCCCAAAAAAAAAAAAAAAAAAAAAAAAATTACGTCAAAGCCAATTTGAGTTATGGTGGGTTTAAGTCTCCAGTTAAAAATACGTAGTTTGCAGTAAAGGAAAAATTTAACGTTTCCTATCTGCCATGACCAGCAAGAGGACACAAAATTGCCAAATTGTAATGCAACTTCATACGTCGTAGGTATTTGCAAAAAAAAATAATTTAAGCGCTTATAACTTATTCTTCGGTAGTTCTTTGAAATCTAATTTTGAACCGATAATCTTAGACTGCATAGATAAATGCTCATGCTTCTGATTTAATGAAGTTCTAAAATTGTGTAAATCAAAAGTGTTGATCAAGACGCTTCAGTGGCAGGGCGTCCGTCAATTCAAATGTCCCTCTTGAAATTTAAATTTCCCGCTACTAAGTTCCTAATTTGTCCGCGATGTTCCGATAGCAGCACTAGCGCTTATAGTGATTGTTTACATGCAAGTTTCGCTTTCGTATTCGTATCAGCACAATCAGCAGGTTATAAGTTCAATTTTAGATTTAGTGATAATTATTCTTATAAAATTGTAATTATAAGTAGCTACAGAACTCAGTAAAAATGGAATTTCGACCGAACAAGCAATCTATGATCTCCAGATCCGTGAGAGCTGAAACAAGAAGCCGTGCCAAAGATGACATCAAGAGGGTTATGCAGGTTATCGACAAAGTTCGACATTGGTAAAGAAATTTACTGAATTTTCCTTACATTTTCCTCTATGAGTCTAGCCTAAGTTTCTGCCTCTATACCAGAAATATATACTTTGTATTTTCTTTGGTGGAGTGTAAGGTTTTGCTGCCAATTATCACGTGACCGAGTGCCATGACATCTCGCAGACTTATCCGAAAATTAACCTAAAACTTAGGTAGTAGCTTTTTTTAAAACCCCAGTTTGCTCCTAACTTTCACTCGCATACTACATACACTCTTTAAGTTCATGAAAAACGAATGGAAGGGTAATTATGACGTCGCTGGCCGTAAAGTATCTTTTCCGCCCATGAATTCCTCATGTGTGAGAGGAGTGAAGTAAACCTAGAGCAAGTTCCAGCAGAGCTTTCAGAACACCAGTCAGATATGATTGCCATTGTTTATGCAGCAATGCAGGCACTCTGAATGACATTCAATTCTAATGTGACGTTTCAACTGGCGAACTTCGCCACGAAAGTTGAGAGGTCGCTATCTCCTTTTTTTCTTGGAAACTCACAATCTATCTGTAATATCAAACTGTTTACTTGAATCTTCAAACTTCTACGTGCAAAAATTTGTCCTCAAACTGTCTAATTTTCAAGATGATCGAAGGTTTGTTTGTATTCTCTCATGATTCGGAGGTGCAGTAAGGGCCTGACTGTCTCAACTCAGTTTCGTAAAAAAGTCGAAAGGTGCAGACTTCAAATTTCTTTTTTTTGTAGTGCATTTTTCAATATTCCCTTGTGGTAAGAGATAAGACCATTGCTGCCAAAATTTTCTGGAGGAATGCCTTGTTTTATTGAGGATTTTCTGCATGACTGATGTGAACTATTTTTGTGAATTGCTTTGGTTCTGTTGTACAAATTGTTTTTTTTTCAGATTTTATTGCCAGAAAAACATATGTCAATTTTTTTTTCCCCATTATGAGAAGCATTTCACGTAACAGGCTGTCCGTATTTCAATTTTAACCTGTTGTTGACTTTTTTTATTACAGGGAGAAAAAATGGGTAACAATTGGAGAAACAACCATGAAAATCTACAAGTGGGTACCTGTTCTCGGCGCAGGTCAAGCTGATCAGGTACTTAAATCAATAGCTTTTTAAACATTTAAGTTGAGTACAAATTTTATGGCAGTACAGCATCATTCTTGTATGTTAATAATTTGGTCACATTTTACTTGTGAAGAAAGCGTGACCTCAGTTAACTCTTTCTTTGCCGGGCCAGAAATCCTGCCTCACACTTCTGTGCACCAAATCAGGAAATAAGAGAACGAAGAATTTTCTTAATCGTAGTATTTGTATTGAGCTACTGTTTCCCTAATATTTGATTCATTAAAAAAATCAATTTTTATGCAAAAACACAGCTAATGGACATGTATGTGTAATAAAAATATAAACTCTTTACTCTTCTAGGAACATGTTGATGGCCAGAATGCGAAACAAAGTATTTTAATTTCAGTGTTGCAAAATTTCCGCTCCCATTTCCTTTTTTCAAAGAGAAACAAGCCAACTTTTTAGCTTGAAGTTTATGCGGAATATTCTGATAATTCCTAGTAAGAAAAAATCGAGGAAGTTTTTAAGAATATACGTCTCTTAGTTTTCGAAAGAAAAATAAAGTATGACATGATGTTTGTGACGTACCAAATGGAGATAAGTAGAGTCCCTTTATGCTGAGAGTCAAGACAATTCGGCTCATGGATGTCACAAACGGGAATAAAGATTACAGAAATTGAACGTTTTTCGTAATCTTTGATCGGCCCATTCTCAAATGCCTTTCTCCGTTCCTCCTCTCATTCCGTTTGTTCCTTGCCGAACCCGTAATTCCCTGGTCCACTCCAGATTATAATCTTTGCAATTGGTGAAAATGTAATCTTTATTCCCGTTTGTGACACTGTGGAGGCCTAAAATACGGGAACCAATCAGAAATGGATTCAAATTGTCTTGACTCTCAGTATAAAGGGACTCTAGAGATAAGTGGTCTCACACCATTGCCTTTGATTTGAACTTTTGTATGTTAATTTTTATCATTTTTTGTTCTTTTTTCAGAAAAAGAAACCGAAGAGTGAACAAACTACTAATTGCAATAACAAAGAAAACTCAATCGGGAAAAGATCTCTCGAGTCGTCCAACTCAAATTTCGGGTTAACGGAAGATTCCAATACCTGTAAGCCATTCAATTTTCTCCTAACTCTGACATTAGCTGTGTGATTCTTACTTTCTGACTTTATGAAAATTGTTTCCCCTTTACATGCGATCTCTTTGTACAGTATTGAACTTATTAAGGAAGCGATTGAAAGATAATGTGTGATCATTAAAAAAAAAAGCTTTAAAAATATGGCATCCTGAAAGGATCTCACTCAGAGCTTGAGTGTCACCGCTACCAGAGTTAAAAATATCAATTCAGCTAGTATGATTCCGACTGTGCACATAGCTCGTTGGGATAAGATATTGTACTAATAAAAATAATAAGAAGAGAAAAAGATCAGCATTAGATATTTTTCAATTTTTTTTTTTTTTTTCATGACACTGTTTAGAAAATGCGTATTTTTTGGACTTGAGCCTGTCTTAAGTGCTTTCAGCAGGAATCTTCACTCATCATCTCCTGAGATGGTAGCAGCATTTAAACTCCTACTGTAGGATGAATTAATTTTCACAGCTCTGACTGAGTCAAGAGATTATGTTAATTACTGGAATTTTTTTCTGTCACGCTTCGTCTATTTTTCTTTTTCAACATCCAATCGTACCTAGTTCATCAAATTTATTGAGTGTAAAAAGCAAAAAAGTTGGACCTTGACATAATTATCAGAACAATTAATTCAACATCAAATTTTCAGTGTTCGTTCCCTATAAGAATTAAATTCAATTCTATTTCAGTGCCACAGGAATATCTAGTGCTCTTCAATTTACCCATTTTAAATTTTGCTCGAAAAGTTATGGGTTATTTAAAGGTTGTATGCTATAGTGAGAAAATGGGAAATGAAATATCGCTGGCTGTTAAAAGTAAAAAAATTCGTACATCTGTAATAGTGTTGTTTTAAGTCTCCCTTCATGTTTTATTTTTTTCCAAAGGAAACTGACCAACAGTCTTTATTGAATTTTGTTAAACGAGTTTTTTTTCTTTAATTCTGAGGAAGCTGGGACGGTTGGACTCTTTTCTTCTATTTTTCTAAAAAGAAAACTGAATAACAGTCTCTATTGAATTTTGTTGCGAGGTTCTTTCTTTTATATTGCAGAAAGCACACAAAATTGCAAAGTCATATTTTGATTAGTATTCCTGAAAAAATGATAAAAAATAAACAATAATTTGATTTTTTAAACATTACAGTTTTTGAAGTATGCAGCATTTGCATTTAGCCATCCATGATACCCCCAGGATGATGACTAACAAAAATTTGTCATTTTTCAGCACTAAACTCCAGTTTTTGCATGAACATCCAAGAATATGGTTAGGACATTTCACATATTCAACTGAAAATTTCATCTGAATTCCTGATCAATCTTTAATACCTATGTAGAGTCTCTATTAATTGTTTCTTCTTCATTACTCTCTCATATTTCCTCAGGTTTTTCGACTGTTAGTGACTCTCAAGGCCCTACAGAATTCTCCTCAAACATTGGATTTTCAGACGACTCCAATTCACAAGGCAGCGAACCGGTTTCGAAACGGTTGAAAACCAACGACTAATTAGCTCTCTTTACTCATCGCAGGCTGTAAATAATGGCGTAAACTCTAGAGTTCTTTATTATTTGTGTAAAGTTTTTTATCCATTCTTTTGTTGTTTTTAGAATCTATTGTGTACTTATTATGTGGACTGAGTGATTTGAATCCTTAATATTTCGTCCTCCAGTTGATTTTTCTACCTATTTTCTTGGGTCATTCCTAGAAAGGCACAGTATTGGGTCAAGTGCTGCAACTAGTTGAACGTAATTGAACAGCTTTAAATTTTTAAAGCGATTATACAAGCATGTTAGGTATACTTTGATGGATTTATTACATTCTGAAGATACAGGGTGATTCAAAAGTCCCGCACCACCCCTATAATTTTTAGGGTTGTCGCCCCTTTTAAGGATGACCCTCCTATAATTTTAGGGGGCCTCAAAAGTCGTTTTTTTTTTATCTCAGAGCGTTCGTAAAATGTCAAATCTCTATCTCAAAGTGTACAAAAGTAACAGAGGCGATGCTGGGTGCTAACAGTGGGGGACTTTTGGATCATCCTGTAGATGAGCTCATGAATTATAATGTACAAGTTCTGATGCCATCAAGCGGAAGTGATCCCACTCCGTTGGGAAGTTTCAGATTCTCCTGTCGTATTTTACTTTTTTGAAAGCGCAACCATGCAACATCATTGGTTAAAGTTTTTTTGAGAATAATGTTCTTAGGGAAAATAAAAATCACAGTAAATTTTAACCAATATATCACAATTTTTAATTGAAAAAAAAAAAAAAAATAGGAGAAACAAGTCTATTGCAAGCAAGAGATACAGCCAAGCAAATAGACTTTCCTTGGGTAAAATAGCACAAAAATTATGATGGGCACATCTAGAAAGTTCTAAATCCACTCCTTAGCATAGAATCTACATATTATGTAACATGCTTTTTCAAATTCCTGCACTCGAACAGCAATTCCCTGTCGCTGGCGATCAGGTTTGCATAGACAAAGGAGCATGATAACCGAACCTGAAAAAAAAAAAAAAAAACCATTTCTTAAACTTTTTCAAGTGTATGATTTCAATAGTTTTCAAGCGTTTGTTTCCTTCCCTCTTTCTTTGTTTAACAAAAACAAAAACTTTGAATCAATTGAAATCTTACTTAAGAAAGTTTCCAACAGTTTGTGAGATTATTTCTCTACGTAGGTCAGGTTTTCGTGAGTCCTTCTCTGTGCTAACCTGTCTGCCGGCCTATAAGAAAATCTGCCAGCAGGCGTAGTAAACTTGAAAAAGCTAGTCACAAGCTTCGCAGATTGCAGGGTAAGGAGTGGATTTCAGATTTTTTTGCTATACCCAATGTGACTTATGTGCAATTTTGCCCATAAAACATCTGTTTAATTGATTGTAACTCTCGCATGCAACAGACTCATTCCATAAGCCTGCAACGCAGTCTGATCACCTTTGCGTTTTGACATTTGTTCCTTGATTTAATTGAGATTTTCATCAGAAATTCCTTTTGTAGCACTTGTGATAGCAAATGATGGATCAGTGGCTGAATCTTATTGGCAGATTAAAAATTAATGATAATATCCTGTCAAACGACAAGTTTCTATATGACCTTTTAATAAAGATATTGCCTACGAAGAACAATTGATTACATAGTTGTGCATCTAAAAAGGTCTCTTTCACTTTGATCGTATAAGTGATGTACGTGAAGCAACTAGGGCAAATCCTGTTCATCGGTGATCGATGAAATCAAGGTCAAAGAAACCATTTTATGCACTAAATGGCAAAGCACAGTATTTGATGTATCTGTATAACTTGATGCATATGTATCAGGGCGGCGCTCAAGCCAGAACTCAAGCATAGGAGCGACCCATAACCAACTCTATATAGAATGCCTAGCATGTTTTCTCCACTTTCTCTAGTGTTGGTTCCGCCATCCGGAACAAGTACTCCTTCAAAGCTTGGTCTGCCACTCCCATCATAATTTTGTCTCGTAACATTTCATCTCTGAGAGATCCATAATCACAATGTATGATGAGCTTCTTTAGGTCTGAGCTAAATTCATCGAAAGACTCACCAACATTTTGGGTTCTGCTGTTAAATTTTAAACGCTCGATGGCCACATTTTTCTGGGGCTCTGCCCACTCATCCAGTTTCTTAATTAGTTCCTTATAATCTTCAGATTTATCGAGTCCAAGCGCTTTGATTCGCTGTCGGCCTTCAGGTCCTATGAAGTTTCTGAGTTTCGCACTTTTAACTTTATCGGATTTCTGATCCCATTCGTTTCCGATCATTAAGTCCTCGAACTCCGATTTAAATTTCAACCAGTTGTCCCGCACATTTCCCGAAAGAGAGAGAGGTTCAGGTTTATTATAAAGTCCGAATTCCATTTTGAGGTTGGAACGTACACGAGACACGAGTAAGGTAACGATAATGCACTAAGAAACGATCACTTACGACTGCGCCATGATTTGTGTATAGTTTCGGGGGGAAAACGGGAGAATAAGCACAATGATATTGTTGAGATGACAGACTGGGGTTTTATTGAAAATACAATAAAGAGGCTTTCACGGTTCTACTACATGAAACACGAGGCATTCTAGGCATTCTATATAGAGTTGGTTATGGGTCGCTCCTATGCTTGAGTTCTGGCTTGAGCGCCGCCCTGATACATATGCATCAAGTTATACAGATACATCAGTATTCACCGTATTTTACCTGTTGTATATATATCTATTAATACAAGGTGTAGAAACTTAATAAGACGATTATTTTTTTTTTCTTGTCTCTAAAATCCAGCCATTGAAAATGATTTTGTGCTGTTCAGAACTGACCTTAAACTGACTTGATCGAGGAATAATGCAAAAAGTAGTTCTATACTAAGCTGCTAGGCACAGTTACAAGTCCCCTCAATTTTTTCAAGGGGCCAATGTCGAGCCATAATATTAGTCATTTGAGCCAGTCAGTCTGTAAAACCTGGTTGTGTGTGGAAGGTGCTCAGTAGAAATCATGACCTTATATTAAAAATGAATCCAAGATGAAGGTTTTAAGGAGGTGCTAACTGCGTGTAAAATTTTAATCATAGCTGAGGTATCATGTCTCGTAAGTTTTTAAGCCTGATTTAACCAACTTGTAGAGGTTATTATTCCAGCTGAGCTGCTGGTGGACCAAATATTGAGTTATGTAATAGATTCAACAGATGTAGCTCTCTGAACTTTGCTGCATGCACCTATAATTTTTCATTACTACCTAATCAGTCCTAGATAATACTGCAAGCAAAGCGCTCAAATTCATGTTTTCATTTTTTATTTATTTATTTATTTTAAGTGTATTTTCTGAAAGAAATACAGTCTAACTTCAATTATCCAGTGATTCGTGGTAGAGACCTGTGTAGGATACTGACAACGCCCCGTAATAAAAAAATTCATAGCGTATGTTAGAAAAAATGGGGAAAAAGTGCAAAAACTGACTGTAAAATCGAAAAAATGTCCTTAAAGATTATGATTTTGATCCTCAGATGTCCACCTGTATGACTGAAGCGTCGTTAAACGAAGTTCGACTGAACACTTTCGCGTTCTCCCTCATTGTGGGACCTAGACCTAGGATCATATGAAGAGTCGATCTCAAGTTGTAGAACATGAATGTATTTTTACACCCGTAGGATATTATTTTCTTGAAATACATTGTAGTAATGTTAATTGGAAGCCGAAAGACTCCGGACAGTAGATAAAATTCAAGTTCCTAGTCTAGTCTAGAGAAATTTGAATTGCCCCTGTTTGGCAATCCCATTTTCAAATTCTTTACCAATTTAATCTTTCTGTTTGCACGTCTCTCGTTTACAGTCCATGTAACCAATTCTAGGAATTGTGAGCAGAACGGTTAAACTCGGAGAAACTTTAGAAACTTATTTTAGCGAAGGATTGACTTTCGACTATTGACCTTGCCAGGCTTAGAAAACATCAATGTTCCTCTCTGTCAAGAAAGTGAATAATGATAAGAGTATCTTGTCCTGTCCAGAATACCTTTGTTGCTTCTCTCATGTATTCCTAAAGGTCAGTTTAAATTTTACCCTCAGTGAGCTGTTGTTACATTGACCATGTTCAGCAAGGACCGCACAATTCCACATGGCATTTTTCAATTTTTACTTGGAAGGTATTTCAAGCCTCATCATAAGTTTTACATTTTTGCATTCCATATTTTTGGCATTTTTTATCCTTCCACAAGGAAATTATCGATAGCTTAAATTAAAATGTATGTATCTGAGATCACTATGTTGTAAGTCTCTGCTTGTCTTTTGTTTTTTCAAAGCAATACAAACCAAACATTTTTACTGAAGTGAATTTTTTTCACTCATTCTAAAAAAAATCATTGGTTCTCCTTAAAGAAAATTAAACATAATTGGAGATTTTTAATCGTTTCAATCGAGGTATGCCTTTTTTGCATTGATATCTAAGAAATCTTGAAATTAACTTAGCCACTGTGATCACAGGAAAAAAAATATGTGTAAAACGGAGTTACATAAGTGGTTCTTGCTAAGCATGCCAATGCTTCCTAAGAGAGGGAGAGTTTTTGCATTTTTCTATTTCATAATATCCCTTAACATTAATGCTGATGCTCAATATTTTACCTTGCATCACAAAAGAGCAATTTTCGGAGACTTGTTCAGCCTCTGCGCTCAGTAAAATAAAATAAGAGGGTAATTATGAAATATTTATGAATAGATTCATTCACATTACACGCTAACAGTAAAGTGTGCAAAGTTTAATAGTATTTTTTACGAGGACTCAAATCAAGTCCTGCAAAGTTTTGACTTTCATCAGGTGCAAAATGTATAATGATAGTATTAGTCTAATGAAAATAGATACCTCGAAAAATGTTTTTTTGATCTATTATATTGCTAGACCGAGAGAATTTTGTTACCACTAAAAGTTGTGAAGCATTCTGACAACCGCACATTTTTGTTCTAGATCAAGTTTGCTCAAGTCCATTGGATAGTTAGTCAAATGAAGGGCATATAGAACCAAACAGATTATTGGCATTTAAAATTTCTCACTTTTTGGGTCTACTTAATTTATTAGAAGGAAAACCGGTTATTTTTTCCAATGATTTTTTAAGAGAAAAAAAATCAGCGAAAATTTTAAAATACACTTGTGCAAAGTTAAGCAAAACTGACACATCTACATTGCCATGTTTCAAAATCTCATCCCCTATTTTCATTTCTTGGAAGGAAAGCAACAAAAGTTTTTGCTTTAAATTTTGTGCAAATAGGTAATCTTTATCTGGGCAAGAAAAATTAAGACCAAGTTCGAATGGAGATGTTAGTTGGTTTCCTTTCAAAAACTTTAAAAAGGAAATGAGGGTTTGAAACACCGCAATGGAGATGCAACTTTTCTGCTTGACTTTATCCATTTGAAACCCTACAGATGATTTGCCCTTGCTCCATTTATTAGAAGAAAAATCAGAGACTTTTTTCAATTATTTTTCCAAGAGAAGGGAAAATAATGGATAATTTCAAGCTGCAGTTGATGTTCCATTTTCAGTTTTTAAAACTAATATAAGATCATACAAACAATTTTGTTGAAATGTTGCATGCTCATGTATATACGGGTCAGACCGTCCAATTTAGAATACCAATACCATGTCAGTATCATCATTTTTTATGCGGAAGGAGACTTACTGAAACCCAATGAAGCATTTGCTGTACTTTGTTTTATTTATTTTCTCGTTTTTTACATTGGCACTATCAGCTTTTTTCGAATGAACTTCAAAAAATATGTATAATTTCTTTCTGTTGAATTAAATAGAATGAGTTTTTTAAAAAAAGACGTAAGTTCTATAGAACCTAGGAGGCATCTACCTCTATCTTCTCTCAAATAAGCAGTTCAATAAATTTTCAACATGATGAAATGTCTCATCGAGTACTCATACTGCAATTTTGAAAAAGTGTGAATTAAATTCTAGTAGTTCTGGTTTTAAAATTTTCTCAAACCCATCTTGTAATTTTATTTTGTAAAATACATGTAATCTTTCTATCAAACTTGAAGTATTTTTTCTCTCTTTGTTTCCTTACGAAAATTGACAGGAAGGTATGATCTTTGAGGATTTTGACTCTATTCCATAAAACAGCATGATCAATTTTTCCAACGAGGACCGAATTCCTTGTTTAGAGATCAAATTATGGAAAAAGACATTCAGTAGCTGCTTAAGGATGACAAACACCAAAAATGACTAGAAAGGGTAAGCAGCTGGAAAATCAGTGATACGTAAATGTGAGAGATATTTCCTGACTTTCCCCGGTAGTCGCAAATTTCCTAATTTTCCCGGTTTTCTAGACCGCTGGCAACGCTGGTAAAGAGAGGATAGTAGTAAAAAAAATCAATATTTATTTGTTTTAAGACTTTTTTTTCTATTTAAATCCATACAAAATCAAACAAATTCTTTAATAGGACTACATAACAAATTATGTACAAACAAGTGCCACAGAGATTGCGGTAGATAATAATTCTAAACAATAGTATTCATTTAATTGGACAACAATAATTCAATTGGATTAGAAACAAAACATAAAATAGCATTCATCTCCTGTCATTTTCCTTGATGGCTAGTGTAAATACTAGTTTTCAGGACGCCTTCTTGAAAGATCATCCGTTACCTGATGTTTGCATAAGCTTACATTCTTGCCACCGACCCCGATAATTAATTATCACAATAAAGATATGGCATTACTTCCCTGGACAGTTTTTCACGAAAAACCCAAAAAGGTCAATCGAAAGGAAATTTCACAATGGAGTGCCTCTTCAGTCAGATCATATCTCATAATTGATCATAGCACAAAGAAATGAATATTGTTACCCAACTCTAAATTTAGAAGCCTCCATTACAGCTTTCAAACTTCCATTTTCATCTAAAAGGGAAACATGCTAACTGTAGTATCCACGCTCGACACTGCTGTCTGGCGTGTTCAGGACCGCAAATGTGGGGTACACTCCATTCCAATTACTTGAAAGACTCGCTCCCATCGTACATTTCCCGCTAGAACTAGCTGCTCATCACCCATTCCTGCAACTCACCCCCATAATTTTTTTCTTTACAGCACCCATTCACCATGCAAATCAACACCGTGAAACAAATAATATTCCATGAGTTTCTGACGCGTTGGGCAGCTAACGACGGCATAGTATCCTCCTTTTAACTATTTAGGCCTGAAACTTGCTGACACAGCTCCGAGAGGAGCTGTTCCACATGTTTAACTCGGAGTGCACCCTTCTTTGTCTAGTGGTGGACCATCAGCCAACTTACATTAAAATAAATCGAAATAATACCACAATGTTTTCGGTAGATTTTACAATCACGAACGATCCATCTTTGGAAATGATCCAGTTACATTAAGCACGGATTACTCTCATACTTTTAGATTATATTAGATTTTTATATTAAATTTATTTCATAAGAAAAGCATGCAAAGCACCATACAACCCCACTCCCTCTTTTTTTAACTCCTCCCAATATTCATTCAAGTATCATTTTTTTACAGCATGGCAACATACCATTCGCTTATGGACCAGTGCCCCATCGTCCAATTTTTACTGAACCACAGCGATGATGAAATGAAAATTAACTTAAGTAATGCATGTAAATTGCCCTTAGATGTGACAAGGTTAAATTTTAAGACACCAAATTTTTCACTTATCCCTCAGTCCTTACTAAAAGATTATATTCATGAGTTACCATGGGACATCCTGTCCATAAGGTACAAATTCTCTTTTTAACTAATTAAAGCGTTTCAGTCACAAAATAAATTGGTGTCTCTATAGCAAAACAAATTTCCTGACGGATCATAGAATTGAGTATTTCCATGAAAGTGTCGAGCGTGGATACTACATAACTTTGTTGCTTGGAACTCTGCCGTACTGAGCAAAAACTGCAGCTCACCATTTTAGATCCTCAATTTTGTTGTACATGTTACCATAGTACAAAGCAACTATTAAACCTACATAATTTGTTACTTAGAATATGTACTGTGCTTCAATATGAGGAGCTTATATTGACAGCATACAAAATGTAAATGCTCAGGCTTCCTATTAATGAAGCGTTCTGTCTAAAAAATACTCGCAAAATTTGGAATGGAGTTCCTTGGTGTTTGCTCAGCACAGGAGAATTTTTACAATCTAATCTTTAAACAAAGAAGTAGAATCCAAGAGTTCTCAAAAAATAACTGATTAGTTTTCCATTTAAAATTGATGCACAATGGTGGTAAGCAGTGTTAAAAATAAAGACATATTTCCACAGTTGAGCCGCTGATATAACCTAACACCCAAGACGTTAAGTTTATATAAGTAGATCACTTAACTACATCCTAATGCATCCAAACTGGGCCGAGAGATCTCTGATTTTGGAGGTATCATGTCAACACGAAACAAAAAATTGAGGGGCTTTTTACCTAAACAGAAAGCCTTTACTTCTTAGAGACCCTAAACCTCAAGTTGAGGCCTGGCCCACACGTTTGAACTTCGGTCAAACTTTTGCGGAACTAGCTGACAAGTCAGCTTCTATTTCCCTGGGACTAGTTTCATAAAACAGCGCAGTTTGACTGACGGCAACGAGAGGTTCAACCTTCTAGACCGGATCTAAGTAAGATTTAAAAGGGCTACATCTTGATTCATTTAAACTGGTGCGATAGAGATCCCTGATTTTAGAGGAGCCATTTCATCACAAAAGCAAATTCACGAGGTACTTCACGTGAGCAAGATTTATTTCTTGATGAGGGCTCTTGCTTTCAATTCCAGTACGATTGATGGAGTCAAGTTTACTTTGGATCATTGTCAGCTGTTTCGACTATTTGACCTTTTGACTGAGGCTGAAAAAGAACAAAAAACATGACATAAGCATTAATATGAGAACATCATTTTTTTTTTGGAAGTCGGAATCATTCATGTAAATTACAAGTTAATGTCTGAAACAAAATTTGTATGAGAGGTAATTTTCGTAAAATCAATTGAAATTGATAAGATTAGTTTTTTACTATAAGATGCTTGCTAACATCCTTAGGAGTATGCACCCACTGTATTAGATCAATTTTATTACAATTGACTTGAGTTATTTCTTTTTTGGGATCAGTTATACTGGAGGTGCAGATCTGCGTGAAATGCTAAATTAATCTGCTTAAATCTTAAGTTTTCTAGTTTTTTAACTTTAAGACATCATAATTCCGTCCTATCTTCATAACTTGGGATCATATTTTTATCAAAATTTTCAAAACTGAAAAATATCTCATAATGGACGAAAAAATTCTGAAATATTCAAAAATATACATGCCAATGATGTCATTGGTTGTCATGAAAATATTGGATAGAGATGGAAATTACAAATTAAAATTTTTTAACAAGTGAGCGTAGATAGAGAAAAATTAGCAGTTGTTGATAAATACAAACCGCTGAAATTTATCTCTTTCTTTGCTTCTTACTTAAACCATTAAATTTACAAATTACTTCCTTAGAACTTACCAAAACATAAATATTTCTTGGTAAATTGCGTTCCAACATTTCCAAAATAGCTTGAGGGTTTATGGAGGTATTCTTGTAGATGACTCTCAGTCTTGGCAGTTGGATCAGTCCGGAATATAGAGGGAAGAAATTGTAATCTAATTTACTGAACGATTCTGGTAAAATCCTTAAAGTCAACTGAAAAAATAACAAGAGTGAAAAATTATTAACAACATGCAAATCAGCTTACTAGCATCTTAGTCTGTATAGAATAACATTAATGCTTTCCAATGAATGTGTTTTATGTTTAATTTTTGACGAGTGACTGTGGGGATAAGCACAAATTTCTACCAATTTATGTGATTTTTATCAGGTTCACTCCTTCTAAAAACACCTGACACAATAATGACTGGATAAACAGGAGCTATGACCTAGTCATAGGAAGAGGAAGAAGAAGAGGCTTTTGCCGAAGTTTGATGGTCTACGATAGTGATCTTTCAGTGCTGAGCTCAAGCACAGGCTCAGTTCAAACAGACTAATTGAATCGAGTTGCGCAAAAACCGCTGATGTCCATTTTTCCATCTTGGAGTTTTTTTTTCATGTTAATAATACTTTTCAAGGTTAGATACAACCATGAAAGTGGTAAAGGGACTCGTTTTAGGGTTACCTTAATCCCAGAACGAATCCTGTAATGTGTAATGTATTAGAAGTACTTGTCCAGAGTCGTCACAATCATGAGAGTGGCGTAAGGACTCAATTTTGGATTAAGATAACTCTAAAAAGAGTCTTTATACAACTTTCATGGTTGTATCAGACCTTGAAAAGTATTATCAACCCAAAAAAACTCACAACTGGAAAAATGGACAGGAGTGGTTTCATCATGATGCGATTCAATTGAGATACAGGAACAATTTGATGCCCACAAATTAGAATACGTACTCTTATGTCAAAACAAAAAGCTTTGACAGATATTCTTTAAGGTAGAAATTTTTTATGTTTCATGCTGAGGGACAAAAGACAGCGCATATAATTTTCCACAATTTCTTTATAAATGTTAAATGCACAATGAAAATTACATAACTTTAGACTTGGATGTAGTTTATTATGGCGTTGAGACGTAAATTTTGATAATTCTGCCTCTATTCATTCATCGATGATTTTTATTTTTTTTAATTTTTGAGATAAAATACAAAAGTACTTACAGTCTTTTGGCCTGCAAAAGCAAACGACACACTAGGTTCCATTGTAAGCTGAAGATCTAGGAGATTACTAGAATTATTACGCAATACATAAGTGACCGCCAGAGGAGTATGCATCCATGCGACGGCAGGAAGCAACATTTCAGCATAAAGTGGAATCATTTCGACTTTCACTTGGGGCAAATGTGAGACCAACTTCTTGGTAAACCGTTTTGAACTGGCTCTGTAAAGTGAAAATTTGAATTTAGAGGAACTGATTAGACTCAGAAAAAAAAGAGAAAAGGCTGATTTTAAAAATTGCGCTAGTAATTGCATTACGTTACGCTAAATTTCGCACCTTGAGTAAGCAAGACAGAGTATGAACGAGTTCTTTGAGAGGAAAATAATTATTCAAGTCAAGTTTGTCAAGTATTTTTTGGATTTTACTTTCCAGCATCTCACATTCAGGGATCTTGAGATTTGCTGTTTGTTCTTGAAGCTCTGCAAGTGTCCTTGAATCTTTTGTGAACTATGGCAATTGCAGCCTGGTAAGGTCTGAAGCATGAAATTGACACTTTAAGCTGCCACTAGGATCAAGAAATAGTGAGGTAAGAGACTCACCGTCGCCATTCGATGACATAGTTTCCCAAGGGAACTGCCGATTCGTACTCATCATCTACGACCAGATTAATTATTTCAGATCCTGATTCTCCGTTGATTAGTTCAACATTCTTCAGAATGTTTTCGTGTTTCCCAGTCACCTGCTCACCCTGAAAAATATGGTTACATTTAAAAAGCAGAGTAATGAAAGTTAAAAACTGGAAAAAATGTGATTTTTTACGGATGAGCATAGGCAAATTGCGACGTTTCAAAATTACAACAGACAATTTGTTTTGACACAAAAGAGTACTAAGAAAAGTTGTCCAAAAATCATACTGAATTCGGTCGTTTTCAGAGAAAAATTCTCCATTTTCCCCCAGGTTATTTGTTGAATTGTCTACCCATGCAAAAATGAATTATCCTTGGCAATTTTGAAACATTGCAACAGACTTGTGTCTGTGTGAAAAAAATTGATTCAATTTTTCTGGACAATCAACAAAGAATTACTTTGAGAACTCAAATTTTCTGTAAGATCTTCCAGTCTTATTTTCTTCCTTCTTTATTTATTTATTTATTTATTTATTTTTTTTTGGTGTAACTTACTGGTATTGAGGCTCTGAAGCAGTGGTGGCAATATATATGCCAAAAAGTTTCCAAACATTACCTTACAAGAAAACCGGCGAGTAAATAGAGACTTACCAACTGAACAGATGTTTTTTCAATTATCACAGGCCAAGGAGAAATGCAGTCAATTTGAACCTGGAGATTAAATGGCTCTTTGGCATACACCTTTGGTAAGTTTTCAAATTTTACATCTAAAAATAAGGTTGTTACATCAAACGCTTTGCAAACTTCAATCTTTAGTGGAATTTCTTTGATACAAATCTGTGATCCTACATCAGCCTCTTGTATCTCGTACTTTATCTGTAAATGAGATATACTATTAATGATAAGTACTGAGGTTAGTGACAAAACAAAGTTATCACCTGCAATGTATTCAGCATTTGATCTAAAAGGAAACAAAAAACAAAGGAAAGGAAGAGGATATTCTTTGAAATGTCTCATTTAATTTACATTGGAAAAAAGTAACCAATTATAAATATGAATGTGTGAACCATCTAAAAATAGTTTTAGTGGATATTATTACATAAATTTAGATCATAAAAGTAGTTTTTCGCAAATAAATGAATTTCGACAGTTTTTCAAAAATTAAAATCTAAGATTTTCCAGAACTTACAAAATTTTTTGTAGAAATATTAAACACTACTTTAAAAGAGGAGGTTTCTTTTTCCTGGATCTTTGTTCTCTACTACCCTTCACTAGGCAGAAATAGTATCAAGGATGAGTGACCGATGTATCAAGATTTAAATAGTGAGATATTTTCTGAGTATTGTGGAAACAAACATAAGAGCCGCTTTCACAGAGCTCTCTGCCGCTTTGCAACGCCTAACTGCCATAAAGCCCTATCCTCCCACAGCTCTTCAGGCAGTTGGCACTCTCTAATTCTATTTAAAACTCTCTGTCACCACCCTTCTACTGGGAGTCCCCATTATTGTGAATGATTCTCCAAAAATTTCTATACACTGACTACCTTTAACTGATTACACTCGTCAGAAACAAACCGTGACACTATATTCCATATTAAGAGCGAGAATTAATGGGTAATTATTGTGCAAAGTCACAGAACAAAGCTTCAAAAACAAACTCAAGTCAAGCTCACAATTTGTTCGTTGCCAAATTAGTTATACCTTGATCAGAAGTTCTTTGGACGTTAATGTGTGGGAAGTAATGTAAAAGGCACAAGAATCTTCCATGTCTTTTTTCAAACTGCTCAAAGGAACCACAAGAGGAAAAGAGGTTGACTCGTTTGACATAGCGCTGCAGATTTCCACTAAAACCAAAACAAGACAATTAAAAACATTGGTATCAGAAGTTATCAATGTCATTCATTTATTTACTTGTTTCTTAAGCAATGTCAAGTAGATGGACTAGATAATAAAATTAGTTTCTGCAGTTGTTGATAGGTGAAAAACACCAGGAATAATGAATTGAATAAAGAATGTCTAGGAAGATATTCTACTTTTTCAGGGATACCTGCCTCTCAAATTAGCATTCTGAGTTTCCGTAATTTCTTCAATTTTAAATTCCTGGACTTATTTTGTTTTCCCCCTACTCGCATTTTCAAATTCTCTGATTTCCTCTGACCCTTGATCAAAACCTCCAATTTGAGCTTCATTCTTCAAATGGAATTAATGTTTGTTTAACAGTGGATGAAATTTCCATTTCTAGAGATTCAAAATACAGGAAAAATCGTAAAAATATATGAAGGAAATTAATCGATAGGCTTTCATTCTTCTTAATCTTGAACTTGTGGTGCAACAATGAGTCCTATTTAACAATCCTGAAAAATTTTACTTTCTTTGCATCAGAGGTAGGGATGCTTGTGCTATATTTTATTGTTAGTAATCAACAACACATTCCAAGAAAATTATTGGATCCAGAGGGGGAAAGGAAATGAGAGGGGCAGAAAAAAAAGTAAAATAGGTCATTAGTAAGCCAAAAACCTTGTTTTGGCCACCTATTTTTTGGGAGGCTGGGTCGACATTCCACCCAAGAATATACAGATAAGGGAAGGAGCCAATATCAGAGTTGTACAACATTCTTCAACTTGATTATGCACTTAGACCCTCAATTTGCAGATAACCAGCGCAAAGTATACTTACACCAATGTTCAGAACCAAATTCTGTTGACGAGAGAGAGGACACTTCCAAAACAACATTTGATATGTCCACTTCCTCAGTATTCTTGTATTGCACAACAATTTCGAACCACTCAGCAAGTAACGCAGGTGCTTCATAATTCAACGAAACCGAGAGTTTTGATTTCCTCGGAGATATCACAGCCGAAAGAATTGGGGCTACCCAATCAAAATTAAGATCATTTGATACATTAGACCTGAAATTGAAATTGAATGACTGTTTTTAATTTAAAGGCATTAAGAAGAAATATTATAGCAAAAGATTAAAATGAACAAGTCATGAAAAGGTGTCGTTAAATTGTCCTTACGAGATGAAATTCTTGATAGCTACATAATTTTGATGATGGAGAAACTCAAAGGACTACCGACCATCCCCCCTTCTTTTCTCTTAGTAGCTCTCATTAGAACTGTGTACATCCTTTCTTGGTAAATTGTTGAAATCCAGTCTCAAAGGACCCCGCACACCTCTTATGGGAAGCTACACCATGACCGATTGCCTTCTGACTTATGTCATTCGATTCTCCTCAAAATGCTGATCAAAAGTTATAATTGCGCCAACTTTCTACGATGCACCGTTTTTGCAAAAAACCTAAGAGAAGATTCAATTATTCGGCGACTATGAATAAAAAAGAACAAAGCATTTGAGGACAGGCTTGATGTAAATAAGGAAAAAACGTAGCGCTAGCGTATGCTCCGTATGAATCTGATTTGGATGGTCGAGCAAAACGGCGTGCGGAATCCGAGATAAGACTGCCGCTCGGTGCAGGAGTTTGCATGATTTCCTTGTTGACACACAGCCGCTTGTCAATCGGGCACTAACATGAGGAATCTTTCTGGCTTTTTATCGCCGAATAATTGAATCTTCTCTAAGGTTTTTTGCGAAAACAGTGCATCGTAGAAAGTTGGCGCACTTATAACTTTTGATCAGCATCTTGAGGAGAATCAAATGACATAAGTCAGAAGGCAATCGGTCATGGTGCAGCTTCCCATAAGAAGTGTGCAAGATCCTTTCTTAAATTACTTTTTCTGAAAAAATGTTCAAGTTGTTTAATATTATTAAGCGATCACAGTCACTTCAGTGACCTTGCTAATTTCCTTGACAATTTTCTAGCCTTCAAACCGCAATTCTAGTTCATTGTTTTGATTTACTGTAATACTTAATGGAGTGACAGACTTACCGTAAATACTGAAATTCTGGTTCACAAAAGGATAGATCAGGGCCTGCTCCTGAAAAACTGAATTCTATAGAGCGTTCTCTTTCTGAGGGGTTTCCAATCTTCAGAGAAACTGACCTAATCTGCAGAGACAAAAATAATTTTTTTTGTTAGGATACGGCAATTATAGAAGCTTGAATTTTGCAAAAAAACAATGAAATTGACAGGAAAAAGCATGATGACAAGGATAATAGGTTAGGGGGAACTGGATTTTTGCAGTAATTAGGTATTCAGGAAATGCAACTTGAAAAATAGAGATAGAAGTCTCAACTCGAAGAGTAATTGTAACCTCACATTTTATTTACTGTGACTACAAATATCTGTATTTTGAAAAAAAGATAGTGATTTATTTAGGTGAAAATTCAGTGACTTCGTCATATTTTCGAAGATGTCTTTCTCTGTTGACAATAAAATAACAATTAAGATTAATGAGTCAGAGCTAAGATCTTACCAATATGGAGGTGTTAATATCAGATATGCTTGGAATGAAAGAACATGTGAAACATTTGACTTGTCCAGGTTTAAATAAAAGAAACTCAGCTGGATCTTCTCCAGAGCAGTTTGCATTAACATCTAAGGACTGGCTTGCACTATGGGCACAAACTGAGAGTTGAGAGAACTTCAACACTTCTGGTAAACAATACCTGGAGGGAAGAGATAACAAATGAATATGAAGTAAAAACAGGATTAAAAAGAAAAAATGTTAATTTCTAGAAAAAGGACTATATATTTCAGTACAATAAGGCACCTGCACGGGGGGAGATTCTAGGGTTGTCCTTCAAATGACTCCCATTTTAATGAGCGTCTCCCCATACCACGCAACCAGCACACAACCTGGCCGGTCGCATGATAGAAAGTTCTATTACAACGTTTACTATGATCAGGAGGTCATAAAAATCATATTCAGAAAAAAAAAATTGGTGGGGCTAAATCCTTTAATTTAAGTACAATCTTCTTTAATAATATGCATTGGACGTATTTCTGTCAAACGGAACTAAACATCTTAGGGGGAGGAAGGTAAAGGGGGGCTTGGATTGGCGGCGGAACCGGGCGTTAGGCTCATTCCATCCTATACTCGCAATGCTTTTCTATGGCGCTTAGTTCTGTTTGACAGAACGCGCTATCCGGCATTCTGAATTCCTCAAAAGGAACTCAAATTGGCGCTTAGTTTCGTTTGACAGAAATGCGTCCAATTGGTCTATTGTTTATTGTACTATTCTCATCTTTACTGTGGACCTACCTTAAATAAACTTCACAATTAAAACATAAATGCTCATCTTTATTAGTACTAAGAAAAAAAACTTTTTATCTTATCATTTCTTCTTCCACGTCCGGAGTAACAGACATAGTTTAAACATAAACATTGATCAAATGTGTTAAAAATTTGACAGAGATTAAATCTGAGAGCTCCGATAATCAGCAACATTAGTTGCGATGACATTTGTTAAAATTAGGTCATTCTTAGTGCAGATCAATTACATTTGAGGGCATTCTCGGAGATGCTTAAAATCCTGGATTTCCCTACATTCACATCTGTATCTCATCATTGGCGATAGGTTCAACATTGATTGAAACGCCTGGAATTGTGACTTACTTAACATAGACTTTGATTTCAACTATATCACAGGCAGCTTTTTGAAAGACAGCTTTGACTTGGATGCAAGATATCAGTGGACTGACAGAAACGGAAATGGAGTGAGAAGAGGAGGCTTTATTCGTAGCATGCCATGCTTCAATTGCAGCAGCTGCGTCTACCTCATTGACGCCAGGTTCAGGGTCTGGAACTCCAACCTAAAAAATTAGACAAACATAATAAGATTAATGAGGATTGCAGTAGATGCTAAACAATGACCCGTACCTTGATTTATTTATGCGGCGGAAAAACTCGAGCATATAATCCTCAACTTCATTTTGGCTGCGTAAAATAGGAAACGTGCGAGAAGCTACCTGCAGGTGCCTACACGACCTTTACAGCATTTAAAATGATGAGGTTTGTACAATAGAGCATAGAAAAGAAAACAAAATAATCCAGGGAAATCAATGAGAGGAGGAAATAAAGGTTGATTTAAAATTAAATTTTAATTATTTTCTGGATATTTTCTAAATTATTGCAATACTGAAATCGACCAGTGTCACTCTAGCTTATGCAAACAGGAATGCAAATTTGCAGAGAATGCAAAATTGCGGGTCATATTTTGGAATGACAGGAAAAGTTTGGAAACTTCAATCTCCACTTCAAAACTTTGGAGTCCTTTTTATACTATTCAGGCTTTAGAGTCATGTACTTTTTTTTGAATAATTTGGAGAATTTTGAAGAATAAAATTTGAAAGATTTTTTTAATTGTTATCATGAAATCCTGCAAAAATGGCGAGAAAGTTTCTGAGCCCTTTCATTCAAAATTAAAAGCAATACGTGCATGAATCTTCACCTTGATAATGTTGATCAAATTATTGAAAATTCGACTATGTTGAGATCTTTCAAACTTCGACAAGGCCCCCAAACAAAGCTCGATATACTCTTGTAAGCAGGCAGTCAAGTAGGCACAAGTGAGAGCACGGGCGAGAAGACAAACATAGAGTCCCCACCATTTCTCGCTTTGATAGTCAGCTAGCATTAGATTCATTAATCTGTAAAAGGAAAAAAGAAATTATCATAAAAAATGGAAAAAACTAAAGGATACGAATTTCTGTCTTTTGCAAATCTCCTTTTGTGTCGTCATTTGATTTTTCCGAAGGATAGATGGACCGATTCATCCTAGTTGCATTTGATGTTGCCTAAATTTCTCTTATATTTCATTTTTTTAACAGAGAGCTGAACGCTTTTCACCTTTCTGTGAATTTACCTAAAATTTAGAAAAATATACTCACAAAATTTCAAGTTCCAGTGTTGCTAAGTTTTCTATTTAAAAGAATAAACATCCCGGAGAGATAAAACAAGTCTGATGTATTTAGGCTGAGGCTGGTTTTTGCCCAAATAAGTTTTTTCGTAGGATAAAATAACAATAGAATAAGGAGATTAAGTTTTGCTGATAATAACAATGAAAAACAAAAATTACAGCTTAGGATCTTTGGTTAAAAAGATTTCATAAAGGTTGAATGTAATTTGTTCTGTCTTTTAATTTCAACATTTCCATCTGATTTTTTTTATACCTCTTTACTGGCTAATTTCAGTACAAACATTTCGTTATTTTTCTTATTTCTGAAATGGTCGTCCAAAATTAAATAATTAGAAGTTTGTAAAAAAAAGTTATCAAACTGATAAACGTGTATAAAATTGCAGCAGGAGTCACTTACGTTAAAGCTTTCCCAAAATTCCGGGAGTTGAAGTATTCATCCGCCATTTGTACAACTGGAAAGGAAAACAATATTATAAAATGAAAAGGGACAGCTACTGAAAAGAGATAAATATTTATAATGATGGAAAAAATAATTGAAGCGATAAATGATAATTAGAGACAAGTATATTGGCAAAAACACATTGGGAGAAAAATTTCATGCTCGAGAGTAAAATCAAACAAAATTCATCAAACAGAAATCAAAATTTTTGGCTCAATTCAAGAATGATATACCTGCAATAGATTCCCCTATAAGGATGAGTGTGCTCATAAATATTTCTTTTTACTTAGTTTCTTCTTGGTAACTGCTGTCTAATTTTTGAGTTGTTATGAAAAAGGGCAAGAGACAAAAATAAGGTAGAGAACCTCGATAGAAGCTGTTTCAGCAAAGAGAAAATCAAAATGCCTTCAGAGAGGACGTTGATCAAATACCTGTTAAATTAATCTATTCTTAAAACTGCTTTTCAAACGTTTAAATTTTATCTTATGTTAATCCCCGACTCACGAAAGAAATTCAACGGCAGATACTCAAACGGAGACAACATAGGTGTCAAGGCAACAAATACACAGGTAAAAAATAATTGGAAACTGTCTCCAGGTGCAGATTGCAGCTGTAATAAAATTAGATTGTTATAAAATGTGTTATTAAAATAAATGTAAATCTCTTACCTAATTGCCTGCGCATTCGAGGGCAGCGATGAGTTTTAAATTGAGTTATTGCTTTACTTAGTAAGTTAATAATTATACTCTGAAAATAAATAAAAAGCAAGGATACATTTAGTACATTAGAACTTAGATAATAGAAAAGGAGAAATCACTGGGAATGATTTCATAACCAGAAATTAGTGCATAGGTTGTCCCAAAAGTACTGCACGTTTTTTTTTTTTTTTTTTTGACGAACGGTAGCAGATATGAAAATGCGGTTTGTGTAGTCTTAAAGACAGAGCAATTACCGATAAAACAACACAAATTCGAGCTCTCTAAGTCAAAAAATGACCAAGGTACAGGGTTTTGAAAATGGCTTCCAGAGGGGACCTCTACGGAAATTTTAGCTTCTTTTCTGGAAAAAAAAAAAACAAAGATTTAAAGATTCAAGATCAATTGGTTTTATAAAATCAATTTTACACAATCTTACCAAGATTACTGGCATTTAATCCTCTTCACTTGACGACTGGACACTGGTTTCTTTCTCAAAATACCTTCCATCGCTTGCCACACAGCGCCGCAACCGTTCTTCCCACATCTTCAAACATGTTTTTTCGAATTCTTCTTGCCTGATGTTCTTCAAGAAAGTTTCAACAGCTCTTTTTATCTCGTTGATGGAGTTCAATTTCCTGCCTCTTAAGCCCTTTTTCAGCGTAGGGAATAACCAAAAATCGCAGGGTGCAAGGTCCGGGCTGATATCATGTTGCCAACTTCATTCGATCGCGATGATTTCTCTGTAGAATTTTTGATTAATCAAATCTTTGTTTTTTCCAGAAAAGAAGCTAAAAATCCTGGAGGGGTCACCTCTAAAAGTCATTTTCAAAACACTGTAACTTGGTCATTTTTTGACTTAGAGAGCTTGGATTTGTCTTGTTTTATCGGTAATTAGCCGGCCTTTAAGACTACACAAACCGCATTTTGATATCTGCTACCGTTCGTCTAAAAAAAAAACAATCAACTCTTTGTTTTTTTCCCGGAAAAGAAGCTAAAATTTCCGTAGGGGTCCCCTCTGGAAGCCATTTTCAAAACCCTGTAACTTGGTCATTCTTTGACTTAGAGAGCTCGGATTTGTGTTGTTTTATCGGAAATTGCTCTGTCTTTAAGACTACACAAATCGCATTTTGATATCTGCTACCGTTCGTCCAAAAAAAAAAAAAAAAACGTGCAGTATTTTTGGGACAACCTATGTACTTTTTTCATGAAATTAGAGGTTCTAAAATTAAGAACTTTTTTCAGGAGCTGAGCCAGAGTATTTTTTTTAGGAAAATGTTTTTTTAGGCATAATAAAGTAATATCTATACATATCAGTACCCCAGAGCCAAAAGATGCCTGACTCACATTTTTGAAATAATCGAGTTAGTGGCGTTTTCGAAATCTCCATTAACGGTTCCATGTGTGTGAAAAAATTGGTAGCTCTATCTTACGCCGGTTATGAGATACGGAGTTTTAAATACTGCAATTTACATTGGAATCAATCGGGTCGAAGCACGGTTTTCCCCTGATATCTCAAAAAGACTGAAATAGAGTTGGGTACCTTTCGGATCTGGGGTGCTGGTATAAGGTAAAGACAGTTGAAAATTATGAACCCTAAGTATCCAGTTTTAGAGTTTTAAGTTAATATTTACTGACCAAAAATTATCAAAACATCATTCTGGCGATACATTTTTAAAGATATTGGAGAAATTATAGAACAAACGGATACATAATTGATTAGAGCTCCTTTCACTGGTCACTACAATGAAAACTTTATATTTATGGCTTAATGTGAAAAAAACGTACCTGAATTGCAACATTTGAAAATCTAAGATCGAATTTTCTTTTCTTCAATGAAAACTAATCAAGATTTTTTCTTGCAATTATTTAAGATTTTTTTGTAATGCGTGAAAAAAAGTTAATTGAAAATTTCAATAGAAATTTTCGGTTTCTTTTTCTTTTGAAGAAATTAAACGTGAGCAGAAACTAGCAACTTTGCAATCTGAGATAGCATTTTTTGACTTTAGCCATAGTTTTCATCCTTCTTAAAACTCAATTTCATGTTTGGTCTGGCCATTTTTCTGGCAAGCTCCTCAAGTACAGCAATTAATACTATCTCCAGTAATTTAGTTATGTATTTTTTACCTTCAGTAATTTTTAGATATGATTTATCAAAAAACTTTTTAATCATAACAAACTTGTACATAAATATTTTCCACGTGTCATTCCTACAAAAATTGGTATTGAAAGATCATTTTGAGAGCTTTTACTTGCGTTTGCTTGTGTACCACTGCAAAAAGTAAGCTTATTACAAATTTTGTTTGAAGTTAATTTAATAAAATCTAAAACTCACAGAATGGTCGACTGCAAATTTTTCTCTATACTGTAATGCCATCACAGCTTCCTTTTCTCGAGCAAGATCAGGAGGCTCTGCACTCAATTTCGCTGGCCTCCAAGGGCGCTGACCGTAAAATTCTAAAGATTCCCAACCTTCTAATGGATCATTTTCTGGACACGTCAACAGATCCTGAAACAAAATCAATTTCATAAATTGTGATGGTCAACTGGAATGAAAGCCTCAGTCCCAAAAGCAAACTTTTCACTAGAGTGATTGTTTTCGAGGTTAGGTTGAAAAATCGGATTGTGAGATTTCTTAGGGAAAATCTTTCTGGTGTCTTCCAGAAAAAGTTGCTAGCAATTAAATTCAATTTTAAGTCAATACAGGGCGTAAATTTTCTCTATAATCCAGCTATTTTGTACCCTGAAAATGAGGGATTAGAATTTTGAAAAGCTTTTCCTTAAAACAATGTTTTCTGAGTAGCGAACTTCAAACCCATATAACTCCGATGGACTCTTCAACGTGACCAATTACAATTAGACAGGAAAACACATGAAAATTCAGAGGAGCGAAACATGATAGAATTTCTTTCAGAAATAGACAGTTCTGAATTTTACTCCTCATGAGCTATTTTTGGCTTGTGATTACAGGACCCATCTAAAGGTGCTTAATGATCTAGGACTCTCGTCTGAGTTGTGGTGGAAGATTTGAATGGACTCGTTGAAGTTGAAGTGTCAGTTTTAGGATAAAGTTCCCTTAATTCGGTTTAATGAAATCTGGTATGGAAAAAACATTTACTTTGCCTCGGTAGAAGTATAGTGAATTGATCTTAGATGCATTCTTGAAAATGAGGCTTTGACCATACTTCGGCACCTATTCTTAGCAGCAACTTTTTACAGAAGTAAATATTCAGCATTTTGAGAGAGTACGATGAGCTCTAATTTTTTCATTAAGAATAAAATATAAATAAATTCAAAATCATACTGCCTGGATTTCTTGAACGGAGAGCTTCCTATTGGTGGAATGACGAGCAGCTTGTTCGTAGTATATTCCTGGATGCTGAGTTTGTCCGGCAGTTAGACCTTGCTTCACCATTTCATCAAAGAGGTCTCCAAAAATACTGTACCTAGAATTAAGGTTGGGTTGGATTAGGATTGTTTCATCTCAAATGAGAATAAGAGCTTCCATTGTTGAGCCAACAATAGTAGCTCCTGTTACAAAATAAAATCTATTTTTTGAATTAAGAAATTTTACTCTTCAATTTTCTTTGCTGATATGGAGAGTAACATGTGTTAGCTGTTCAGAGATGAAAAGTACTTGGGTGAAAACAGTTGTACACATAAGGTATAAATTAATCGTTTTTCGGTCGAAATTCAGAGAAGAGGAAGAATATTGATTATTACTTACTGTTTGGAAAGCCAAGCATGATGTTCGAATATTAGATCTCTCGGTCCTGTTCGAAGTTTGAATTTATCCACATGCAGTGTAAAATGTAATAACGCTTCGCGTGCTTCATTCATCACGAAAAAAAGTCGACAAATTTTATAAATTAGGAATGCTGCGACAGTCTTGACTTCATGTAAATTTGTATCAGAGGTGCGAACCTCCAGCAAGCTGTTGTACGCATGTAAATATTGCCTGTGGAAAAAAATGATGAAATTGATGAATTTTAATTGATCAAATGGTGCTGCTCACGGTAGCAAAGAAGCTTGCAAAAAAAAAAAAAGCTTAATAAATCAGAAAATTCACAGGAAAATTAAAAAAAGGTAGGAAATTCATTCAGATATTTGGTGGGATTAAAAGTACTATTGCTTAATATTTTAAATGATAATCAGTGTTCCCCGCAGCTCTGCAGGCGATGTCCACATGCTCTGTCGCTCTCCTTGCTGCTATTGGCTGCTTCATCATTCTGTGACGTCAAGCCGTCCATGCTGGTGTAGGGAAGGACTTGCAAGGCACGGATACATCCGCACTGCCTTGACACTAAATTTTAACAAAGATACCAACGACAAAAGTTTTTGCCTTTGGACTGAACATATCAAACTAAGTAAATTCATGTAAACATCAAACTAGGTATCTGATTGGCTTTCGTAGGGTGAATAAATAATCAGACAAGCTAATCAAGTTCCAATTCATCTTTTTTTGATGCAATGTAATAGTTGCAATCTGAAAATGACATCATTTTTAAAAACTTCACCAATAGTGTTGAAATTTTTTTCTGCAAAAAAGAAAAATAAATATATTTTGAGGAATTTTGAATTACTCTCTTTTGATTAAGAATGGTCCCACTAAATACATAAAAGCTTGAGCTGCAAAACATCTGCTAACAAATAATCTACGAAAAGAACAGTTCTTCAACTCACTCTTAGCAAATGTGATGCAAAGTGTACACATGATCTTTGATTTTTATAAAAGAAATAAGAAGAACTTACACTCGAGCAGCTAAGGAATCTTGTTTCATTTCGTAGAAGAAGCCCATTTTGAAAGCATGGCGCACAAATAAATACTGGTGAGTAGTCTTATTCAAGTGGTCTTTGTGAGACTTCACATGCTTTATCTCATGTTGGTAATAACTTAACGCTAGTTCATAAAACGCCTTCTCTAACCTGTCGGATCAAACTTGAAAATTAGGGAAAGTAATACACATATGGAGTCATGATTGGTTGAAAAGTATTATTCTGAAAAATGGGTCAATAAAATTTTGGAAGGATTCTGACAGTTTGATACAATTTTGCAACTACTTGAGAGGCTTAGGAAAATTACCAATTCTTGAAAAAGAGAACAGAAGAAAAAAAAAAAAAGATAATGGGTGTCTACATTGACAGATTTAGCTACAAGAGAAACTTTTTTTAGTAAAGAAAGAGAGGAAAACCTAGAGATTGTATGTGTTTTTTTTGAAATAAGTAATTTGTAGCACTAAAAGTAATTTTGTACTTGCTGTGAGCATTATTCAAAATAACTAAATTTAAGTTTCATTGAGTGTTGACTGCTGAAGGTGAAATGTTTTAGGTATCAAGTCCAAGCGCCTCCTGAGACATTTTGCAAAGCAATGAAAATTGCCAAGCAGTGAATTAGTAGAGGCAACTGCTTGACTTCCTTCTCTTTAACTTGCTCTAAACAACAAATCAAGAGTAAAACTACCAGACCACGCATTTCAGTTTGCGACGTTGCAGACTTCCTGTCACACTTCATTTTTTAAATGGGGCATTACTCAAAATCAATTCTTGAAAACTTCCGCGTTTTTTCTTCTCTACGCAAAAAACACTCTGTGAAAACTTTGAGGAATGATATTGATTTTGCCCCCTTCAAAAAATAAAATGGGAGCCGAGATTTTTAAACACCTCAAACAAGAAAAGTGTTCTAGCAGTTTCACCATCTAGCTGCAGCATACTATAGCAAAGGGTCTCATACCATTTTTTTGGCATACAATCTTTGCCTACACGTAAATCACTGATTAACACATACTTTTGAGATTTCAAATAATCAACGAAATGATGAAAAGAATTGACGTAAAAGTAAAAAAAAAATTTAGGGATCATTCATGTGCCTACCATCGTGAGTCACTTGAATTGCAAGAATTGCAATGGTCGAGACTTAAGAATTTGTTTACCTGATGAAAGGGTAAGAAGCAAGAATTATGAATTATACAAGAGCACATTCCTTGGTTTTCCTATTCGATAATTATTTCAAATCACTATTCAGTCCTGCAATGGAAATTTTTCATAACCTATATGCAGAAATGTTTAAGTACAAAGCAGAGAAATAAAATGATTCAAACCTGAGAATATATCCTTGAAGATGATCTGAAACAGGGAGTATCAAAAGAGATTTCGGAGTGACTTCACAGGCAGAGCAAAGTAAACTTGCTTTTTCCGCTGATTGAGGATCTTCTCCAGCTGGCAGTACAGCGGATTGCTGAATGAGAACCAGCACTACACGAAAATTCCGTCCCTCGATTAAAGCCCTGAAAATAAAGTGCTGAACAATGTAGATCACTTTTCTTCACTAAATTTTAAGAAAAAACTTGTTCTGTTTTTTCATATACATCTGCTGTCATGAGCATACTACTCATTGTCAAGCACAGCAAAAACTAAGAACAAGGGAAATTTTTATTATGATAATTTTGGTCTGTCCTTATTCATGTATCCATCTATGCGACAGTAAATCAATTTAGTGCTCAATTTGACCAGTGTAGACTCTAGTTTTTTAGTGAGTGGGAAGTGTGAATTGGGTACTTAACAATAGGACAAAAACCATTATTTTCTGATTTATGAGCCGATTTGGAAATTTTTAATGCGTCCATTGTATTCTATGTAAAATTTTGCTAATGAAACGTATAAAGTGGTACTCAATTTGTGATCTGTCCATTGATGACAAAAACGATAGTACATATTTCACTTAAAAGGTAGGTGATTTATCAAATATTTTATAAAAAAATTGGTTGGTATACAGCAAAAGCAAACAAAAAATCGCCACCTTCCGGCAAAAGTATCACAAGCCCAATGTTCAAAATTTCACATTTGACACTTCAAAATTTCACATTTGACACTTCAAAATTTCCGCCGCTATTTCATTTTTTTACAGAAAAATTGTTGCTTGAATCTGCTCGAAAATTTTACTGAATTTTATCAGCAGCACACGGACAGCTTTTTTGAACAATTTCTCTGTAAAAAAATAAAATGGTGGCGGAAATTTTTAAATGTTGCGTGACGCTTGTGATACTTTGGCCGGAAGATGGCAAAATTTTTTGAGTAGAGATCCCACTCGTTAGCCTCTTCGAAGACTTACTTCATTGCCTGCACCCTGGAGGCACATTCCAATTTCTTTTCAGGCCACTGAGGATCATCCCAATCAAGTTCATAAAAAATTACTATAACTGCTGGCAGCTGATTTAGGTGCTTATCCATCCAATTTCTTTTCAAAATTCCTTTCGGCATGTACCACTCATATGAATTCCTCTGAAAAAAAAATTCATGATAATGAATCAGCGGGATGAAAATGAAAAATATTTTGGAAATATAAAGGAAAACTAGGAGACAGTTTCTATTGAAATATTTTGTAACTTTTTATAACCTTTACTGAAAAAATCATGCGTTGCAGGATACATTTTATTATTTTAATTAATTTTTTGTGAGAAAAAAACATAAGTGGAAATTTTTAAACATTGCAATCGAGATACACATTTCTTGCAATTGAAAATCATACTGGCTACTTCCTTGTAATTAAATTTGTACTTTATGGAATAATAGAGTTTTCATTATTTCAGTTTTTCTTCAGAAAAACTCGGTCCTTTTAGTTGCATTACAGTATCGAAAAATAAAATATTTTGGAAAACAACTTGTAATATTTTTATACTAAAATAGAATTTCCTTGTTATAACAGAAATTTTTTGAGGCGGACTCTTGAATATATTTTATATTAGAAGATTATTGATCCCAGCTTGAAGTAAAAACTGTAAGGTCCAGTTACACGATTAAATTGAGCCATCAAATTGGGCCTCTCATTGGTTGCATCCTCACCTCAGGTCTTTTCCACCAATCAGAGCTTCAATTTGATGGCTCAATTTGATCGTTTGACTGGAAAATTAGGTACAGTATGTTCACTTTAGCTCCACGTAGAGGATACTCACTTTATTTTTCATTTGAGGAAACTGATGGTTAGGAGGAAGGTCCTTGAAGATGACCGCAGAGCGATCAGCCTGCCGGAAGTTGACCAGCCCATCCCAAATACTGCGATGAATAGGATTATTTAAAGTATCTAATCCTGTGACACCAATTAGAGCTAAAGGTACAGATTTGATTTCAATAGGTAAATCAAAGTCCACGTAGGTTTTGGCCATCCTGCTAAACAAAATAAGGACAAATAAAAAGATGAGGTTCATATTATGTAAGCTGCAAACCAGGATACAAATATTGCTGGCGTCACCATAAAAATATCCATGTCTAAAGTAAAATAATTGAACATCTCTGACTGCAACATTACTCGTCTGAAATCATGTTTTGTTTTAAAAAAAGAAACTAACAGTTTTATGAAATTTTCGTCATTCATTCAATTTTATTTTTGAAAAATTCTACAGAAGTATCCTCATGAGTAATCATTAAAAAGGTTAAACATGACTGAAGAGTTTTAAACGTTGCGATTGAGATGTCAATTTTAAAACTTTACCCATCGATATATTCAAGGCAACATTAAATAACAGCAAGGTTCTCCTTCACTCTTCGCAATCTTTCTGTTTCAGTCAAATGCTGGAAGTTGGTGGAACGGGGGCGATTAGTGAAAAGTTAAAGTAGCTTGATAAAACATTGAACTGTAATATGCTGCGTGGTTAAGATAGGGGTATGTCCTATCTTGTCATTTCAACAAAATATCAGAATTCGAGATGTGGAAGAAAGAGAGGAATAGAAAAATGCCACATCAGAAAATAGCACCATTCAACCTAGATGTATATGATAACCAATAGGCAAACTGATGATCGATGCCTTTGGGTCGATGTGAAATCTGTCCATTTTTTCCCCCCAGCTCTATGTTATACCAGGGGCAACTGTGTATTCTGCGGTTCCATAAAGAATTGAGTAATTTTTTCTTAAAAAAAAAAAGGTACTTGTGTTCAGTTGCCCACACTCCCATCCTACCTCTGTATCAGGTAATTACACAAAGATCTCCCAACTTTGTGAACACATTGAATATTATATAATACCTCACTGCAGCTCTTCCACTGAGAAATAGTGCAAAGGTTTTCACCTGAGGCTGGGGATTACAGAACTGAGACGTCTATGCAAAGTTTGGTAAACACACAGTTGAATAAGAAAAGTCAAATTGTTCAAAACAACTCAAATTTAGAAAAATTTAAGAGCAAGACAGGGGATGAAAAGATATAAAAAGAAAGGAGACATAATGCAGAGACGAAGAAGATAAGGGTGTTCGATAGGGCAAGTAAAGTTTGCTGATGGAGTATTCATAAGTACACCGATATTATAGGTAAAAAATTAACGTTTTCCACAGAACACATTACTGCACCAATGTAATAAAATAATCTTTATCGGGTGGGCCGTGATTTTTAAAAATTTAAAAATTATGTACATGGGAGGTGATTAAACACACGTAAGCTAAGGCTAAAGTTCCTGTAAAATATGCATAGAGATACCTTGCAAAGTTGTATCTTAGACGGAAATCATGACTCCCCGGAGATTCGTAAAAACTTGGAAGAAACTAAGTACTTTTTCAATTAATATAGAAAGATTTTCCACACACAAATTCCGTGTTTCATGGCGATCAGATAATCGTGATAACCTCAAATTGCAATGTTATCAATAAACAATGCGAGATCTAGCGTGAAAATCTTCAACTTTGCTGACAGCGCGCCGTGACTGCCTTCGTTGCCAAGTTTTATTGTAATGTTGCTACATTTTATTTTAATTTTTATTTATTTTTCAGGTTACAAAACTCCGAGGACTCGTAATCAAGCTGCCAGGTATTTATACATTTACCAAATTCCTTTTTAAAACAAATTACACAACTGATCTTTCCCAAGATTTCGCCCTGATTTTTAGACGGAAACTGCTGTTGAGTATGTAGCGTAACCGGTAAGCCGGCAACAGTGTCAACGCCGATGAAATTTTCGTGAATTCAGTCCATGCGACATGCGTCGAAATTGAAATTTTCGCTGGAATTTCGTTTGTGCAAGCCTTTATTCATCTGCTATCACATCTGAGACAGAGGTAAGTTATTATTACCATTCTCTTTTTTACGGCAGGATTGATTATTTACATTCTAAAATTTACTGCTTATCCTCCATGCACAGACCTGCTGCATCCTGTATCACTTGTGCAGTTTATTATTGCTCAACCATCCATCACCTAAAGTACATAATGTACTTATTTCATTCAGTTCTCGTGAGCTCCTCTTTTCCCCTCTTGTTTAACTTTTCACACTAAGCACTAGCTGATTTCATTAGTTTGTTAATAAGCAGTATGTAGCCTTTTGACTGAAGTTTTCACTAGATCAAGTCCTCAAAATACAAGTTGAACTTGTGGTAAGTATATCATTGCACAGGTGTACCTACATAATGCTGTCAGGCATTATAGTTTGATGAAAAACGACTCACATAATTATCTACCTTTTCCAACAAGTTTGGCATCTACAAGTTGTTCATTTCTTCTATATTCAGCTCTATTATTGAACAAGCCTCGACGCATCAATTAATACCCACCTGGTAACAAGTGGTCGTGAAAATGCCGTAACGGTGTTGCCAAAATTTGTGTTGCAGTATCATTTTTACAACGTCTTCCTAGCATTATTTTTGACCGTTGCCAGGTTTGACAGACGTTAATGAAACAATACAAAGCATAAATGTTCAGACATATGGAATTTTAACAAAAATGAATCAGAAAAATCCATCTCTGTGAAGGGGCTATGTTTTCATCACACGTGTGCCTGGTAGAGGGCCAGGGTCACCCCAAAATTATGCCAAGTGCTAAGTTGGCCCGTTAAAGATGCAAATGCGCTGTGGAAGAAATACATATGTACGTTTTTCTCTCAGTGTTTTTCCGAGAAATCATTTCATGAAATGATGATGAAATCCATGCGCAGATTCTGAACCTGATGCACACAATGTGAAACCTATATTTTGTATATCATTCTGGAGCTCTTTTTCTAAAAATGAATTCTGAAGAGAAATCACTGGGCCATTTTCTCAAGGAAAAAAATTCATATACTGATTGCAGTGGACACACGGGCTGCAAGACAGTTGCGGTTGGACTTTTTCCCTGTGTATCAAGAATTTTTAACGCACGTTGGCTAAATAACTCCAACATACTGATAATATCCACTCTAAATTCCTGGAAAGGACTATAAATTAGCAAATTAAGAGCACCAAAAGGAAAGGTGAGGAGTAGAGATGAGCAGTGCTAATAAAGGTGAAAAAAGAAAGGTATATTTTTAAAATTTAGTTTGCCTTATATTTCTAGAATAAGGTTTTGGAGAAGCTCTCGAGGCTTATGAGGATACTAAAGACTAATACGTATTTGAAGGTGGATTATGAAAGTATGATTCTCACAAAGTCACTGTAAAATTTTTAGAGGGGGCACACTTTTTATTATTTAAAAATCTTCTGCCCTGTAAAGTACAGACACTTTTTTTGACACTTTACAGGGCAGCCCTCAAATTTCATTAGTTTGCTGAGAATTTTATTGTTCGAGTCCAGCCCTGAGTGCAAGCAAATGTCATTCCTCAAGTTAGATAGGGAATTCCCTATCCTGCACTTCCAGCTAAAGAGGAAAAGCAATCAGAAACAGGCTCTTTACCAAAAGCGTGGCACAATTTCAAGATGGTCATTTGTGAGATTAATGCTCCTCTTGTATAATGTCTAAAAATTGCATTCCTCAATCTAGAATTCCACCTTATCCTACTCAGTTATGGTTCGGTTTGAAATATATACTCAAAGTATTCTGTTGTTTGACAGTCGCACAGCTTTTTTACTAATTATGACTGGCTCTCTACTGAAAATACATTTTTCTCTATTCCATCCTCCCTGAAAAGTTCTGACTATACGCACTTAAATGATAGGCAGATCACTTCTTTCGATGTGCCTGAATAAGGCAATGGACCCTAAAATACAGCAGGGAGGTTTTAAGTGCCTAATTGAGGGCTATTTTTGGTGGCTCTGGTACCTAAGCCTTTTGGTCATAAACGGCCAGTTCATATTCTCTCTGTTTGTTTTTGGAACTTCATAGAGGACAGACGTCAAAATATATATCGTGTTATTATCATCGTCCTACACACGAATTCTCTATCTGATCGCGGAGAAAATTTATCTCGAGAATCGGATGAACCTTATCAATAGGCGTTGTGCGTCATGAGCCACCCCTCCCATTTTCCATGTCCACCAATTTATTCAGTGCAGTTTTCTGACCAGTTCATCGTGGTTATTCTGTAGTCGAAGCCACGCACCCACTCATATTGATTCATCGTGCAAGTTCCTATCCTCGTGAGCATAGTTTGGAATCAAGTGCATTGCTGCAATGCATTTTCAAATAATTTTCCGTCGCAAGTCACGACGTGTTTTGGTTTTTTTTTCAACATGCCCCGTCTGAGCGCGACAACTGTGCGCATTGGTTGTGCACTACACACTTGAAACCAAACGCTTTTTTTTCTTCGAAATTCTGATCGCTCATACAACTTCTCAGTCTCGCATTATCCAATTTTGCATTTTGAAATAAATTTAAATGTATTTCCAAAAAACCTGAGTCCTACAATGGTGGGTATAGGATATTTTTTCGTTGCCTCGTGTGGTGTATTTTTATGGGACAGTTGGTACTAACGACGGGGCAGGCCGTCGCGCCCGCTACATCTCCGCTGTTCAAACCCGCGACTACGCGATGTTTTGTTCGTATTTTATGAAAATAAAGAAGAAAAATCGCGATTTTTAAATGCGGCCGCTGGATATAAGTCAAGCCAGACTTCATTTTTATTCGTGCGCCACTCGAAAATTCCACCCGTCTCCCCGAAGTTTTAAAAATCCAAGATCAATTGGCGCCTTTTGTCGGTGTTTGATTTCGTCTGCTCAGCCATTTTAAACTTCCCCCTTCGCCCGTCCGCCCGTAGTGACTTCTCCCCGTCCACCCCCTGCCATCCATCCCCACCCTGCCATCAGCATTTGTCCGTGCCTGTCGGCCTTGTGTTCAGCGCTGCTTCCAAGTTCACATGCGATCGCACCCCGTGGACCCGATCTGATTTTTTATCCCTTTTTCACGCGAAAACGAAAGACACGGCGTTTTAAACGTGGAACCGTCAGGTCCAGCGTTCAGAGTATTGATACACGCGGTTATCGAGCTGTTTTTCCATCGCGAAGTGTTTTCAAATATCGAGAATTCTTGGCCGCCCAACCGCAACTCGGCTACGGATCTGAATTCTTTGAACTGCTGTTTTCTATTTACCTGATTTCACCGTGAACTTTATTTCATGTGCGCAGTATAGTCGAGCTATTGTATTTGAGATGTTCGCCGTTTTTCTGGCTCTCAGAGCGGCCTTAACTCCTTTTTTTTCAAATTGACAATCCCTCAATTATTCATCTCCGATGTAAGCTCACGAGAGAAGTGCATCTGTGTCTTTTTGCTCAGTACGTAGAAACATCCGGTATCAACCGAAGTAAGTTGTCAGAGCATTTGAGCGTATCGGGGTGGAGCACATTTTCTTCGTCCTTTTCGTCCCTACGATACCTAATTTTTATCTTCTTATAACCCTGAAATTCTTTACATTCTCTTGTACCGCGCGAACCTACGGGAGATGCGTGTCTTTTCAGTGCATTCGCGCTCGCGTATCAGTAGTTTTTCATTAGATATTAGATAACTTCAATCCATCAGAATTTGTAGGTTTTTCACTCAACTTTACCTCCTCCAAGTATTTTCCTCTCTAGGGTTTGTTTATTTCTCTCCCGTTCACCCCTACCTTTTACTATCTCCTAATTAATCACGCACTTATATTACCTTTGATATTTTCTAACCTATGATTATTGTTATTGTTATTGTTGCATGTTAGCCAAGCTTTTTATGTTATTTTTTGTTTAGATTTTCCACCCGGTAGTTCAGCTCACCTCATTTTAATTCTTGCTTTTCTCAAATTTAAGGTTTCACATTCATGCCTTAAGCAAGTATGTTTCTTTTTACCGTCCTCAGAAGCAACAATTGGGGAACATTATTGAACCACTGTGGCAGCAGTGGATATACCTGTCTGGCCCGATTATTTTTATTGCACTGTTAAATCTTTCACCTTTCTCATGTTGTATCGGTTGGATAAGAGTTTCTCTGAAAATTTGTAACAAGCCGACGTATGGTCTATTATTCATAAAATGTTCGAAGGGCTTTTCCTTAGTGTCAATCTCGACACTCATCATTCTTGCTAGTCGCTTACAGCATCTGCTAGAGACCCTCATTTTTTAAAGTAACTAAAATTTGTATTTAGCTGTACTATGGTGCTCTCTAGATCTCTAATATTTGATGCCAACATCTTTGAATGAGATAATGTATTTTTATTCCTAGAACTAGAGAAATATGTGAGATGAAAAACAGTGTACCTATTTGCGCGAAGACCTGGCTGCAGATGATTCGAGTAAAGTGTTCACCGTAGTTTAATAGTTACCCAAAAGTTTGCTACACTTAAGTTTTTACTGAAATTTCCTTTCTTTAGAGATCCTCACTCACCAAGGACTTATGAATCTTAATTCACAAAAAATTCACTATAAACTTGCAAGTATCCCAGAAAACGAAGTTCTCCTTGATAAAAACACTAAACTTTAACATTATACATTCAAATTTTGTGTTCATTGCATTACTTCTTCCATAATCCTCTTTTCTTTAAGTTTAGTGTAATTATGGATAGCACATTTTGTGCTTATTAATATTCAACCTGGAAACTTGCACTTCTTTGCAATATTAAGTATAATATTTCTGTTGTACTTTGAAATTAAACTAATCCCACATTAATGCCTTAAAATTTTTTCCCTGCAGATGAATTTTTTCTTCCCATGTAGCATTATTTGAAATTTTGTTGTTTTTTTTTCCAGATGAGTTATGAGCACCTCATCGCCTGCTCCATCAGACGATAGATTGTTGGAAGATGCTCCTCTTGATTTCCGAGAAGTGTGCAGTGTCATTGCTCCACCGGGATATCTACCAACTATCATTAGACGAAAGTTAGAGAAATCAGCACCTGTAGTGCCACCCCCTGTAGCGGCCTCCCCCTCCGTTGCATTGCCACCTGCTATGGTGCCACATACTATTGCAGTGTCAACTGTGAGCAACGTAGATTTTGGCAACCCCGTTCTCCTGCCCAGCAACTGTAAACCTGTATCGTTATCCGTGCCAGTGATGAGTCTATTACCTCAAGCACCACCCAAGCCAAAAGAAGCAGATACTTATAACGCAGGGCCTTCTGGTGTGCATCCCATAAAAATACGCCCCAAGAAGGAGAAAAAGTCGCCCAAGAAAAAACGTCAAAATTCAGATTTGAGTCGTTGGAATAAAACTCCGCGACCCCGCTTAGGAGTAGATGATCCAATTCTTCCTGTAAGTAAAACTTTTAAATTTGGGTCCCTCACTCTTTTACCCCTCCTATTCTGCCGTGCCAAGGAAAACCGCTGCATGAACATTCGAGAGTCGCTAAAGTTCCCTTGATAGAACATGTATTTTTAACAAAATTCATGCATGTTTTTCCTTGCAATTTTCAGATATTTTAGATCAATCTGCTTGCAAAATTGTCTGTAAATGTTGGAAAATAATATTCACAATTTTCCCAGTAAATTCGGTTTTTATCGGAGGAAACTTGGCAATGTCCGGAGGCTCACACGCTGTTCTTCCTTAGCACGGCAGTGTTGTAGCCTTAAGGGTGGATATAATAATCTTGGATTTTTTCCTTGGCCTTTCCTTTGTGAGAAGTTCTCTCAAGTTAGCTTCTTAATTTCCTGAATCACTGAACGAGCTAATATTTTCTCAGCTTCTGGAAATCAAGAAAATCTCCCGTTCCTCGACACAACAAAGCAACCCTGTGGTTCACCTCCCATGAGTTGCAAAAAATTATTTTTGCTGACAGCTTCCTTTGAATTTGTACACGTATTAGACTGAAAATTTGATTCAGAAAGAAATTAAGTACCTAATTTTTTTTTTTCTTTTAAAAAAAGAAGAAAACAGATTGACTTTCTTTGATAATTGCCTATGATGAATTCTTAATAAATTCAACTATTTGTATGTTTTCAAACACAGTTTGTCTCTATCTAATTGAGGCTCTGGATGCGAAAAGGGCTCTTCTCACTTACGGTGTTTCAGAATCTCTGTTGCGAAATAATCCATTGGAGAAGAATTCAATGGGTGATTTTCCCAGAATTCTTTCTATAGAAAATTGTGGAATCATAAGGAATATTCAGTAAAATTTTTAGTGAAATGGATGCATTCACTTTCTTTACAGTGAATGAAATATTAGACAAGACTCAGAAACACTGCAACCGAGGAGTGCCCTTTTTGCATCCAGTGCCTCAATTGAAAATGAATCGAAAGTGTCCGAAAAAATTGTCTCGTAGGTACTTCAAGGAATAAAACAGAAATTAGTACTGGCAGTTAGTAGATAATCAGTTACCTCTTTTCCCTAATCCCTGTCATCCTACTTTAATTTGTCTTCTTCGTTGTATTACAGAGACTGAAACCAAAGCCAAAGGCAGAAGCGAGTTCATCTGAACAAAATTCCAACCCAAATATTTACACAGCGCCCCCATCAGCTGACGCAAACTCCACGCAGGCAAGCTCTGTGAATTCATCTCAATCACAGACAAGTTTGCTTCATCAAGCAGCATCGGCCACCTCTGAAGGTAAACCTGGAAACATCATCAAGCATGTCTTAGTGAATGAGCCAGATGCTAATCAAGAATCTGTCGTACAAGGATTCTTCCTAAATTCCTTGGAAAAGAATCTTGTGCTGGTCTCGGACTCCAAGCAAACAGCAGCTACATCCACCTCAAGCAATCAGCCAGTGGGCACATTTATAATCCAGAATGCTGCTCTGCACTCGTCTCTTCAGAATGGCAATGCAAATGGGAAAGAAACTCCGGTTCAAAGTGTGCTCAACAGTCAGAGCCTTCTCCTCAATAGTATAGCGAACTCACCCAACATGACTAATTTTGCAATCGCCACAAGTGCAGTGAAAAGTAATCAGGAGACACCACGTTCAAATTCACCGAATGCTCTGCCGAAGAACAAAGGCAATTCCAATTCGATTCGGTTACCTGTTGGAGGTTTGCAAGGAAAAATCCTACAATGTACTTCAACTGCCGTATCAATCAATAGTACAACGTGTAGCCCAAAACAACTGGCAATCCCCAAATCAGTTGTGTCCTCTCCAAACGTTCTTCTGTCTCTCGCTTCGCAGAAACAATGCTCTTCCTCAGGCATATTTCAAAATCCGAATATTATCAGGCTCGCAGTCAAAAATGGGAAACTTTGCCCCGATGTGAGCATGCCAGTTCCACCACCTGTCAACACCGCTCCACAAGTCTGTAAGTGTGCATCTCACCTTTTCATTCAAGAAAGCCAATAGTGGAGTGTATTGATTAACGCAGTTCATCCTATCACCAAGTGATCAAATGAACTGAACGTAGGCAACAGAAAAGGATCAAGTCACACTCCGGAAAAACATCAATTATAAGTCATGTTGAGCCTAACTAGTCTGGATGGTCGGGACAAAATGTGACTTGGTTTCCCTTTGTTAAATTCGATGCAAATTCAACCAAAGCCAGTGTAAAATCCCTTGCGTAGGAGTTAATTTTTGAAACTTTTAGTGTATTCATCAAATTCCATTGAAAATTTTGTCGGGTAGACATGGAATAAAACTTACAATTTAAAACTCAGAATCTAGTTTTTTAAAATAATGTTGATTTTGTACTCTTTCTGATTGAGAAGTACAAATTACGATAAAATTTTAAACAGTGTTTTTCAATTGCACTTATCTCCAAAGTTTGCACTTCATTTTTGAAGAAAACTAACTAATACTGTTGGATTACATTTTTTCTATAGTTAAAAAGCCAAGCAATAGAAGAATAATCCCAATTTTTCGAAGTCAATACGTTCAGGAAAATATCATTTTAGTTATTGACCCGTGGTAACCTAAGTTTTCTAAATAACAAGTTTTACATTCACATAGACCTTGATAATTTCACATATGACCTCTTTCTTACTGTCTTTTTTTTTTCAGCTGCTGCCGAGGCTCCTAAACCTCCGCTGAAACCAATCCAGTCCCAGCAGCAAGCAGTAACACTTTCAACCCCAAAATCGCAGATGAATTTATCAACGATACCTGCAATCGTTCCCCTCAACGACCCCAAACTCAAATCTGTACTCAAAGGCAATGTTCTCTCGTCTCTACTTCATAAAGGCGAAACTGACCAAGAGAAACCAATGGAGAACCTATCCGAAATACCATATGAAAAGCCGTTTTTGTCTGCTCCAACTTCAACCAACATCATTCCTACAGATGCAGCGGTACTGTTAAATTCAACAAATGTAGGCTCTTCACCGTCTACAGAATCAGAATCTACCTCGCAAATTCTCGCAGGTCCTCCTTCCAAGCCCTCCAAACCAGCAACCGGCGGTCCACCTGGGCTGTACCCGTTAGCTATGATGTCCTCAGATACCACAACCACTTCTGCAATAATGTCTGCAATTTCCTCATCCTCTGTCCCCCTACTCCACATTCCAGAGACCATCCCATCGCAGAATGCCCATGCACCATCTGCTGGGAAACCTAACGGGTCCCTCCTAGTCATACCAGGCATCGTTCCATCGAGTCTCCCATCCCTCTACTTACATCCTAGTGGTGCTTACGTTACCTCACTCTCCTCCTTAACATCAAATGTTACGACTGAGTCGGGTGCTGTTAATGATGTAAGAGTCCCTTCAGAAATTTTGGAGGCGATTGCATCCCTGTCTTCCATTCCAGTGCCCGTGCCAGAAGTACCTCACAGCGCTAACTTGGAAAGTGTTTACAAAAAACTGCAGGATGCAGCTGCTGTATCGGCATCTTTTCCAGCTTCAGCTCCTAACAGAGTGGAATCCTTTTCTCTGCCTAATTCAAAAGCTGAGTCTAAACAGATGGTCTCAAGTCATGGTAAAGAATCCGGAAAGGAAGCTTGCAGCAATAATTCAAAAGAAACTCTTATCATCTCAGAGACTGATAATAAGAACAAAGATACAGACAGTATTCCAGACATTCCTTTGGATACGACGAAGAAACTACTTAATTGGAATGACATCGGCGTTGGGCCCTTAGCAGGCAGCTCAATTAAGGTAAGCGCAAATGCTCTTTCTCTCAAATAAAGAAGCTTCAATCAACTTTTCTAACTGCTGATGGACATTATTATTCAAAGCAATGAACTATAAATCATTTCATCTATCTAGATACAATCTTCCTAGGTAATTAATTTGTAACCTCTAAGAATGTAATGTAATCAACAACTCGCCCAATTTTTGTGCAGCTCTTTCCAAATTTGCATGGCTGTCACGGCATTCTTTTGTATATTGTTTTGTAAAGAAGTTTTATTTTTAGTGTATTTTCCGAAGGAAAAATACACTATTTTATTTATTTTTTTTTTGCAGTTCCACCTTGAAATACATAATTTGTATGAAATCATAGTATGTAAGGCGACATTAATCAAAGCAGCTATGTGTCTGTAGAAAAAAGAAAGAAATTCAATTCCAACAACTTAGCCAGAATTCAATTGGTGAACATTTTCCCCCTCCGTTTATTTTCTTTTTTATTATAAATTTACAAAATGTGTCCAAGTATCAAATTAATATCGAATTTAATTTAATAATTTCTTTGATTTCGTTCTCAGTTCCGGATGAATGAATTTGGAATGATGGAAATCGATGATAACTTTGACAAAAAGTCAGACACTGGCAGCGACTCAGTTTCGCTCAAAGACGGAAGTCTAGACGACGTTAGCACTAACAAAGAAAACTTCAACGACTTTCTTTTATGCAAAGAGAAGGTTGTAGAAGAAAGTGTCTACTCCAAAGAAAACAGGAATACCAACGGCTCTTCAAAGAGGAATAAGCGTAAAGAAGGAAGGCGGGCTATTCGAGTCGATGAGTCTGATGCTGCCTTCCAAACTAAGCTTGATGAAAAGCACCGCTCTAACAAGAAGGCGAAATTAGAATCTGGTGAGAGTAGAAAGAGCGCCCTCAAGAACAAAGATGGTGAGTTTACATTTTATTCCAGTTAACACAGGTCTGGGGTTTTTTTCCCCTTCCTCTATCACTTTTGTAGAAATTCTTTTCCTACCCTATTAGTACTCTAAATGTGGTGTCTGTCACTGTGCTGTGTCACAGGTTTTCGTTGAGATAAGAAACGTCTGTTTAATGTTGCAAGCCTGATGAGCCTTTTCTCAGGGAGGAATACACATCGTTGCAACTTGAAAAAAAAACTGTTTTTTCAGTTCTCGAGAACAAAATTGATTTTATTTTTTCAAAACAAATCGAATCGCCAAGAGGAAATAAGGTCAATTCCATATTTGACCATTTTTCAGGGGAATGGATTCTCTGAAAGTAGGCACATAAGTACATACATTTAATAGTATTGTGCACAATATTTTTTCTTAATATCAACTTTTGCATTTTTCCTGTTTTAAAATTATTTTCTATTCATTTTTTTATTTTTATGTATTCTTATCATTAATTTTATAACCATTGTTAAGCACATTTCAGTCCTAATAGACAATTGCTAGAAGGAGGGGATTAGTAATAAGCCTTTCTAAATGACTTTTGTTTGTATTGCAGGTTGTTCTATTGCAGAACGGCTAAATTAGACCTTCCATGTCTCTAATATTTCTCGATTCCAATGATGTCTTATGACATTTCAGTTGTACTAACTTATGCTTTAGGGTTTAGGTAAACTTACGTTACCACTTAAAAATCTGTATCATGATTACAGGCATTTTACACTAAATTGAAATGTTTAACAGCTTGTTTCTCACAATGCCATTTTCCCGACTTGACAGTAGTTCCACCTAACTCCTCAATCGGTATGATTTGAGAATGAACAGCAAGAAATCGATTTTCCTTAAAATCGATTTACCTATTCAATACTAAGAATCAAAATGATGAAAAATTGTCAACATGATAACATCGTCATCAATGCTTTCAAAATTTGGATGAAAATTGAACTAACATTGTTTGATGTTAATTGTTTGCCAATTTCAATTGTTCACCAACTCTAAGAATTGATTCTAATTTTGAATGACTCCAAAAAATTGATGCAATTTTCTCCGCTATCAGCCCTTATGAATGGATTTCTTGAAGTAAGTAATCAATTTTAAATCACCAATCCCAATAATTTATGCATCTTTGTCAATTTCTGACCTTTTCATCTAATGAGTTCATCCTGATTCAATTTTCAGACTCGAAAGAGAGCACCGGAAAAGAAGAAATACTCCAGTGCAAGGGTTGTAACTGCTATGGACTGAGCGATGAGTTTTTCAATGAACGAGCTTGTAGTGCAGATTGCGAACGAGAAGTGAAACAGAAACTAGTCATTGCAAGGAAGCTCGAGTATGACCGCAACGATGTTCGCTTAAAGAAGAGGGAAAAGTACTACAGCCTCTTAAAGAAGGAAGTCCAAGACCAGAAGCACTTCGGGAAGGATGAAATTCAGGCCAAACTCGATAAAATTGAGAAGATTGACATCGATAAGATCGACTTGACCAAGTTGGAAGCAGAGATCAAAGGACTTGATGATTTTGATGAGGATTCGAATATCGTAAGTGATTTTTTATGTTGTTTCTTTGTCTTTTTTAGGTATGTATTAATTAGTCTTTAATAGCAATATCAAGAGCTCTGTAATTTTGATAAGTTGATGGCTAAGTTCGAGAAATGCGTCTTTCAATTATGTTAACAAATCTCTGATCATGTCTTATTTTCCGTAAGGAAAACTAATAAAAATATTTCTTTGCCATTTCTTGTGATTTGTTTCTTGTGACAAAGAAAATGTACAGAAAATGTCAATGGAAACTGCTGGTTAGTTAAGCTTTGAAAAAACCAAACATTAGAGGAGACTTGCAACGTGGCAACCTGAGATATGCATCCCCCCCCCCCCACACTCATCAAAGAGTTCTCAGAGTAGATATATTGTCTAAAAAATTTGTCCCCTAAAAAGAGTCATGATTCATTATTTTCAGACTTTTCACCCCTGCTCTCATACTTTCTTTCATGAAGGTTTTCTAGTGCTGATTTTCAGAAGACCCAGACCAAAAAAAATGAAGCAGTCAGCATTTTTTAACAAATTTTGACCAGAATAAATCCTTTTTTCATCATTAGGCAGATAGATAAGTGAAAATAAAAATTTCTCTTAAAACTTTTTCCAAAAGAAACTCACTCTGAATACTTAGTAAAAATAACAGCTTTCCATGTTCCGATTTCAGGGTAAAATTTTAGGAACCATATTAGTGGCAAGCCTAATTTTTAGACGCACTTTGCGCATGGCGCCAAGTTATCTTGGAACATCGTTAGTTGTATCTCAACACGCAGGAACTTTAGATGGCATTATCGCAGAAGTGATAGAATGCTTTTCTATTTTGCAAGCTCTTAAGTTCTTCATAATTGTACCAAGTATTTTCATTTTCTCTCGCAGGATGTTCTATCAATGAGTAGTGATCTCAGCCAGCCTGTAGAACCAGCTCCTTCAGATATTTTCAAAACCTTGGAAAGAGGCGATGCCAAACATGATTCATTCGAAGGAATCTCCAAGGTTCAGAATCCGTTCAAAGTAGGAATGAAACTGGAAGGCATCGATCCAGAGCACCAATCTAATTTCTGCGCCATGACTGTTGCAGAAGTGAAAGGTAAAATATTCTGATCTATTTTACTTACAAATTTTGAAGGTGCAGATTCATGTATGTTTCACCATGTGTGATTCAGATGACAATTTTGATACGACTGATTCAATATTCTTTTTAAGTAATTCTAGAAAGATAGGGAAGGGAGCGGGGAGTTCAGCACTGTGTGTCTTCACAGAATAAAGGTGCAAGTGTAAAAAAAAGAGAAATAAACAAGCTTTTTTTGCAATAGAAATGCTAATGCACTAAAATCAGTTACTTCAAGCGTTGCCTGATTTCCTCTCACGCTTTATTTTTTAAACTGAAATGCAAGCAGTATTCTACCCGGAAAATTTGTGAACCTTCCTTGAAAATCCAGTAAAAATCCGGGGAAACCAATAAGGCTATCTTGTCGCTTAATTTGGGCAAGAAATGATAACATTTGAGAGGGAATTAGGTCATGTGAAATTGAGTTAAGCTTAATGATGGTTAAATGCGTTCAACTATTCGACAGTCCTTTAGGAATTTTTTTGAAAACCACGTTATATCTAGAGTTTTGGTAAATTTTTAGAAAAAAACAAGAAAATCTTCCATAAATTTTGGTCATTGTATGTATAGATTAGGTTATGTGCACAGCTAGGTTGTTAGGTTTTTTTTTTGCTACCTATCTCCATTTTTGAATGCACAGTCCATACATTTTTCGATAAATAAATAAATGAATAAACAAATATGAGATCAGGAAAAAATCCAATAAAAATTGAAATGTTTTGTCTCAAATAAAATCTTATCATAGAAACGCTCTGTTGACTAATATGTGACTGGATTTGGACCTCACCTTCCGGAAGAAAATTTTCCTCAACTTTTTGTAGATACGCGGAGGAAGAAAATCTGAAAATTTTGGCGCAAATTGACTCAGGAAGTTCAAAAATTGAATTAGGTGGATAAGTGTCCTGAAATTCCAAGACAACAATTCTTATTTCTTAGGTTGTTCAGGTTTCTTAGGTTGTTGTCTTTAGGTGGTTTCATGGGAAATTTTCTCCTGAGAGACCAAGGTCCGTCCCTACAGATCACATCTGTTTTTAATCAGACAAAGCCAGGAACTGCTGAAGGTGAAAGTTGTTTTCTTTCATTTATTTGTACAAAAACTTAAACTGGAGAGTTTATCTGTGTTGCAGGATATAGAATGCGTCTCCATTTTGACGGCTACAACGAATGTCATGATTTTTGGGTGCACGCTAACTCGCCGGACATCTTCCCAGTCGGATGGTGTGATGCCAGGAAGCGGCAGTTGAATCCTCCGCTAGGTTATTCCAAAGAAACATTCAATTGGCAGTCTTACTTAAAGCAATGTCGAGCAAAAGCAGCGTCCATTTCATTATTTAGAGCACCACCGGTAAGAAAGACACAGCCAACTTTTTAACTCAGTTAGTCTTATAGTTTTTTAAACTCATGCCTTTAGGCGAAAAGGAAAGTAAGTGAATACATTTTTCGTTCAGATCTTTTTGTCAGTCTCATTTTTTCATCAACTCAAAGAATAGATTTCATACCATGGAGAATGTGCACGCAAATTTTTTATTGCTTCATCTGAAAATGCCCAAAGAGCTGCTTTTGCAGTATTTTCATCATTTTTTTCGGCCATGGGAAATAGTATAAAAATAGGTTTAAAAGTGAGAAAATGTGCCGCCTAGTGACATATGTGGCAGCATTTCCAATTTAAACGGATGTATTTTAGTAGATATCATCATTTTGTTGTATCTCCGCCTATAATTATTCAATTTATGAACCAAGGGTATCCTCGTGTTCAGCTCACATGGTAGTGTCCATTCAAACTTGGAATTCATCAAATTTCAGACTCCTGCAAATTCTCCATTTAGAATGTGAAAAGTATCATTTTGCTTTCCCTCATCAGTTTAGTTTCAGTTCCAAAATCTTTAAACCTTATACAGTCATCTTAAATTTCAGTTATTTTCTGACTGAGACCATTGCTCATTAACAATCACAATGAAGTATAAAGATACGGTACTTAAGTGGCGTACCTTCATTCAACACATTACAATACAGTACTTTTCTCTCTTGTACAATAATTTAGTTCTATCGCACACTTATACTTCATTTTACCTCTTTATTTTCATGACTTTGACCGATTTCACATATTTCTCGATAGCGACAGGTGTGAAAAAGCAGAATAGAAACCTTTAACATATGTTCTTTGTTCTTAACTAACAGAGAATATTTAGTGTGCTAATTACGTATCTCAATTTTTAGCATCATTTGATGAGTTTTTCTGATTCCAGCAAAATTAAATCTCTAATCTTGGCGCAGGTTGCAAATAAATGATAATAAGAAAATGGGTTAAAATGTTTATTTTTAGCATTTAAGTTGTGTCCAAGATTATCATTTGAGACACGCTTATATTCTTAATTCAAAATTTTAGCAGCATCTTTTATCTTAACAGCTTTTCAACCTTAAACAAAACTTTCGATCAATGGATTCTTTGTTTGTTCAGTCTATTTTCTTTAATGTTTTTTGATAAAAAAAAATGGTTGCTCTATTTTTGTTTATACTATTCCTAATTTTTGGCTTCCTCTTTGCAGACCAAGGTAAATAACCACTTCAAGAAGGGTATGAAGCTCGAATCTGTGGACAGAAAAAACGCATCCCTGACGTGTGTATCCACCGTGGCGGATGTGATTGACAATAGGATTTTAATTCATTTTGACAGTTGGGGCGATGTGTATGACTACTGGACTGATATAACCGCTCCGTATATCCATCCTGTTGGATGGTGTCAGGGACAGAACTATGATCTCACTCCTCCTACTAGTGAGTATTGGTTTTTAATTGTTTTCCTCTCATATGCAACGCCATGTTTCATTCAGTGGCGTGGCGTGCTTTGCGATGTATGGATTGTCATGCCATTTAAACCTATGGAGTGGGATCGATAAACAGGGTGTTCGCAGCGAACACCTTAATAATCGATTCTTTACCATAGGTTTAAATGGCATAACAATTGATAAATAGCAATTTACACCATGCTACTGGTTTTATTACAGACATCCTTCACAGATTTCTCACCTTTCTCCAAACATCGTTTTGCTGGAAAGTTCATGAATCTTATTATCTCTCGGTTGTTCATTCACTGAGAATCAAAATATACCTAGATAATAATCAAGGAATTTGACAAAATCATCTGTTTTTTTGTCTTGCAAAGATTTTAAATCGTCATTTTCTCTAAATTTAGGCTGCTAAATAATACATATCTTATCTGCATTCTCTCTGAATGAAGTTATCTTTCAATCCCTTTTTTTATTAATTGGGAAAGTGTCCATTACGGACACCTAATGTCTCGATGCTTTTTCGATGGTCACACTGAAAAATTCAATGACAGAGGCAGGGATTTCTATGATATATTAAATTTCCTTATCTAAAAAAAATCGTCACAATCACTCAACAAACTTTGAAAAAATATTGATTTTTTTGAACTGTAATGTTCTTGGGTTCCGAGAACTAAGTGATGAAGGAATGAAAAACCCATTGCCTCCATCTCTTTTGAAACTGGACCACAAACTGGCAAAAATTGTTTAATTTTGATGAGCTCCAAACGCTTCCTGAAAAAATTGATTTCAATTTCACAGTGACTTAAATTAATTCATTTTAATCATCCGAAGAGAAACATTTCATGGGTATTAATTCAAAATAACAATGCTACGCTATCATATATTTTTTAATGCATTCCAATTTAAGGTTGAAGAGTCCTCAGCTGCTGCAAATATCACAAAATAAGAAAATTTCAATATTTTTCAATTTATTTTCAGATCACAAGAGTAACAAAGTTTTTGTATGGGACGAGTACCTAAAAGAAACCAAGTCAACGGCTGTTCCCGCTCGTGCTTTTAAACCGCAGCCTAACAAGTTCAAAGTCAATATGAAACTTGAGGCTGTAGATTTCCGGGTGCCATCCCTGATTCGTCCTGCCACTATCATCGAAATCAAAGACCATCGCCTGCGGATAGCATATGATGGTTTTCCACTGAGATACGCTTATTGGGTTGACTGTGATAACCCAGATATTTTTCCACCTGGATGGTGTGAGAAAACGCGTCATCCCCTAGAACCTCTGCCTTGTAAGTTAGCTTTTTTTCCATTAGAGGTCAAATTTCTTTTCCGACTGTTGTTGTTAATAGGCATTGATAGCCCGCCAGAGAATCAGTCATCATTTAAATCTCAGTGACATTCCTTTCTTTAAGGTTGCACGATAGTTGATTTTTCATTGATTCAAAAAGCCCTGAAATTATATCAATGCCACCATCTATACAAAATTGATAAAAAATTGACAAAAAGTTTTGGTCTTCAACAGAGTTTAGACTTCTGCCAAATTGTTTCATTTCAGAAAAATAATTTTTTATTTATTCTTGTGTCACATTAAACAGTCTTGAAGATTCTATCCACAATGGCCGTTTTTAATTAAAATATATTAACTCGGAGGGGGGGGGGGGGGGGGGAGGGGTGTCAATCAAGAGTTTTTGAGAAAAGGAACTTTTTTCAAGGTAATTTTTTATTTTCTCAATCGCGTATATCCTTTCGATTGCTACAACACAGATTTTTGAAAACAATAATTTTTGAAACAAAAGATAATTTCAATCAGAACTTGGTTTTACAAATTGATGATCGATATTACTTCCGTTTTTTTGTGCAGGCTAGGTACACAAAATATGAAACAAGAGTCAATTTTGTGTCTTTCGTTTCGGCAAATCTTGAGAAGTGCAGAAACTTTTCTCCCAAGGACACCCTATCCATGGCTTAGCTCTGAAAATAAATACTTCAGTTACAGTGTTTCAAAAGCTTCTTAAATATTTTAGAAGAATAACTTATATGAATATTATAGCTTTAAATTTTTGCAGAATAATTTTGACAGGGTAAAGGAAAATCAAGGGGTCCTTTAAAAAATATTATTTTTTTTGTCTTTTTCTTTTTTTTTTTCATTTAAACACTTATGTACAAGAAGAAATTTTATTTTGAGGTTTTTCAGCGTTAGGCCATTGCTGTCCCTCTCATGAAACAATAAGAACCACCACTTAGAAACACCACTGCCTTTAAGAACTGCCTCACTGGAACACTTCTAAATCTGTCCTTTTCTCTCATGTTCCAGCAATTATATCAATTTGTTTTCTTTTTTCAGCAATGGATGAAATTGGAGACTGCGGGACACGCGGCTGCAAAGGTATCGGCCATATCAAAGGACCTAAGTTCGTGCGCCACTTCTCGGCACAGTACTGTCCTTACTCCAAGCAGAATATAGATTCTGATGCTGATCATATTCCTGACCGGTTGCAAGGTGAACCTGACGCGTTTGAAGTGGACGAACCCTTGAGCAAACCTTCAGTAGTCAAGAAAGAATCCTTGGAGACGTTAGAAAAACCAAGCAAGACGTTGCAAACAGAACAGCCAAAATCAAATGAATCTAAGCCTGTAGAAAAAGCGAGCAAAACTCATTCCGAGCCCTTAGCGCCTATTGCTTCCACTTCCACGGCGCCAGAAGCTCTTCCTAAAAGGAGAGGTCGCAAGAGGTAACTAGAAAATATTCTTGAGAGCTTGTCAGTTTATATCTTTCAGGTCTCAATAGACATCAAATTTTAGAGAATCACAAATCAAATAAGTTTTAAGAACTCATCTTGTGGAGGAAGCAGAATATTTCTCCAAGGAACTGAGATTTGTCTAGTCTGAAAACATGCTATCCCATTTCTTCCATGTTTGCTTTTACAACTGGGAAGAAGCGTTTACGCCCCAAAATTACTTTTCTGCAGGAGGAAGATGATGGGGAGATCTAAGCTTAAGGTGATTCTGAGTGATCCAGGGACGATGTTTGCCACTTTAGCTACTACGTTAGGCTGCTTCACAGTCTGTGTCATTGAGATCCGTAACATGTATCAACATCTGAATAATATGTCATCAAATTCATTAAATCTCACTGAAAACGTATTTAAAAAACTTTCAAAATGGACATTTCTCATTGACTTAAAGTGCAAAAGAGACGTTATCTCTCTTTGATGTATTGGGTCAATAAGCGGCGTCCGTTTCGAAAGTTTCTGTCTTGAATTTATATTTAATTTTCACCAATTTGATGTCACCTTTTAATTATTAATGCTGCCACTTGTTACGGATCAGTTCCTTGCAATAATTTGTACATCTTGATAATTATTGCCTAATAAACACAGACAGTGTAGCAGCGCAGCTTAGTGGTGGATCTTGTTCCCAGATCACTAGGAATAACCTCTCCCAGATCACTAGAAATAACCTCAAACTTGGAATAACCTTAAACTTGGAATAACCTCAAATTTGAAATAACCTCATTAGAGAATCGCAAAGGAAAGGTTTCAAAAGGAAGTTAGCTCTCTTTATATCACTTGACTCTGTTTTAAAAATGTATTATTCATATTATTTTTCTCTGTATTTATAGTGTATTATTGAAAATAATACTGTTATAGTGTTTACTTCAGTAATGAACATTTTAAGTGTCTCATTTTAGTAATTCTATATTTGGCGTTTCTCAGGAATACAGACCTTAGTCTATGGGGCAGAATTTTTAGGAGGGTGACTTTTGCTGAGTTGGGCTGAAAAGTTAGCTTTTGAGATTTTGTCAGCAAACTCTCACTCGTGTCCTGAAGAATATGTCGCAAGTGATACAATTAATTTTTGTGTCAATGAATGGCGCAAAGTTTCATTTTAAACTAACAATATTTAACCCTGATCATGGCATATTCATACTGTAAATAGCGGTCCATTGAAACAATTTTCTTTTTTAACTACGCCTTGCCAGGAAAAATTCTTCAAGGGTTGTTTAAAAATGAATTTATGACTTTCACCCCTCCTTATGTATTGAAGGGTCCATTATATCCTATTGTCTCTTAATTTGTCTAATTCAGCATTTTTTTTTGCAGGAAATTCTCTAAAGAAATGGAAGGAATTAAAAGCGATGGTTTTGATGTTTTGCGGCAAGAAGTTATTGAGTCTGTCCTCCGTCCAGGCTATACGCCAAGCAGTAGAGACTCAATCACGTCATCAAAGCATGCAAGTCAATTAGGAATTAATGTCATAGACGCTGACCCTCGTAAGTGGACGAGTAAACAAGTGACCGCATTTGTCACGCGCATCTACAATCAGCCCGATAAAACTAGAGTCTTCTTAGAACAGGAGATAGATGGTGAGGCGTTTCTGATGTTGACTCAAAAAGACATAGTAGATATCTTAGGTCTAAAATTAGGACCAGCCATCAAAATATTCAATGCTATTGTTTTATTACGTCAGAAAATAAGTTGATCTCCTCTATAATAACCTTGTTTCCATTTGCCGCTCAACTCAGTCAGTATCATTTTAGGTTATCAAGATACTTGTATTCTGTTCTAATGTTCATTTTTTACGTGTTCTGGTTTAAAATTAGAGAAACCGCCTTTCTGATTATTAAAATTAAAGTTAACCCAATAGTGCAACCCTCAGCCATAGATAACCGAAGGCATCTTCTCCTCAGCAGATGTAGTAGATCTTCTTGATGAAGACGACACTGGACAATGCTAGGTTCGTTAATAAAATTCAACGGATAGTTCAGCTTTAGAAGCTGATTTCACCTGTTTTTACTGGAACACTTCCTTACGAAACCCTTAAGTTTCAACCGAAACAGTCCAATTTTGGGATTTTCCCTTCTATTCAATTACTCGAGACAGTATTTTTTGGCGGTGTGGTATTTCGCAACAGCTAAAATGTGCCTGTACAATTACTAATGGATCCCTCTTACCGCTGAAATTATAAAGTGAAATTAGTGTTCTAGCAAATCGAGTTTAAAATCTCGATGTCTCTTCATATCCACCGAAGATTCACTTATAATGTTCGTCATAATTGAATTGGTGATAACCTTCGGAACAAATATTCTCTTTCTATCAATGTTTTTAAGTAATTTGATTTATTGTTGATTCAGCGCTTTTGTTATTTTTATTATTCGTTTTCTGTGATAAATGAGTCATTTGTAAATACCTGTCGTTTCAAGGATTCCTCCTGGTGTTGTACATAATCTGTCCAGTGATAATGATTATTCTAAGTGATTCATCTGTAATACTTATCAAAATCCTTAACTGAGATATAGGACGATTTTGCAATTTTTTATTTGTTTTTACCCCTTCAATTGTTTTTAGCAACTTACATTTCATAACTGCGATTAATTTTTAATTCTCCTGAACTTTCTCTCACTGTCTTCGTTTTTTTACTTTTTTTGAATTGTGGAACCTCCTCACTTCTCATTCATGTTATTGTCGGTATCGAGGAAACTATCTTTTAGCAATGAGGATCAAAGCGGGTTATCAAAAATTTTAGTCAGAGCTGAAAGAAGAGATGTTTTCTGTGTGAAGTTCCTCAAAATCTATGATAGAAGCAAAGTTTGAAACTCTCTTATTATCCTGCAGTTTTCGTCGAAAATGCGTGCAATTTAGAGCTTGTTTCCAAAATTGTATCTTGGAAAATATTTAATCGTAAGTCAGTACGTGCAAGTGAAACCCTCCACATTCGTAAACAGGGATGACTCATTTGTCTCATACTTTACATCCTCGTTGCAAAAGCTCAAACATTCGTATTTTTTTATAACACAATTTGTGAGATGAAGAGTTAATTTTACACTCGGTTGATGCTCTCTTTGTAATAATTCAAACATTTTCTCACAAGAAAGAACTTTTCTTTCAGCTCTGTCAAAAAATTTGAGCGGCTTCTTTTCCTCTCTTTTTCCCTTTTATTAGGGTTTCTTATCAAAGGCGTCTTTCAAGCATGAGTAAAATGTTTTGACGTACTTATATCTACGTCCATTGAGATCTCTGAAGTCTATAAGTTCATCTCATTATCGAAATCATGAGATAATGCTTGTTCATTGCAAGGCTAATTCAAGTGTTTAATATTCTAGTAACTTGGAGAATCGTATTCCAATGCAAGCTTGTTGTATTTACTTGCCAAAAGTATTGTAATCAAGCTTGGTTTGAGTGTGTTGGTAACTTAAAAATTCCTCTTGTCATAAATGTGATGTATCAATGGCTAACCTATATGTATCTCTATCACAAGGTTTAAAAGTTTCCAAATTCTGTTGGATATTTCTAAAAGAAAATCAATGGAAATATTCTCTTTAAATTTTCTATGATGATTTTTAGATGAGTTTAGAAAATTCCTAGATGTTTTTGACGAAAAACTGCAAGTTGGTTTTCTCACAAAAAGTGAAATATGAGCAAGGAGCCATGAGATGAATGCCTCCAAAAATGAAACAATATTTCACTTGACAAAGGCTCATTAATGAAATTTCCAATCTCCTGTGACAGCCATTGAAAGTAACAATTAACTATTTCTCTTAAATAATGTGACAGCATCTCTGCTTATTTTTTCTCTTGCTTTCTTTCTCTATCTCCTTCTGTTGGTTGATTTTTATTTTTTGGATGGCTGAACTTCGTAAAAACCCGTCATTTGTAACATTTTAAAATCTCAGCCTGTATTTTATACTTTTTCAAGAAGAAAGAACTGCCTCTATTTCGTGAAATATTTAAAACATTGTCTGTGTGTCCAAAGAAAAAGATTGGACTAGCTCTCAATTTAGAAATCGACTACTTACAATATATTTAAAGTGTAGCAAATGATAATGCGTATCTCTGAGGGTTTAGCCGTTACATCTCCAAGAAAGTTTAGTGAGGGGAGCAAGAATCTTTATTTTTCAAGATAAAAGGAAAATAACTGTATCTTCTACTTTTTAATAGGTGTTCTCTGCGGTTGCATGGAAAAATTTTCAGAGGACTCAGCTCAATTTTCAAAATTTCAGTGTCTGATCATATTTTCAAATTTTCCTTTTCTATCAGTCAGTTTTTGTTTTGTAATTATCTGAATGTAATTTTGTAGTATAAAACTGTAAATATGTTTGTACAAATAGTCTATGTCTCTTCGGAACCCCTGTATAAGAATAGTCATGTATGACATGAGTAACCTCTTTCGATGTGTTGCCGAATGTTCAATGTTACAACATACAAAACTCATACTGCTAGTTTTTTGGTATACCTTGACTTTTTGTTGGGACATTAAAATTTTTGCAGTATTAAAGTTTCCTGTTCTTTGCTTTGTATTTCCCCTGACCTACACTTTGTCTTGCTGCAATTACATCAGAAAGTCAATTTTCTTCTTTGTATGAATTGGAAGAAAGCGAGGTGCAAAATCGAAGACATCTCAACGATTTTCAAAGAAATCAGGCCTTCCTTTGAAGAATGATTTTTCTCCTGTCATACGTACCTTTTAACTACAGCCGGCATGTTGTATTTTCACTAGTCCTTGTCCTTTGACGGGAAAAAACTGGGTGAATTTCATCAGTTATTAATTGGTATTAATTCTTAATTTGATCCTTGCATTTTGAAGGGATATTTGTACCACTACATCTAGGACAGGAGGGATTCTCCACATGAGGAGGAAGTCAGAGAGATCATTCTTGAAAAATTTCCACAAAATTTAAGCATCCTTGACGCAGTTTGATTGGACATTTTATCACAATTATAAGCAATTTCACAGTTAGACTTTTTAGCACCTTGAAATAGGAGGTTAAACAGTGGATTACAGATCAGAGAGTTACTCTTGTAAACTTTTTTGCCATGATTTTAATTCCTTGAAAAAAGGATGTGTAGTTTTCATACAATGCCCCAAGTCGCAATTGGTAAATAATGCAATTTCACTACAACGGACATTTTTAAGGTTTTAATAGTTCGGAGCTTTTAATCATGGGTTTTTCGATCATTATTTTTCCAAAACTTCCAGAGGGCGTTTCTTTTACACGTAAATTAAACTGATCAATTCTGAAACAAAAAAGAATTTCATGCAAAAGCATTTCACATAACGTTTTTTCACCTAAAACTATTGGGTAAATAAGTGATATGGTAGACAAATCTCATTTGATTTTCGGTTCTGGATGGTGTGGTGCCAGAGGAAAAACTTCACGAATTTCATCATTATCAATTTTTTTTCGCCTTCAATTTGGAGAACGGCAATTGTTGCTGCGGGAAAGTTGGCGTGCCCACAATCAATTTGAAAAGTAGACACGCAACTTCTTATACGAAGCTATTCAATTTTGATTCAGTAACCTGCTCTCATGGAGTTGTATATAGTACAAAATTCACATAGTGAATTTTTGTATCATTCAAAAAATGCTTTCAACAGAAAGTATTTGCAACTGCTAAAAGTGAACATTCACAACATTTCTGCAATAACAATTGCGGCCCGCAAAATTGAAGGAGCAAGAAAATAATTTTTAATTCTTGCATTTCATTTTTCTCTGTGCTATGAAGGAATTTTACGTAGGTAAAGATTCTACGGTGCCACGCTTGTGTAGGAATTTCGGAATGATGATATCCCCCAACCCCAACCCAATCCACATTAACTCAAAACCAAAACCTATATAATATTCTGGGAAAATCTGAGGGTCCTTTAGAGATGGCAACACTGTGCTATTTGATTATTTGATCTATTTGATTGTAAACACTAACCTCAAAATAACAGTGTTTTTTCTTTCCCCATCAACAGTTTTAGGTGTTCAAGTTTTAGGATCATTAATGTAAGCAATCTCAAAATTCCTCTGCTGAAAATTCTGTTTTATGTGAAGGGAGAACCTGTTGTTCTATTTTTAGTGAACAGATCAAAGTATGGTTTGGTATTCATTGAACTGCTGAGGGAAGTTACCACTGCTGTGTACATGTAATGCGTCCTCAATGCGTTTAAAGTAATGATACAGTTCTGCAAAGATGGTTCAGTGTGGTATAAGGACCTCTCAGAAACTACTCCTGTATCCAATAGCTGTGGTTCCACAGATATTTAGCAGAGATACATGGGTAAAATGTATCAGTGTATTGTGGCCCGCGATTGTTCCGCCTTTGCATATTTTTGTGCTCTACTACTACTGGCGTCAGTTTGCACGCAATGTTGACAGGCGATATTGTTCCTGCTCTTGTTGGGACACTGTGTTCAAAGGTGAGTATTATTAAGCTGTCTCTCCTACTTTTCCCACGACTCTATGATGTCTATTCATATATAGGAATATTTATTCTTATTTACAATATGAAAGAATACTAAAGAAGATACTAAAAAAAAATAGTATTACTTCTGGAATAACTTCTTGGTCTCTGTTGTTTTCATGTCCCTTAAGTCTTAGAGGTTTGCAAGTACATGTGATCCAGTGGATGACATATAGTGGCGCTGTTAGTTGGTCTTGTTTTGAAAGACAGAAGCATGAGTGGCGTATTGTTTCATTGCAATTGAAGATACGTAGTTAGTGACTGACTTACTGCTTTACAAAAAATTTGCTCTTTAGCTGTCATTGACCATGACCATATAATCATCCATACTTATCATATAAAAACTAAGATGTGGCATGAGTTACTTAAAATCTTTTTAAGTGCAGCAATTGTATTTGACTTGTAATTTCTAAGTATTGTCTTGGTAATGATATTTTTCTTTTCTAGGAACTTATGAAACTGGAATTGCATCTTACAAGCATTTTTATTTCAACGCAACCTTCAACTCAACAAAGATATGGATATTAACTGTGATCTGCGTCATTTCATTCTATGAATGCGTCAAAAGACTGATTTGCCTAGCCTTCGAAAGGAGGTTGAGATTTTCCATGGTCATCTTGTTTGTCACATCCATATTTTCTCATTATTACTCATGGTAAGCAGGATTTAATTTCAAGTTGTCATTAAATGTATCATACTTATAATTTTACAACCAATACGTATGTATCTAAAAATCATTCTTAGCTCTGAGTTTAAAATCACCTCAAAGGTCATAGGACTCAGAACATAGATGGATGTAGGTAAAATATGACGATAATGTTTTCATTGTGGATAAAACAAAATGCCTTTCAAGAAATGTCAGTCTGCAGTTAAAGTGATTTCAAGCAGTGTCTGTAACCGGTAACATCATTTAAAGTTCTTTTGCTGTATTTTTTAATTAAAAAATGGATCGATAAGAAGTAGTTTGTCTAGAATCATGCTATATAATAAAGGCACAGTCCCTCAGTGCTGCTATTTTTTGGAATTAATGCTAAATTTTGGAACTTTGCCCGGAAGTTGTCTAATTTTTCAGAATTATTTTTGTGTTTATTCTTTTCTCAAAATCACTGTTTAATTGATAGGAATTGGATCATATCGAAAAGCTTTAATTGTACTAAATTTTACAATAAAGAACGGCTATTCTTGTCTTACTCATGAAAAAACCTATCCACATACGGAAACTAAGGGCATATACGTTGTTTCTGAAATGAGCCAAAAATAGAAGTGCCTTACGGCAGAATGTAGTTCAATTCACCTTAATTTTTAAATTTATTTTTAACCTAAAGGACTTGAAAGTCATCCTAGTACTGTACTAATTAAAGTCTTCATACTCATTCCTTCAATCTCCTGTTCAATATTAAATCTTTCCGTTTTACTTTCAGGTGGGCATATGTAAACTATTGGAACGACGACTTTTATAAGCAATGGAATCATCAGCTGTTCTTTTCCATAACCGAGGTCATTTCAACAGGGTATGTTTTGTATCTAACGGACAGTCGAAACCCAATCGAGCCTTTTTACGTTATGCCTATTATTGGAATAGCTTTGATCCATATTATGGCTGCAGCAATTGATCAGTTTGTAGCCAATGTTTTCAAGGGAGAAGGCTACGTACATCAAGTGAGTATCTCAATATCATAGTTCATGATATTTTTAAGAGACCATGCTTGATTATTTTTTTTTCAGGTCTTGAAAACCCAGTAATTTTTTAGTGGGATTTGGTGAGTACTTGAATTGCAATTACGTTGGTTTTCAAAGAAACTTCGTCAAATTCATTCACGAATTTTGGAAAAAGAAATTGTATTTGCTAGACCTATTCACTTTTAACTGTATGTGAAATGAATCGAAAAAATAGTCGTTACCTACCCATTTTTTTTTTATTGAATGCAAGAAATTAAAAACAGAAAAAAACTTACCACTCAAAAAAGTATTGTTGCGTAAAAATGTAATAAAACAGCGCTAGGTACATATTATTCTGAGAGAATATTTGAACAAAAAAATTCCAAAAATCAGAATTAGACGTTAAAAAAACTTCAATATGTAACTATTGTAACTTACATCTTTAATGACTTAAATTTTTTAATGTAGTATACCCTTGAACTGATACTTGCAACCAAATCCACTAATTCTTTTTCTTTTTTCTAGGTTATAAGAGATCTTTGTTTTATGATACCTGATATTCTACATGTCACTCTCCCTCTAATTGAACTGAGATACAGTCAGAAGCAAGCATTGCGTGCCCTGAACCTCACGGAATCCAGCTTGAAGAAAGAACTGTTTGCTCTGTGCTGTCTTGTGGCCCTTGGGCTTTTCGTCATATCATTACTTTGAGACTCAAGGTAAACGGTTCTCCTATAATTTCATTTTTTGTGCTATCCTGAAAATGTGGCCATCTTTAGTGGCAAAAGTTTTTGCAATATTGAGAGCTCCAGCCAAATATTAGAAATAATTCAATTGTCATGGTGGCATCCTTAAGAGCATTCTCATCAAAACTAGTTTTCTGTTGAAAGCACATTTCAAACCTAATAATGTTTTCAGTAAATCAGCCATAATTTACTAATGATATAAGCGTATACTAACTTGTCCTCCAAGAAGAGAGGACTCATGTACTGATGAGGAACTTATTTTTCTTCCTCCCAAAACATTGCCGTAAGAAGAATAGACCAAAAATTCCAATTTGGTCCGGAAAATCTGGAAAAGTCTGGGATTTTTCCCCAAAATTAGCTAGGAACCCTGAGAAGGAATATCGACGGTGAAAGTACTAGACGATGTCTCTGGGTTTGCAATGTTGCAGACTCTCTGTCATCCTTTATTTCCTAAATCGAAAACTTTTAACGTCAGTTCTTGAAAACTTCCATGAATTTTCTTCTCTGTGCAAAGAAATCCCTGCGAGAACTTCTCAGGATTACTTGATTTTTTTCCCTTAAACAAAATGAAGTGAGAGCGAAGATTTTTAAACACCACAAACCAGATACGTTGTCTGATAGTTTCACTGTCGATACTTGACTCTCACTTGTCTGAGCAAACAGGGAAATATCAAAGAATTTGTGTAAAAGATTTGAATTGCCCCTCCTTGTATTTTTTGCCGTCAAATAAGTTTTCCCACGATGAATGAAGATTTCTCATCAAAGTTCCCCTCTTTGGTTTGAAGTCCATAGACACTCTGGATATTCCATCCTATTGTTTGTCAAAATCACTCAATTTATTGCCAATGTGAGGGAGGGATGTAGTTGCTTTTTCATTTTATCCAGTTTAAAATACATATCGATGCAATTCAGATTTTTTTCTCATTTTTTTTATTTCTTCCCTAAAAAGTGACTTAGGTACACTTATCGGTCAGCAAAATTATGACTTGGGATACAACCTTTGTAAACTGCCTTCTTTTTCTCCTATTACCAATTTGAGGCGTTAGTTTGTCCAGTATAAAGTCGGGACACAAGAGTATTTCAAAGATTTTGATCAGAAGTATTATGATTGTTTCAATGCTCGAACTCTTACTCAAGTCAAAATCAGGTTGATCAGCCTTTTAAATACATCAGTGATAATTTTGACTTATTTAGTCAATTCCATTCCCCTAAAAATGATATTTAATACTAGGAAGAGTTGTTTTTTTCTTTTGTTTAAAAAAAAAAAAAACTGAATTCTTAATTGACACGAGGATATCAAAAATTATGAAAAATTTATGATTTTGTAGGAACGCATTTGTAGACGGGGGGTATGACAATCATGACAGGGAGCCCTAATTATATCTTATTTATTTATTTTTTTTATAACCTGACCAAAGGCACAAGCCTGAATCTGCGGTGGTTTTTTTTTAAAGGAAAGAGAAGCCTTTAATAAAATTGATAAGGAAAAGCTTTCTCCATTATCAATTGAATAATTCTGTTTTGTATACTCCCTCTTTTTCAATGATAATGTCAAATTGTCCTCCCCTCTTCAAATGAAGAGAAAAATATGAAGGATGTTCGATCAGGCAGAATTAAAAGAGCCTGCACTTGATTAGTCCCAGAAGAATCGTTGAAGATTTTTAGCAATGCTTTCTAAAAGCCATAAGAGATCAAAAACAATGATGTGATCTTGAGTTTTATCTCCTATATTTTACTTAATCATTTTTTATCACTATTAAATTTTATTGTTCAATGTTGATAGTGTATATTTTTATTGTCTAAATTATTGAAACCATGAAGTATTCTAATTTTAATATCTTTTTTTAATCATCGTTTTTCTATCATTTTAAGCCACCGGTAGATTAGTTTTGTAACAAGTTTTGCAGAATTTTTGAAACATTAAACATCAGCCATTTTTTGGGAGATTCACCAGCTAAACATAAAATTGAGACACCCATGTCGAATTTCATCCAGGTGTTGAAATTTTAGAATTAAGTTAGCCGCTCCCATATCACCATTTCTCTTGCTTATACTTTTGTGATTTTTCTCTCAGAGAGAAGAAATCACAAAAATGCTCTTATGAATAAAATTGAAAAGTGAAGGACTTTAAAAACAAGAATTGATTTATTTTTAAAATTGTGAAATGTGCATATCGATGACTTCTAAAACTTGTTTCTGAAGATTCTTCAAGAGATCAAAAAAGCTCACTTATTATTCTTCCCATGTAGGCATGCAGATCAGCAATAGTGCCTATTTTAGAATTTTAAAGAGATATCCTGGTTCTCTCAAGTATATATAATCTTTTGTATGCAGCTGAGAAGCATCAATTCAGACTCAATCCTGTGTGTATCCCAAAATCGGCAACTATTGCATTTATTTTTTCCAAGTTTAGCCATCGATATGAACATCGAATGAAACAAAATTCTTTCAATTGTGAAACTAGGAAATCTTTTACCTTGCTTTACGACATTGTAGATTATTTGTCACATTTTACTGTGACTGATCATTGTTTTTGCACACAATTCTATGTAATTTCCCTTTTATATCTCAAGAATATTTTCTGATTACGTCATTCAAATGCTTAGTACTCTAAACTCCTCATCATCCAGATTAATTGGAACCAGACCGACCTGGATAATGAATAAATCTGAATATTAGATAGAAAAATAGCCTAAATTGCTTATAATTATGAATGAATCAGAGTACAGTTTGTGTTTCAAAGAATGAGTCTCTCTTTAAAAACTGCAATTCCCTATCTTAGTTGTAAGCACATTTTAATTGTTTCAAACTGACCAAAAATTTCAATCGAAATTAATATCCACTAACGGAATATCAGCCTGCCCCTCTGCCCTGCTTTGATCAGTTACCATTTTGATCCAAACAGTTTGGAGTCTGGATAGTACCATATCTGAATGATCTAGAGTTTAGTGTAGGTAGTTCTTCCTTAAATTTCAATATGAAATGGAAATTTTGAGATGCTGCAAGTGAGATGTATGCCTGTCTCCATAGTCTTATCGTTGATCTGTTGTCTGTTAAACTGCAGTCTAATTTTCTCCTTGTTGATAAATCATGATGAGACCTAGCAGAAATATAGGCATATGATTGGTTAGTTGCACTGCTTGGTTTCATTGTTATTCCTTTTTTTGGAGTGATAAGCGACAAGCTCTTGGAACCTTTTTTGGTGATTGACAACCAATGGATTTTTTGACTCAATGAAGGCACGACAAAGAAAGTTAGTGTTAAAGCCAACCAATTCAGAATCTACAAATCCGCGAAGTCTCACTGTGCTTTTGTTAATAAAGGAGAAATTTCAATAATTGGCCTGCTGTGATTCCTTTGTGTACAAAGCAATGAATGTGTTTTCCAAATTTTTACTCTAGCAATCCTAGTAGTAAATGACGTTGATCTGACAGAATTATAATCCATAATTCTTTCGAAGTGTTCCAATTCAGAATATTCTGAGCTCTAAATCCCTAGTCACCAGTAATAATAACCATTGTTATTTTTTGTTTTATATTTTGAACCTAGATACTTCCATTAAGTTGAAATTTCTGCTTATTCCTCCTACCATTCCTCTCATCATGGGAGTCCCGTAACCCTATTGTCTCTACCTACCTGTTGGTAGATTAAAGTTTAGGTGATACTCAAAATCGATATGGGATACAAATGTTTTAGACTTACCTCATTTGAAGGGTCTTATTCTGAATTGGAGAAGGTTGTAGGATGCCGAGCTCATTTTGTAAGCTCAGACTTGAACAAAAATTTTGATAAAAAAGTTGTGTCCAAGAAGATCTACTTTTATCTAAGTGTTGCAAAACCTAAGAGTGCTAATGAGAGGCCCTGGTGTGTTAATTAGAGGTTAGTAATCATTATAATAATATTTAAATCAACAAATTTTTTCCTGACTTACCCGTAAGATTTCTGCCTTCTCCAAAAAGTCCCAAAAAAGGCAATGTATCCCATTTGCTCTTTGTTCGACAACTTTTCATCACATCTCAATTTCGCCAGAATATTAATTTGGTGCGCTGTTTAGAAAGTTGATGATTTCTTGTAAAAGAGAAGAAAAAAAACTCCCCACGACATTTTTGCAAATAATAAAGATAAATCTGGTCGCTTGGAAAAATGCGTCCTGCATTCATGCTATGCATTGAAATGCACCTCAAACCTTGGTGATGTGTATCATGTAAATTTTTTTCTCTTCAAATGTGAGAGACAATTAGACGGTGGACTCCCATTGCCCATGCAATTCCTTTAGCTCCCTCCATATTTTAAGTATTTAGTTATTTTTCCTGATTTACGTTAGCGGTAATTGTATAAGTATATTTAGGTATTCTCAGTTTTTTTGTTCCTAGGAGAGATATTTAATCTTTATTGTAAGGCACAGTTTTGATTTTTGTAAAATGTCTTTATCTGTTACTTGTTCTCAGCATGAATTTTATCTGAAAAACGAAGCACCAGTTACTAAACACCAGTTAATGAAATCATGAAAATAATGAGACATGTTTTCTTTCTTTCATTTTATTATTACACGTGAAATAATTTTCTGACATTGTTAAATACCTTTATACTAATTTTTTAAGAGTACCCTAGCTTCCTTTGAATAGGTTTTTTTTGGAGAGGGGGTGGTAGTGCAGCCAAAGTAATAGTGTAATGAAGAATAAGAAGCCAAAAATCAAAGTATTTCAATTGAGAGGTGATAATAATTGATAGCAAGTTTACCCGATCCTTGTACCTAGAGAACCTTTCTTGGCATGGTAGGATAATTTATTTTCTTTTACGTACAAGAACTCAAAAGAAACAGAGTGTATGCTTAATTCCGATGTTGTATTATCGCTAATATGACTATAGTTTTGAGGTCAGCCTTTTTTTTTGAGGGGGGGGGGGGTGGAACCCTTTAGTTTCGAAGCAGTTGCTCTCCAAAAACCTTGTTCACTGATTGTTGTCAATATCATTTTCTTGTAATTTTTCCTCTGAACCTGGACCAATTTTCTTCACCTGTCTCTAATCTTAAATTCTTTAATTAATTGATTTCAGTTTTTCAAGTTGTATAGCTTACCAATCTCTGCTAGCACAAAAACATATTTCTGACTGTGAAGATAATGATCTGAATCGAAACATAATTTAAAGAATTTTCAAATGTTTCATGTTAGTCATGCTAATATCACTTTTGTGATCGTTCATCTTTTTTGGATTTATTTGAGAGATCTAGGTTTACAAGTTATTTTCCAAAACCAAACCACCCTTTTTGGAAAAAAGTGCCACCGATGGTGCATTATGATCCCTTCTTACTTATAATGAAATTATTATGAAATACTCAGTTATTTTCATTCGCACAGAAACTCAGGCTTTTTCTAGTTTCTTAATCATTGAATAAAATTGAACAACAAATATTTTTACTCTGTTCATGTTTTTTTTATTATTTGTGTGATGAGCATTTCTTTAAATTAATTAATAAGTTTTCTTAGCTACTTAGCATTATCCAATGCATAATTCATTCGTTTCTCTCTGAAAATTTTCATTTTATTTGATACCTAGTGTCTATACATTAATTTCTGAATTATGTGCAGCCTTGCAGATCACTTCAGTATGAGATTTTTTTATTTTATTTTTTTTTTAAGTGAAAATAATTTCATTAAGCGAGCCAGGGAAAATACGTTTAGCTGGCAACGAAGTCATGAGAAGATTCATGAAGTTGTAAACCAAGAACAATCATTCTTACTCACTTGTTGTGTCTAATTTTAGCACCAACTAAAGTGAAATGGAGAGGAATGTTCAGAGTTGCCAAGTTTGCGCCTTTTCATCTCAGTTTTTCATCTGAGCTCACCGGACTAGTGAGATAAAAGTAAAGTAGTTTGTTAGATCATGATATTTGTTGGAAGGGAAACCATGCTGATGTCTCTTTTCCTGTGAGCCAAAAACCTTCAATTTTTTTTTTTCTTTCTTTCTTTTTTTTATGTATGTAAGAGAAAGTACGGCTGACTAAAATACAATTTTCAGAAGTAAAAACTCATTCAGAAATATTTTCTACTTTTTCAACCAGACAGCTGATGGAAGAAACTTCCGCTAACTGTTTCCATTCATTCTTTAAAATTATTTGAAAATCGTTAATTTTATTTATGATCGGATCTGTGGAGGTGTACTTTGAATTTTACATGGGAATAATTACCATGTTCGATTCAAACAAACGATTGATTTTACATTGTACTCTTTGACATTAAACTATTAGGTACTCCTGCATGGTTACATCCTGAAAGTTTGGAGCATTTTTTTTGTTGTTGTTACTTTTATTTTATTTTATTTTATACTTCTTGGAGCACCAAGCACTCTGATTCCTGTATGACAGCTAATTAAATGAAACTGCTAAAGTTCCAAATTTCAGGTTCAGATCATGAACCAATACCAAAGCCCCCTTAAGGAAATATTGTCATGTAATGAAGACCTAGCAGTAGAACAAACAGCAGTCCCACCGAAACCATGCATTATTATTACAATCTCTCTTGAAATTTTGTCAATCTCCACAACTCCACATCACATTTCATGAGATGTTAAGTATGTTATTCTAATTTATGAGTAGTGAACAATGGTGTGGCGTGCTTTGCGATGTATCGATCGTTATGCCATGTAAACCTATAGTAAAGAATCGATTATTAATGCGAACACCCTGTTTATCGATCCTTTTCCATAGGTTTAAATGGCAGAAAAACCGATGTACCTATCGCAAAGCACGCCACACCACTGGTAGTGAAGAACTATACGTAAAAAATTTGCAGTATTTTTTACAAACACTGTTTTCTTTTGTTGGATCTGTGTTTAAATTTCATGTCAGTCAGAGAGAACTAGAAAAAATAAGTTATGTACCTAAAGTACATAGGTATCAATTCTAGGCATTAGTACCTACTGGTATGGTGTACTAGCACTAAAGATCTGTGAAAGTGTCATTCTCTTTTTTGTTCACTCAATATGTTGTTTTAGTGTAAGTGTAAAGAATATTTTATTTTATTCTACCCATAATTTTATGAAGCCCCACTTCATATTTTTATGTACATGTTTTTCTACTCTGTTGTTCTGACTGTAAATGTTTAGTTTGATAGATATTTTATTGCAGTAAATTTTTAGTGAAAAAGCAAATCTTGCCTCTTCATTTTCACTCAGTTGAGAAACTCTCAAAGGTACACGGACTTTATGTCCACTTTTTTTACGTCCACAGACTTTTTGTCCACAATTTTTACGTCCACAATTCTAAAGCCCACACTATTGTTAAGTCCATTACTTAAACGTCCACTAAGTTAAGTCCACAAATGTAAAGTCCACTAAAATCAAATTCAAGCACCATATTTTAGTCCGTGTGTAAAATTATATTGACAATATCGAAATGAGAAAATTAAAAGAGAACGAGGTGTTGTTATCATAACTCATATACATTTTAAATGAAATGTCAATTTCTTCTTTTTGATTCATCTTTTCAGATTGTCTTTGGTAAATACTTGGTTTCATTTCTATCCTTGAAATTTCCGATATAAAATATGCCTTAAATGCACATTCTTTTTTTTAAAATGAAATTGATTACTTCATTTTAAAACATTTTTAAAACGTGGTAAATATTTGTAAAACCTTTTCCAAGCAATGGCATTGATATGAATCTCAATGAGCCGCAGTTGTAATGAAAGAAACTAAACAAAAATTAATAAAAGAGGAAAAAACTAAGGAGCACGCAATTTTTTGTTTTTAACTTATTTGTACATCGACCTCCTTGAGTCAAATACGTCCAATTTTGAGCGTTTGGTTGCGCTTACACCACGCTGCAGCACAGTAAAAGCCCAAAACATAAAAGAATACATTTGAATGCTTTGGAAATCATTAAATTTGACACGGAACCACCATTATATTTACAAAAAACACATTATATTTTCCAGTACACGGAAAAAAAAAATTGCTGATTCAACAACTCAATTGTTAAAAACAGTGAGTGCAATGTTTCAACGCAGATTTTACAACAAAAAAATGCTAGTTTAACCACATTGTAAACTAATTTAACCACGGGGGTGGTGAAAGTAGCATTATTTTGTCGTAAAATCTGCGTTGAAACATTGCACTCTCTGTTTTTAGCAATTGAATTGTTGAATCAGCAATTTTTTTTTCCCGTGTAGTACATATTTCTTTCTCATCAGTTTAAAAATCAATGCAGAGAGTGCAAACATTTCAAAATCATGAGTTGAAAAACGCTGACTCAGCGAATTTAAATATTAGAGCCTAACACAGAGCGGAGCGGCGTGTTAGCAGCGCAGAACGCGCACTGGCGCCTACAAACCTAACGGGATACTTCACGCATTGCGCAACGCGTGCAGTATCCCGTTAGGTTTGAAGGCGCCTATGCGCGTGTCTTGCTGGTTGTCTGCCGCGCCGCAACGCGGTATTATTATTTTTTGCGTATTATTTTTCGCAATTATTTCGCGTCAGAGGCGTTGCACAGTATCCTACAAGATTGAAGACGCACGAAATAACTAGTTAAAGAGGACTTTCAATTTTGACTGCATCTATTACTGAAAAATGTTTAATTTGGCATTGGAGCGTTTTCTAGGCTCCCGCTAAGGTTTTCATCTATGGACATATTCATGGTTGGACATTAAATCATGTGGACTTAATAAAGACTGGACTTAACGTTTAGTGGACATAAATAGCGGTGGACATTTATTTAATGGACGAAAGGTAGGTGGACATAAAGTCCTGGAAGCCTCTCAAAGTGCAATTGGTTGCTTGTAACTGTAAAACAAGCAGTTGTTCTAAAACTCACGAAAAAATCCATGTTTATTTAAAAATAGAACCCAAGGAAAATTTTTAAAACTAATGTTTCAGTTTCAGATCAGAAGGCTTCACGGTGAATCTATATTCATTCGAAAAATTTCAACGACCGAATATTGCAAATCCATATTTCTTTTACAAAACGTAAGATCCATGAATTTTTATCAATTTATCTCTTAATGGCAATTTTTAGTGATTTTTGAACAACCTCCACCTTAATAGCTTTTCCAGAATCAAATATAGGTATTAATTGCAACAAACGACCAGAAAAACATCGTTTTTTGCTCCTTTAATTTTTTTGGAAACATGCATGCAGGTGTAAAATAATAAAATTTTCAGTGTCGTTTTGCACCAATATTTAATCGAGCACAGATTCAAAATAAATTATTCTTAAGTACCTACAATTTTTTTGCTAAAACTATGTAATTTAAAATTAATGAACAATTAAAGGGGGGAAAATCAAACAGCTTACCCTAATATTGCACTAAAATTATACATTAAGATAACAGGTACATATTTACACAGCCTCAGTCACTAGTTAATGCTCTGGCATGAGATATTTCTATTATATGCAACTAGATGTTTGCAATTTTCGATTTTTCATACTGAAGCAAATTGATCATTTAAAGCTGGTTCTTTTTAAAGTTTCATCTGAACCGTCAATTAATTCATGGTTATCCCTCTGAGTCAGGTACCTGCCAAAATAACCAGAAAGTTTTCTGATTGTCAAACTCACAATCAGATGAATTTATCTCAATTTAGGACGATGAAATTTCTCCCGCAATTTTTATTTTCAAAAGGAAAACTAATATACGTCATCTCTCGAGATTTTTCGTGGTCTCTTTTGTTAAAACATTTCAAGTCATAAAGTTGGGTTGCTTTCCTTTGAAAAATAAGATTAGCAGTGGAGATAATGGAGCAATTCAACCAGAGTCAGCCTAATTCAGTAGCAATTCTTGAAAGTTGGAAAAACTGTGTTTCCTCCATTTAAATGTATGCAAAACAATCGATTCTTGGTGAGGCAGCTTGCCCCGCCTAAAATCGATATTTTTAAAGGATTCAAATTGAGGGAAAACAGTATCGTCAACTATCAAAATCGCCGCTGGCCTAATCACAGTAGACATTGCGTCTTATCCTTTCGGACTTTACTTTTTTTTTAAACTGAAAAATATACTAATTAAAATCCTGTGATTTTACTCTTGTTAATCGATGGAAGATTCCACAGAAAGGTTCAAAGCATTACTTCATTCAGATTCCTGACTAGGGAAATTAGGCAATATAAAATGCAATCAGACTGCGATTCTAGATAAATCTAGCCCACTCGGTATTTTGAGATGCAAAATTCTTGTTTCCATCGTCCAACCAGTGCTTTCAGTGTCACTAAGTGCAAAAGTACCTAGTTGAATATGCAATTAAGATAAGCATATAGGTACAAATGCGTGGCAAGAGATTACACACACATGGAGCAGTTTGCTCACAGTTGAAATCAACCCTAAAAAATCATCCTGACATTTCAAATTAGGAACACGTACCAATTAATATTCTATCGGCATTCATATTTCGCATTTTTTGCAATTTAATGAATTATAGTTTTTATTTGTCGGTACGCCTACTTTTCTGGCCCTGCGTTAAAGTCTCTGTGCTCACCGAATGAAAAATGCTAAAAGTTGTACATTATTCAAACAAAGTTTCAGACTTTTAGGCGCACGTGCTCATACCTTACGGGGCTCAAAATATGTCGTTCAGAAAAATTACGAGGTGAAATTGACGAAAAAATCGTGAAACCAAAGAAACGAAAATGAAAATGCTCAATTCGGAACCTGGGAAAATTAAAAACTTTGAATGCGATTTGGACGAATGTTCATCCTTTTTACCCTTAAAAATGTTCTCTCCAGCCGAAAACGATTCAGGGAGATTTTTTCTTTCGGTCCACCCTGATAAATTGTTGAGTGAAACGTTGCAATTTTGTGACGCAATTGAGTCCCTCTGGTTCTCGAACCGTCAATTCTGACAATGAGAACGATACCGAAAAAAATTAGGATGTAGAGTAGAATTGATATCCTTGTTGTTGAAAAATGTGCTACCTTCTTCAAAACGTGGTTCTCAACTGCATGCCCCTGTAGTTACCTTAAAGTCTTCAAATTGAAATTCAGAGTAGTGGATCGATACTGAGATCGATAGACAAAGCGATAGCCAATGGAGACAAAGGAAACATGGAGCGATTCTCTTGGTTGAAACTAATGGTTGTTATAGACTGAGGGGGAAACGATGGACTAACTATGTAGAGTCTCTCGTGGGTTTCTATCATTTAGTCTATAATTACTTCTTTTGCATGTCGCTGAATTTTTTCTTTGTCTTCATCGTCTATAGCCTCGTCTATCGATTTTAATACTCGACCCTCTGAAGTAGTTAAGACAAACATTTTAATTAAGGCCTTTGCACAAATTTTAACAGTCTGGATTCTTCTTTCATTCAAATTGCTAGTTTTTTAGATGGAGCTCCATGAATGATGATGAGGGGTTCAACGACCCTAACCTAAGGTTGGCACCAGGGTGGCAAAATTTCATGAAAAATAAAATCTTGTAATTTCAGAAAATTATGAAAGATATTGAAAAATACCGATTCCTTTTCATGTTTCACAAAATGTTGAATTGAGACTTTCTTCTTTTTTTTGTGTGCTTCAGTGCGGGTTGCCTACTCTAGCCCCTGAAAAACATGATGAAATATTTCACAACCTCGTGACATTGCATGAAATATTTCACAGCCTCGTGAAATATTTCATAAAATATTTCTCAGCCTCGTGAAATTTCATGAAATATTTCACAGCCTCGTGAAATTTCATGAAATATTTCACAGCCTCGTGAAATTTCATGAAATAGGTATTTCACAGCCTCGTGAAATTTCATGAAATATCCCACTGAAATTTCCAATCTTTCATTTCTTGCTCGCGTTTCATGCCACCCTTGGCACCGTCGATTTCCACGGCTACGAGGAGAATCTCATCGATCTCAGTAGATGTAACTTCCGTCGGGCGCTTGTTTTTGGGGCAGCGTTTGATAAGCCTGTCCAGGTCCCGGGGTCTCGAAACTGGGCCCGAAGGGCGGCGGGTTGTTCGCCCTGAAGTTGGGCGGCGGCACCCTCTGGTGACCGCGGGCGTAGGTCTTCCTCTGGGACTTGGAGGGTCCTCGGGGGATGTAGTTGCTCGAGGCCCCGGAGAAGGGTCGCCGGTAGCTCTTCCCCCGGGGTTGCGACTGGTCGAAGAACACGTTCTGCCGCGGACTATCCGCGATCTGGGCGTGACTCTGCGACTGGTACCCGGTGTAGTCGTTATGGGCCACCTCCGGGTAATTGCTGTACCTGGGGTCGAACTGGTTGTACTGGGGGTAGTTCGGTTGACTCGGCGGCGGGAGCGGAGGGGGGTTGGGTAGCGGTGGGGGTGCGGGGCTACCCACCCCTCGGCCGACGCCGTATTGGTAGTTGTTCTGGAAGGGTCGTTCGTAGACGTTCCTAGGTGCTGGGGTTTGACTTGGACCGCTAGGGTACTGGAGGCTGTTGATAATAATCGGGGATGGGATATCGAAGGGCCTAGGCGGGCTGTAGTTCTGATTCGTCGCGCCGTAGACAGGGCTGGGCGGGTAGTTCTGGTAGTTCTGGTCGTAGCCAGGTCCGGTAGCTGGCTGGGCTTGATAGCTTATCGAGGGTTCTATCGAGTATTCTTCCCCGCCGGCAGTAGGTGGTCCACCAAAGGTAGGTTTGTACGCTGGTGGGTTTTGTTGAGCAGGGGGTTGTTTTTGGTAGTTATTCTGATCGTAAGGGGGGAAAGGCGGGTAGGGTGGATAGCTGCTAGGACCGGTGGGAACGCTGGTCGGGGGAGGGTTGCTATACTCCGGCGGGAACTGCTGTTGCTGGTAGTTGTTGCGGTAGTTCTGGGGGTAGTTTTGGACGGGGGGCGGCGTGGCTGAAGGGACCGGCGGCGCCGAGGGGGGNGTAGGTTGTTGAAGGGGGTGCCCCGGTTGGTGGGGGCGTTGTACTGGTTGTACTGGCTGTAGGCATCGTCGGCGATGCTGTTGGAGGTCTGCTCTGGGTACTGGTTGGGGTTGGAGTCGAAGGACCCGGAGTCCGGAGGGAAGTTGATCTGGTGGTGGACCTGATTCCCGTAGGAGTCGGTTAGGATGTTCTGGTCGTTGCTGTACTGGTCGTACCGCTCGATCGGCTGGTAGGATTGGATGTCTGTGTCCGGGTTGAAGTTCTGCGGCGTGAAGTACTGCTCCGAGTACGGGTCTGAAACATGTCACAAAAATAATTTTGATGTCAATATTAAAGATCGTCATTTTGGATATTAGGATAGATTCGCGCAGTGGTGTTTTCTTACACTGGAAAAAAAACACAATGGATCTAGAGTCCAGACTGTTAAAAACATCGACAAGAAAAAGTACTCTTGATTCAATCAGAATCTAGCTTAAATCAAAAACCAAGCCTCTTAATTTAAGCGGATTTCGTTTTGATTCAAGCAAAAATCCGATTGAATCAAGAGTATTTTTTCTTGTCAATGTTTTCAAGAGTCTGGGCTCTGGATCCAATGTGTTTTTTCTCCAGTGTACTTAATAGATAATTTGCATGCAAATTTTTTATTGCTTCATCTAAAAGCGCTTAAAGAGCTGATTTCACGGTATTTTTTATAATTTTTTTCTGGTGTAGGAAATAGTATAAAAATAGATTCAAAAGTGAGAAATTGCACCCGCTTAGTGGCGTCACCTGGCGGCATTCCCAATTTAAACACACGTTTTTTTGTAGCAGATTAGATAATTTTGTCATATTTTCTCCAATAATTGTTCAATTCATGAACCATAAGGGTATCCTCTTGCTCAGTTCTCTTGATAGTTCCCACTTGAACACGAAAGTCATCAAATTTCAGACATCTGCAAATTCTCTATTGAATTGAACGAAACTAACAAAATTTGCAGTTTCGGTCGGAAATGTTATGCCCAATCTTTCTGAAAGGCTCATTTTATTGGGCGTCGGGCTTTACTGCGAGGATCTAAAATGCCAACGTGCCGGGAATTGAGGCGTTGGGTGCAAAAAGGGCATTTCTTGGTTGCGGTTTTTCAGAATCTTTACTGCTAATTTATGTATCGAGGAAACTATTGGGTACATTTTCTGAAATTTTTCGTTTTCAGCATTGTAAAATCTTAAACAAATTCAGTAAAAGTTTCAACGAATTCCGTACATTTGATTTAATTATAATGAATGAATCGTTAGCAAAGATTCTGAGACACCGGAACCAAAAACTACCCTTTAGCCGGAAGTTTAGCCTAAACTTTCCGCCAGGTTTGTAGCGCGGTATGCTTCATTTTGCATTTAAACTCAGTTCATGTTTTAGTTTATGTTGAAAAGTTTTTCGAGAATCCCCCGTAAAAAGACCATTAAATACAACTCTCTATCGGTAACAATATTCATCAAAGAGTTAACATGCTATTCAACGTGTATTATACGGTTGTTTTCAATTCGCCTTCAGCTGCGTCCGCAGCAATTGTTGTTATGAATATGTTGTGCGTGCTGATTTCAACGCATTACATACTCGACTCTCTGAAGGCGTTTCAGATGCGCAAGTAGCTCCATCTTTCGGAGAAAAATAGAAGTGGGATTGAGTGAATCGCTACTTCCTTCGTTCTCCGACAGATCTCGCTACTTGCGCACCTAAAACGCCTTCAGAGAGTCGAGTATGTAATGCGTTGAGATCAGCACGCACAACATATTCGAAACAACAATTGCTGCAGACGCAGTTGAAGGCGCATTGCTTTCGCACATAAAACGCCTTAAGAGAATCAGGTATGTAATGAACTGAAATCAGCACGCGCAACATACCTATTCGTAGCAACAATTGCTGCAGACGCAGCAGAAGGCGAATTGTTCAGTTTAAAAAAGGAGAGTATGACAGATAGTCTGAATGTGACGATTCGGCATGTATTCGATCGACATGAATCAAACGAAAAATAATAACGTGAACCGATCACAACCGATCCAATGGACAGCTAACTAAAAAAGCGGATCAAAATCAGTAGAAAAGTTGCATTTACTATGAAAATTTCAAATTGCGAAATCTCAAAATTAGGATCAACCAAAATTTAGATTTTTCTCGATTTTAAGTCCACACGTACCCAGGCCCGCCACATCCCATCTCGGGCCCTGGTACCAGTTTTTGGGTCCGGGCCCCAAGCACGGAGGGGGGGGGGGCTGAGGGGCATCCCCCGAGAAATTTTAGAATTTATACGACTAATCCAACGCATTTTGAAGCTTCCATAAAGAATTTTTCCATCAATTTCTGCGGAATAATTATGTTTTTTTTTTTTATACATTCAGCACAAAATACTTGCGAATTGTGTATTCAAAACATCTGGAAAATTTTTATTTTTCTTTTTTTGGGGGGGGGGGCATATGATACTATTTTCAGTTCTAAGAGGGCCAGGCCCCCCTGGACTCCTCCTTCGTTTGTCTATGGCAAGGGAGTTGAGCCATGAGCCATTGAAGTCGAGGATGCCCAGACTGGAGACTCATAGCATCTGACGACGGAAGAAAATGAAACGCAGTTACTAAAAAGTAAAAAATATCCCTCTGTACTGAAAATCTTGAAAATAGATAGAAATTTTCCAAGAAGTATACTTCTTTGAAAATTTAAGAAGAATTCCACAGTGCCCCAGCGTGCTTCGGAAAATCTATTCACCCTTTTCGAAATTTTTAGGGTAAATGTTTCACTTTTTCTTACGAAACAAGGGTTTCACGTGAATTCGTAGTGGTTTTTCACGGGTAACACGGGCCCCCTCCGGGGCCCGGGCCCCGGTACCAGGGACCCAGTATCCCCACCTTGTGGCGGGCCAGCCTTCATGCACGCTGGGCTTGTCGATTTCCTCTGAAATTTTTGCAGTGGTGAATGCATAGCTGAAGTGCGTTTCAGCTAGAATTGTATTTACAAATGGGTGGTTTTTCTTTTTCTAGAGGGATTAAAAATTAACAAGTGGCACGGAACATAACAAAAGAATATGAACTATGCAAAACGATAATTTTATTTATTATTTTATTTTTTATTTATTCTTTTGCTTTTTGCACTTTTGGCTTCACAAAAACGTCATTTTCTAAATAAAGGTACTGATAGGTATAAACATATTTACATACAAATCGTCTTAAATTCATTCATTGACATTCAAAAATTCATTGATTGAGTACGGGCATTTTGCAATCAAATGCCTTGTGGCCAGCTTATCGAATGTTGGTCTATATATACTTTCCTGTATAATATTTGGCAATTTATCAAAGAATTTCCATGCCTTTGTGAGGTATGCGTCGTTCTTTGATAAACTGCTAAATTGGTGATATCTTGTGCCATACCCATGTGTCTCTGCCTTATCTCCCTTCAGCCTTTTAATCCGGGTATCGGAACTTGGCTGATTTGAAAACGTCTTCAAATGCGGCGTGATGCCTCACGCATTCCGGAGACTTCAAATAGCTGTATCATTCCGCCTTAGAAATGCGACGGAAGATTGCAATTGAAATAGCCTTCATGCACGCTGGCCTTTTCGATTTCTGTTAACATTTTTGCAGTCATGAATACGCTTAAGTGCGCTTCAGCTAGAATTGTATTTAGCAAATGGGTGGTTTTTCTACGAGGATTAAAAATAAACGAGTGGTACGGAATATAACAAAATAATATGAACGGTGCAAAACGATAATCCAGGTATCGGAACTTGGCTGTTTTGAAAACGCCTTAAAATGCGGCGTGATACCTCACGCATTCCGGAGAGTTCAAATATTTGTATCATTGCGCCGTATGAATGTAACGGAAGATTTAAATGGAAATAGCCTTCCTGCACGCTGGGCTTGTCGATTTCCTCTGAAATTTTTACAACCATGCGGCAAGTTCGTTTCATCACGGTCTTTTCAGGAAAACTTTAAGCGCGTCTCATTAACATTACGACTCTAGGTATGTACTCTATGAGATTCAGCTGTAAGTGAATGACCGCGCAAAGCAACGCAGAGAAAACCGGACTGCAGCGCCTTTCTTAATACTTTATGAAAAAAATCTAGGAATTTCAAAAGCTTAAATTTGACCGAATTTGGCAAATCCGCATAGCTGCACTCGAAAAAAAATGTGTGAGAATCAGCCTGATAGATATTCAGATCTAACTGCATGGCCGGATTTACCTACTTGCCGCCCATGGGCCACCTGCATTTTGCCGCCCTTCTCATTCGTTTTGGAACATCAATAAAAACCACCAAGTGAACGTGCCGGAGGGAGAAGGGTGCATAAGACGCGTTCACTCGTGTTGGACACATTTTTTGCGTAAGCCCTCCCAACATTACTAGCAAAGGTTCAAGGAACTTCGTGCGAAAGTTCAGTTCCGTAAACCTATCTCTGTGGGGACAAGGCCTTTCATTTGTAAGAAATGAACTGAAAAATTAAGAGAAAACAAACATATATGTGGTTTAATAATTTTAACTTCCGCCGCCGTGCCGCGCTGACCACACTGTATTTGGCGCAATGCGTGAAGTATTCATGTAGTCTTGTAGGCACTGTGCGTTTCACGCCGCGCCGCGCCGACCGCTGTTGACCGTACTGTGTTTGACGCAATGCGTGAAGTATTCATACAGTCTCGTAGGCGCTACGCCACGTCGAGGGCTTCTCCTTTTCATCTCAAGTCCTCGTCATCATTTCTCTTTGCGCCGCGTCGCTCCGGGCCAAATTTCGTGTTTGGTTTCTCTCTTAACTCAACTAAATGAAGGTGCGCAGTCTTTTGTATCACCGAAATACGACAAAATTAGAAATTAATGAACTCTCAGGAAATGAGAGATTTTATCACCTTTTCTTGTTTGTAATTTTTTTCTGAATCCGATTTTTTTGTACCTGCATAGAAAAAAATTGCAAAATTTGCCGCCCCCTAATTTTGCCGCCATGGGCCGCCCCCTTAATCCGGCCCTGTCTAACTGGTATACAAGAATTTTTTTTTTTTTTTTTTATTTATTTATTTATTTATTTATTTTTTGAATAAGTGGATTCTCAAGGCACAAACCACCGAAGCATAGTGGCATAATTTTGAGTGACGCAATCAGCGCACGTATGATATAACGTAACCCATCATACGTATAATATATTCATTATTGACTGCAAAAGTCGCAGGCAGCCTGTCCTGCCACATAGCCCCGAAGTGAAGCTTTTGATAAGGCGAATCGCTTCTATGCCTGATGAAAGAAGCAGATTTGACGTATAATTTTTATTTCAGTTGCGTGGT